TCCTCCAACCACCTTGTTCTTGTGCCCATTTTTCTACGCCTGGCGCAGCGGGGCATCGTTCACTGCAAACCCGCACTGCACTGTCTTCTCTACGGCAATGTCCGGACGAAGGGTTGAAGTGGCGCAATCTTTATTCCGCAACGTTAATAATAATAATAATAATAATAATACCAACGATAAGAATCCTAATGATCATTGAATCATTAATAAGTTACGGTCTGGAATGCGCTGCCTGAAAGGCCGGTGGAAACAGATTCAGCAACAGCTTTCCCAAGGGATTCGGATGAAGGAAAAATTTGCAAAGATATGGGGAAAGCGCTCTCTGGGGCACTGCCCTGCATGAGGGGCGCTGTATAATTGCAAGTTGTTGTTGTTGTTGAAAGAGCGGGCGGAGGGGGGGGGGGGGGCGGCGGGGTGGGGGGGTGGGAGTGGGACTGATGGGCCGAATGGCCTCCTCCTGAGCTGTATGATTCCATGTATGATGCCCTTCGCGTCAGGGGGACCTCCCAAAGCGCCTCACGGGAAAGCGCGGCCTCGTGTCTTTTTTTTTTCGTTTGGGAAGACGAATTTATCTTGTAACTTTTCAGAGGAAGGTGTTGCTTGAAAAGGGACCCCCCCCCACCACCCCCCACCCCACCCCGGGGCGAGTCACGGCAATCCACGACCGTCCGCGGGAGGCTGCCGCGCGCAAATCTGACCGCCGCGCTTCGCCCACGAAACACGCAGCTCCACTCATTTTTACGGCCTCTGCGTCTCCGAAGCGCTTCGAGTCGTCTCGGCGCTGGGAAACGGGGTGGGGGGGGGGGGGCGCCGTGTCGAACGGGAGCGTCGCTGTTGTTATTATGCCGTCTGATAAGTCCGTGCGAGCGGGGAATTATGAGAGCTAAATGGTGTATTAGGACCAATTACCGCAGTGCTCGTTAAAATGACGTCGCTGTTCTTCCGCTTTAGGCATCGGGAAATTCGCGCTCGAGCGGCCGGCGGCGCTGCGCGGGCGGCACGCGAGCTGTCGGTACCCTGCGAGCGAAAGGTCTGAGGTGGGGTGGGGGGGGGGGGTGGGTAGGGCGGTCCGAGCTGGGCACGCAGGGGAGAAAGCTTTGCCGGACAGCGCTCTCGAAGGCAAGCCGTGCGGTTGTAAGACTCCAGGAGTCACCCTCGTGCGCCCAGGCTCGGGCTCCCCGAACCTTGGCTCTACGCCAACCCTCAACCAAACGCTCTCCGGAATCCTCCAGGGAGTGAGAGTGAGTGAGTGAGAGAGAGAGAGAGAGGGAGGGAGAGAGAGAGAGAGAGAGAGAGAGAGAGCGCACACGTTCTGCCCCAGACATAGGGAAATTTCCATGAGTAGGCGGCGGGCGTGCGTGCGCGTGGGACTGTTCGGTTCGGGTTTGGAAACTCGTAAGCTCGCAGATGGTGTCTGCGTGTGTCAGACGCTCAGCTGACTGCGAGAGGGGAAAAAAAAATCTTGCCTTTAAACTCTCCCATTGACTCGCCTCTGCGCACGAGTGGGCAAGGAAAGGGAGCGCGACGGGTGGAAAAAGATAGCAGACCCACGGGGAGGGAGGAATGTGGCGCCGCCGGTGTGTGCCAGTCGGCAGAATTGGCGAAGGGGGTGACAGGGCGGGGGCGCGCGGGGTGGGGGGGCGGGCGGGCGGGTACGTGGGTTTGTTTCCTCGGCGTCTGGGAGCTCGGTTGCGAAGCGCAGCTGCCTCTGATCTGCGCTGTTTGATTCATGGTATTAGCGACGTGTAGTGACTGTTTCGGCGGGCGGGCGCGCGCGACGGCTCTTCGAGCGCGAGCGATAATAACCCTCGCGTTTGATATCCAGCCTTCGCCCTATGGCGCCGTCGAGACGTCTGAAAGCGCTCCACGGGATATACCGTGAAGTGGAGTGGAGTGACTGTGGGACTTGCGGGCAAAGCGCCCAACCGCGAGCGGCCCTGGTTAGAGCGAGCAACTGGTCTGGAGGCTCGGGGACCTGCGTAGGGGGGGGTTGCTGGGGTGGGGGGCAGGGGTGGTGGGGGGGGGGGGGGGGTTAGGGAAGGAAGAACTCCCCTTTGCTTTTCGGATAGCGCCGCGGGACGTTTTAACATCCACCGAGGGAAACGGACAGACGCCCCCTGGGTTTAACGTCTCGAGCCGGCGCCGCCCTCTGATCGCCCCACTCCTGTTCCGCTGCTGCTAACCGATTCAGTCGTCTGTCTCTCTCTTGTGGTTTCCTAACGCGTCCGAAGGCGCGTGTTTTTCTCGCCCCCCCCCCCCCCACAATGTGGTTAGACGTTCTTGCTTACGACCCACTGGTTTAAAAAAAAAGAAACACACGAGGGCTGCCCACCGGTTAGCGCAGACTGGAGCTTTTTTTTTGAGGCTCGCCGACGCCATCCTCGGACTCGTTGCCTGTTAGCTCCGGGGACGAGGGCTGACCGCCCCGCGGCGCAGGCGAAGGGCGCCGTGAACCACGGGCGATATTCCCCGATGAGGCGTCTGTGTGAATGCGAGTTGTTGTTGTGCTGTCGAGCGGAGCGACTGTGCCTTTCTGGGCTGTCGCTGTGCCGCGTTTCGCCCACAAAGTACACAGTCAATCCACTTGACGTCTCAACCAGGTGACAAGGCGCGCTGTCCAATGCAGGGATGATTATTAGGATTATTATTAATATTATTATTATTATTATCGTAGCAGCATATTTGCGCACAGCAATGTCCTGCAAACAGCCGCGCAGCGAGTGACCAAATTTGATCTGATCTCGTTCCTGTAGCTCCTGTAGTTCGCTCGGAGGGTGATTTAGGTGTGGACCCCTGATATGTACTTACCCTTCTCTACCCCCCACACCCACGCCCACACCCCCATCTGGGGGAAAAAAAAAGTACTCGCCAGCTCAGGTCTGAAATGCTGTACACTGTCCAGCGCCGCTGAAAGGCGCTGTACAAATGGAATCTTGTTGTTGTTGTTGTTGTTGTTTTTGAATGGCCAGTGATCAGCGGAGGCTCTGTCTCTGTGGCGGTCAGGCCCTGGTCCGTGCTGGAGACTGTGATCATATTAATAATTAATAATATTCCTTGCGTTCGGTGTAACGTCGCGTCGCGTTGTTGAGACGTCGCAAAGCACTTCCTGAGCAATTGCTGAGCCAAATCGATGGGATTTTTACAGATCCCCCCCCACACCCCCCCCCCACCCATCACTGCATTGTAACTGGGCTCGACTGGTATTACAGAACAAATACGAAACCGTTCGGAAGCGCAAATGTGGAGTCCCGTAGCGGAGTGGGTAGAGCACTCATGAGCGAGCGAGCGAGCGGGAGGACCCGCAACAACAACTTGCATTTACGCCTCCCCGCCCCTCCGGAGCCCGTCCGGCCTCGCCCCCTCCCTTTCCTCCTTCAAGGCCCGTCTCAAGACCCTTCTTCTTCGGCCGTGCCTTCAGCCCCACCGCCCTCTCCCCCCGTTGATTCCAGCCCACGGCTCAGGTGCAGACCCTTCGCTGTCCTCCCTGTCCACCTGAAAGGTGCCGCACAAATGCAACTTGTCGTGGTCGTTCATCACCGCACCCGCGCTAATGGGCATCGAGGGCAAGTCTGCCGCAGACCCACTTCTTGAGTGATTGTTTCGCTCGCTGCCACCCGACTTGTCTGAGACGCTCGGACTAAAGGCCGTCCGTCCGTTTCGCTCACAAAATATAGTCCATTCGCTTTGCGGTGTATCCCGTGAAGCGCTTTGAGCCGACCGGAAGGCACGATAACTATTATTGGGGGCGGGAATCGCACGCTGAGCATCCTTTACGCCGTGTGCAAGCTCTGATATTTCAGTCGCCATAGTTTTCGGCCCTTGATTCAAGTCTCTGGAGTCTCGACCCAGGAGCTTGGGCCTTCCAGCGCTAAAATGGTTTGGTTTGAAACCTGCAGGTACTGGAGTTTCTACAAAACCTGCCCTTTAGAGTGTCAGCTTCTTAACGCGGTGATCAGGGACAGTATCGGGGCTTTTGTTCCTCTGTTTTATTTCAATACACGGTCGCGATTTGCAGTTTCGACCGCGCCTTCGGTCACCCCCCCCCCCACCCCCACCCCAACACCTTCCCCGCCCTCCACCCCTTCCCGATCCCAGCCCCCGGCTCGGGCGCAGATCCCCGGCTGTCCAGCGCCCCGACGTGAAAGGGGCTACGCAAATGCGATTTGTTGTTGTTGCTGTTGTTTCGGTTCACCTCCAAAGTGCACAGTCACTACACGTTGCAACGTACCCAGCGTCTCTCCCCGACGATGCAAGGACTATCTTTTTTTTTTCAATTCAAGTAAAAGCTGTGCGCGTTACCAGACTTTTCTTTTTTAAGTTACAGTTGGCCCGGGTTTAATAATCCTGGTTTGATATCACGCCTTCCGTGGTGAGAGCACATCTCCAAGCTCTTCACAATCAATCAATCAATCAATCAATCAATCAATCAATCAATCAATCAATCAATCAATCAATCAATCAATCGCCAGAGTTGTGTTGTTGCTTATTTTTGAAGGGATTTCGTCTCCACAATTTTGTCCCTTGGGGAAGACTTGTAATCGTATTGCTCCTTACTCGAAGCTGGGGGTGGAACGTTAATAATCCTTGCATTTGAGATAGCGCCCCACCACGTCATCGAGACGTCTCGAGGCCCTTCACGGAATACACTGTCAAGTGAGTTGACTGTGTATCTCGTGGGCGAAACGCGGCAGCCAAGTGCACGCACGGCAGCCGTCCCCGCAAACAGTCGTGGGTTGAGTGACCAAATTCTTCTCAAATATGCTATTACCATTGGAAAGCGCATCCGCCCATCATGGAATAACAACCAGGTTCCTACTTACTGCTCTCAGTAAACAGAGGCGCGTGGAGTAAGCAAACCTGCCTCGGGTTTCGCCCTGCGCGGGGTGACGGAAACGCTCCGGTCCTCTCGCCTGCGAGGCGAGGGCGTCTCACCGTTGCGCTGCGGGGCTCCGCTTCACTCTTCTTTTGACGTCGGGTGTCTTGTCGTGCTTCGTTCGCAGTGCACTGTGCAGGTTAAACTCGAACTAGGCCACCGAGCTCAGCTTCGGAAAAAGCCGACCCCTGAAGGCTTCACCCATGACTGGATGGTGTTCGTTCGAGGCCCAGAGCAAAGCGAGATTCAGCACTTTGTGGAGAAGGTCGTTTTTCGTCTGCACGAGAGTTTCCCGAAACCCAAACGCGGTGAGTCCCAAACCTCACTCTCTGCAACGTTGAGTGTGTTCTCCGCCCATTCCCCCCCACACTCCCCCAACCTCACCCGCCCGCACACACGCTCTCACCCACACGCTCTCACGCACACGCGCTCGCACACGCTCACACTCACGTTCTCACACACACACACACACACCCGCACGCGCACTCACTCACGCTCTCACATACGCTCACCCACACTCACGCTCTCACACACACTCACCCACACTCACGCTCTCACACACACTCACATACACTCACTCACGCTCTCTCTCACACACACTCACACACACTCACGCTCTCACACGCACTCACCCACACTCACCCACACACATGCTCACACTCACCCACACACACGCTCACACTCACAGTCACGCTCTCACACACACTCACCCACACTCACGCTCTCACACACACTCACCCACACTCACGCTCTCACACACACACACTTTCACACACACACACACTCTCACACACACACACACACACTCACACACACACACTCCTACACCTTTTTTCTGGTCGTTCTTTATAATAGCGCAGTGCACAAGAGCAAAAGTTCATATAAAGTGTTTGAGCTCCCTGGTATTCAAGGGAGATTTAAAAAAACAGCGTAGAGGTGGAACACTCTTCCTCTATCCCTCCGCCTCGCCCCCTTCCTCCCCCATCTTCGGGTTGGGCCTGAAGACCTTCCTCTTCGACCGTGCCTACGGTCACCTCCCCTTCCCCCCCCCCCCACCCGGTTCGGTGTCGTGCTCCGCCACTGTCAAGCGCTCTGGGACGCTGCCCTGATCGAGGGGCGCTGTGTAAAACGCAAGTCATTGTTGGTTTGGGGTAGTCTTTCCACCACTGTCTTTTTAATGGAGTCTTAACTTCCCAGCAGTGCTCTCGGCAAGGACTGCTCTCAACGGTGGGCTTGCACCCTGACGTGCATACTTGTAAAACCTGTCTGTAAGCCCATAGTTCCTCACGCAGTAACGGCCTGATTTCAATCTTTGCACACGAGCCAACTGGTGCAGACTGTGATTGGGTCAGGGGGGCAATACTTCAGCCACGTAGGCAACTGCGGAAGGAAAGAACTTCTCTGAACTTTCTGCCTTGTGGATCACTTTCCCATCTTTTCACTGACAGGCATCTGGAGACGGCTTGCAATACATTTCATGCCTCGGTTCAACTTGGATCCGGACTAAATCCTGACACAAGATTTATTTATTGTTTTTTTTAAAAAAAAAACACGTTTCTAAACCCCATTCTTCCAGTTGTTAGTAATCACCCTTCTATCTCGCAGTTTGTCAAAGCCAGGTTTCTTTCCCACTTTTATCGGAGGCACCGATTATTAGTGTTTCGCGTAATGAGGGCTCCAGAAAATATCAGTTGAACGTCCGCCCTTAAGGTGCGTGTAAGGCAGCGTTCGGGAAGCAACTGCAGTGGGTTTAAGCCGCATCCTGATGTGTGTTTTTGTATTGAATGCAGTTTGCAAAGAACCGTCTTATAAAGTGGAGGAGTCTGGCTATGCTGGGTTCATCATGCCCATTGACGTGTACTTCAAGAACAAGGTATTGTTGCTGTTCGTGGAACATTAATTGCTCCCATCGGGAAATATCCACCTCGACCCAATGCTTGGGAGAGAAAATTCTGCTCGGGTCTAGATATATTCTGTTTCTGCTTCATCTCCGAGTGTCCAGAATATGTCAAAAGTTTGACGTGATAAGCCGCCTTATCACATGCAAGGGTTATTATTATTACCAATTTTGAATGGAGTCCTCGACCGACCGACTGTTTTTCTGTGGCTCAAAAAATAAACTTAAACGCGGATTCAAAATCATCAAATACAATACCAAATTACATTTGTGCAGCGCCCTTCACGTCGGGAGGACATCCCAAGGCGCTGCAAGGATCATTACCTGAATTCTAAACGGTTTGCTTGCTCCCTTTTCAGGAAGAACCAAAGAAAGTCTGCTTCACATACGACTTGTTTCTAAACCTGGAAGGGAATCCTCCTGTGAATCACCTGCGCTGTGAGAAGCTCACCTTCAACAACCCGACAAAGGAATTTCGGCGGAAGCTTTTGAAGGCGGGAGGGGTGAGTATCAGATAGCAAGCTTCGCGGTGATCTGACCAATGTTTGTTTATTGGGTACACAATAATGTCTGTCCAATTCACTGGGCTTTCTCTAGGATAAAGAAAAGGGTATTTGTTTCGCACTCTTTCTCTCTTCTTCTCTTTCTCTCTCTCTCTTTCTCTCTCCTGTTTCTGTCTTGTCGATTTTTTTTTTTCCCCCAGCTTTTCATTGACTAAAATGAAGACAAAACCAGACGTGAGCCGGGAGCAGAGGCTAACAGGAAAGAAAGGTCCAATATCAGGGCAAAACAGAGCTAGGAAAGTTAGTGGTGGTTAGAAGCAAGAAAACTGGGAAAGCAAGGGCCAGTCATGATTTTTATTACTATCTTCTATTTATTTTCATTACCATCTACCATTTATTTTTACACTATTTATTACCTATTTTATGGTTATGCCCTCCACTACCCCGTGTTGCCCGCGATGCCTGTGTTCTCCGACCCCAAAAGGATTAAACCGTCTCACACCTCAAAGGCCAGTTATAACTTACAAGAAGCGTAAGTTAAAAGACCTTCCTTTCGGAACGTGCTTCCGGTCACCTCCCACCCTCCCTCTTCCCCCTGGCTCAGCATCAGGCTCCGCCGCCGCCACGCGCTCCAGGACACTGAACGGCGCTGTGTAAATGCGAGCTGCTGCTGTTCTGGACTCACCAACACACGGCAACAACAACAACAAATGACATTTACGCAGCACCTTTCCCTTCAGGAGGACGTCCCAAGGCGCTGGGCAGTCAGGGATCCGCACCCGAGCGGGGGGGTTGGGGATCAGGAGGGGCGGAGGGCGGGTGGTGGAGTGTGGGGGGGTAAGGGGTAGGAAGGTGACCAAAGGCACGGTCGAAGAGGAGGCTCTTGAAGGAGACCAGGGAGGAGCCGAGGCGGAGGGACTGAATTCCAAGGGATGTTTTATCAACATCCGCCTCATCGAATCCTTTCACACTCGTGCAAACGCCTCTTATCTGTTCTTGTTCAACCCATGTTTGCAATTGATGAGCTGGTTCTTATTCCCAAATTGTCAGACCTTCCTGTCATTCTATCTTTCAGATCATGGTGATGCCCGAGGGAACAGACACCCCATCCCGACCAAGCCCCGACTACCCCATGTTGCCCACGATTCCTCTGTCCGCGTTCTCCGACCCCAAAAAGAGTAAACCCTCTCACGGCTCAAAGGTCAGTTGCGACTTAGCGGAGAACCCTGGCCCACTTTGCGGCCGCTTTTCCCCGCGATTAGCTTTCTCCGCCATTTATTTATTTGACTGTTTGTATTTGTGGGGAGCGGTGGGGGGCTGTTTAAATAGTTTCCGAGTTCACTTGCATTCGCCACGGGGAAACCCACACTCCGCCGTGTACGTAGCCTGTTAGAAACGTGCTTCACCACAGGGCCAAGGAAACGACGTGGGCCTTGTTGCTTAACGCAGGCAGTTCTCCGTCAGACCACTGGAGGGCGTAATCTACTCGGTGGTGGGGGTGGGGGGGGGGGGCAGGAGAGCGATGGGAGGACAAAAAGGGAATTTGCAGCGTCTCCTCCCGTTCTCTCCTCTTCCCGCCCTCTCAGTCGTCCTCCAGTCCGCACGTCGAATCTCTCAGTAATTATGGTGGTTAATAACGCTTGCGTTTTCACACAGCGCTTCGTCACACTGTCGAGTCCTTCAAAAGGCATCGGCATCGGAAGATCTGCTTTCAGCCCAACTACGCCCCGAAACTCTGGAACGCTCTCCCTCTGTCCCTCCGCCTTGCCCCTTCCTTCCCCAACTTCAGGTCGCGCCCGAAGACCTTCTTATTCCACACCCCCCCCCCCCGCGGCTCATTATCGTGCACGAGGGACGCTGTGGAAACCCAAGTTGTTGTCGTCATCGCTGCTGCGATCTAATAAATTGGGGGGTGGGGGGTAGGGGGGAGTCAAAGTGTGTTGAATGGCCAGCACCTGGATCTTAAGAGGTCTCGGAGGGAACCTTGTAGAGGTCTAGAAAAATTTAAGTCGGATTGAAAAGGTACACTCAGAACAACACAGTAGGTGGCACCAAAACGGTGGAACAAGAGGGTGTGGGTTTAGCGCCGCAAAGGACAACTTCGACGTCTTTGTCAAAGGGAATCGGTTATCAGAAAGAACACGACACGAACCGTCCGTTGCGAGCGCTTTGTGATGTCATTTGGCTCCGTGACCCCTTAGAAGCAGAATCTTGTCTTCCGGGTTGTTTCTCCACAACAAAAGTTGGGCAGTTGGGGGAGAGGAGAGAGCGATTTCGAGCGATTCGAGATCAAGCCAAAATGGAGAGAGAAAGGGTAATTAAAATGGTAATTAAAAGAAAAGAGATGGGGAGTGGGTGAGGGTGGGGGGTGTTGGGAGGGAGCATGAAAAAGCCAGGAGAGAAAACTGATTTCATTTTATATAATAATAATCATCCTTACGTTTGATATGGGAGATTGTATGATATTTTCACAAGAGTGCCCTGATGTGTGTTACAAAGTCTCCTTCTGGTCTCTTCGACTAATCCAGGATACGAACCGAGAGAGCAAGTCCTTGAAACTCCACAAGGTCACGAAGGAGCACAAGGAGAGGCCCGCCAAGGACCCGGAGAGCAAGACGCCGTTCAAAGAGTCCGAAAAGGAACACAGCAAATCCTCTAAGGATTCCTCCAGGAAGCCCACGGAGGCCAAGGTTCCCAAGGAGGAGAAGGCGACTGCCAAGGCCACTTCGAAAGAACCCAAACCTGCCTTCAAGGAGTCGAAACTGGACGGCACGTCCCCCAAAGGAGGGGGAGGGGCGAGCCTACAGCAGGAGACAAAACCCAGTGTTAAGAGACCCTCAAATCTGGACTCGCTGAAGCCCAGTGCCAAAAAGCAAAAGAAAAGCACTTCGGAAACGTCCAAGTTTCCCGGCACGTCTCCCAGAATCTCCTCCTCCTCCTCCTCGTACTCGGAGAAAAGGCAGGTGAAGGAGAAGGAAAAGGAAAAGGAAAAAGTGAACGTTAAGGTAGAGAAGGCCAAGGTGGAAAGCACTGTGAAAGAGGTGAAGAAAGCCGTGGATTCAGACGACTGCAATTCAGAAGATGAGGTTTTGTCCAAAACCGAGGTAAGTTTCTTAACCCCCCCCACCAACTCTCCCCCTCCACACTATCGAGTGCAATTCACTGTGGGATGGTGAGATGTGGTCTCCTGTGCATCACACAAGTCATCAGTGACTGGTTGGTTTCCACATCTCCTCCTGCTCTGGTCCTATACTCACTCCTCTGACCTTATCTTCTCTCTCTCTTTCCCACTGCCCCACTTTTCTTGCTCCCTCCTCCCTTTGCTATATTTATTCACTGAGTCCCTCGCGCACCTTTTACTTGGCACCTAATTCACCCGGGCAGGTATTTTCTGATTTCTCTTACACCCCTTCCTTCGCCTCGCTCGCTCGGTTCAATCAGGCTTTGAAACCAATTGATTAATTCACCAGTTGATCACTTTTCCGCTCCTTTTCTTTTCCCCCCACGTCAGTCGGTCCACACGAGTCCTTGCAATTCAAGCTCCAGTTCTGACTCCAGCTCCGATTCAGACTTCGCTCCGTCTCAGAACCACAGACAAGGTATGGAATCGTCTCTCCGTTAACATCCACTAAGTTATGAGTCGGTTTGTTCTGGAACCAGGAGCCAACAGTGTGTAGTTTATTCCACCCTTTTGTAATTAACAGCTCAGCGCTGACAAAAACGTCAGCCAAGCTCAGTCGGCGGTAGCACTCTGTGCCTCTTGAGTCAGAATGCCGTGGGTTCAGGCCTCACTCACGTCAGTACGTTGAGCTCCCAGTCCAGGCTGACGTTTCAATCTAATGGTGAGGGTGCGAAGTGTTGTCTAAGGTGCCATCGTTCGGACCAGAGTTTAAACTGAGGACCCGCCTGCCTGTTCAGCTGGACTTTAAAGATCCCACAGCATTGTTGGAAAAGAGGAGGGAGTTTCTCCTGGTGTTTTGATACAGATGTACAAATGAAATGAAAATCGATCTTTCATTTCATGGCTGTAGCTTTGCCCAAATTGACTGCCGCGTTTACCGACAAATACACAGTCGCTGCGCTCCACAGTAAATCCTGCGAAGCGCTTTGAGACATCCTCCTGTGACGAGGCATTCTGTTCGAATCTAGTCTTGTTTTTAAAAATAAATTCAAATGATGGATTTCTAGAGCTTTGGCAAAATGGACACTATTTCAGTACTGATGAAATACAGTTTTTCAGGTGGGCAAGTGCTGCTTTCTGAGACTTTTCTTGCCTCTGAAGCCAATGCTCCATAACGTTGACTTGTTTTGTGTAGGGCCGCTGCGATCCATGGTGGAGGAGATCCAGTCCGAGGGATCTGACGACGACAGCAGCTCAGAGGAGGAAAGGCCGGTGAAGAACAGCACGGCTGGTCGGGAGAACAGGTCAGTGGACGCAGTACAGTGCGTGGGAGTGGCGGGAAGCTCTGGCGATTCCAGACTGGTTGGGATCTCTGCACACTTTAACCAGAATTGCCTTGAACCGTGGGTTTGTAATCTCTTGAGTTGACAGATGGACGTTGTTCTGTGTTGTTCTTTAAGGCTGAGTTTAAGCGACGACAGTGAAAGTGAAAGCAGTGAGAACTCCCACATTCACACCCAGGACCAGACGTTGATTCAGAAACACATAACCTCCAGCAACAAGGTACCCAGCGACCCTCAATTCCTCCACCATCCCCCACTTCATGTTTATCCCAGGTCGGCAAATGCGATAGTGGCCATAGGAGGCTTAGGGCTCAACCACTGTGTCAGAGTGGAGTCCTGTAGCTCAGTGGTTAGAGCGCTCGCCTCGCAAGCGAGAGACCTGGGTTCGATTCCCAGGAGGGCAAAATGTTGAGCAAGTTTCCTTACTCCGCACGCCTCTGTTTACCTAGCAGTAAGTAGGAACCTGGTTGTTAGTCGATTGGCGGATCTCTTTTCCGAGGGTAATAATTCCTTTTTTAAAAAAAAAAGATATTAATAAATTGGTCACTTCAATCCACGGCTGTTTGTGGGGACGCTGATGTGCGTCAATTACAGATAATCTTTCTTATCGCTGACGTTGAACATGCAAATAAAAAGAAATCAGTGATACGTACAATAACAGCATCGACGGCTGCTTAACACTCTGGAGCTGTGGTGGTGAAGGGTGAAGAGTTAAGGGTGGTTAAGCTTCAGGGGCGAGGGAGCTTCCGGTTTTAAGACCACGAAATACAGTCAATTCACTTAATATATTCTGTGAAGCACTTTGAGACGTCTCGAAGACGTGATAAGGCGCTGTATCAAATTCAAGGGTTACTGTTATAAAGTCAAAGGGAGATCTTCGGCTGAAATGGACTGAACGGGTGGCTGTTTAAAAGAGCTGGCGCAGATACGATGGACCGAGTGGCTGCCTTCCAGTGCTGTAAATTTCTTTGTGGTTTTCAACGAACGCCCACGATATAACATTGCGAAACTCCTCCGGGGTTGAGCGGAGGGAATTCCTAATAATCTGTTCCTCTCTTTGCTGCAGACATCGGGGAGGAAAAGCCCTGAAAGCTGCGATAAAACAGAAAAGTTTCTGAAAAAAGGATTGCAAGATAAGGTGAGAGCCTTCAGACCCTGTTGTACCCTAAGTGACATGTTTGTGTGCCAGGCTTCTTGCTCACAGAGTGTAGAGGGCTTCCTAGTGTCGATGTCGTTCCAAATCCACTGGCTGCCTGTCTCTCTGCGCACATGTGCCAAAACACAGACCTGAAGCCACGGAATTACTGACCGGCAGCTGCTGTATACGGCAGCCTGTTATAGCACGGGTCTGACTTCTTTATGGACCCTACGCATTATGTGTCAGCCAAAGGTAATAACACTCCATCTCAGTGTGTTGCGTTGCCAGAAGTGCCATCTTTTCGGATGAGACGTCAATCCGAGGAGGTCCCGTCTGCCTGTTCGGGTGGACGTTAAAGATCCCGCGGGGCTGTTCGAAAAGAGAAGAGTTTCTCTCTTCCCCCGGTGTCCTGGCCAACAATCCCTCGAATAAAATCAGTCACTCGCTCCACGGCTATTTGTGGGACGCAGCTGTGCGCAACTGCCTGCAGCGTTTCGCTCACGATATACACAGTCAATTCACTTTACAGTACATCTTGTGAAGCGTGTTGAGGTGTCTTGATGACCTGATAATGCGCTATATCAATTGCAAAGATTATTATTATGATGGAGTGCACCCTGTGAGTGTTACACTGAGGAGTTGTGCGTGTATTTTTTCTATATATAATATATATATAGAAATATATATTTACATAGTATTTCAGAGAGTCCAGAATTTGGCAGATTGTTACTTCAGTCTTAATTTTGAAATTGCTCGACTGTCGTTCTCAAAATAAAAAACAATCTCACAGAAAAACCGGCTTCAAAATGAAGGCCGCGTTTAAGAAGACCCCAAATCCTCGCGTAGCTCGGAAAATGCTCGTGAGTTGGAGTCGACCTAAAGCCAAGGTGATGTTTCTCCCCATTGTTCGCTCCGTATATAAAGCCTGTGATTTTTTTTTCTCTCTCTCCCTCTCTCGCTTCTGCAGTCATACACCGAGGAGCTGGTAGATCTTCATCGCAGGTTAATGGCTTTGCGAGAACGCAACGTGTTGCAACAGGTAAATTGGAACCGCCTCGCCAGATGGTAGTGGAGCGTCACCTTGTTTTACGTGCGTAGTGACCGTGTGTTTTTGTGGGTGAACCCCAATGCATTCCTCCAATACAGTACTGTGAGTGGGGGTGGGTGTGGGGGGGGGGGCGGTTGGGAGAAAAGTGCCCTCTCCTCAGCTCACCTCCATTCCTGCCCCCAAGTCAGTCAGTCAGTTACGTTAAGTGCTTCGAGACGTCCTCTCAACATGAAAGGTTTTAAGTATAAGTTGTTGGAATTGAATGTAGGACAGGGAGATTGTCACGCATAGAAATATCTCTCACACAGTTTCATGCTGTCGCTTGTCCTGCCAAAGACCCAACTCCACTGTTCTTTCCAAATGCCGCCACCCTCTCTCCGTGCAATTATCGCAACTCAAGTTCCCTTTTTTTTGTGTGCCCTTTGTCTTCCATTGCACGCGATTTTCATCAGGTGTTTCGGTTAATAAAAAGAAAGGGTCTGAAAAAGCGTGGGGTCCTCCAGCCTAAGCTGTTCTCGTCTTCCCCTTCCGCAGATTGTAAACCTTATTGAAGAAACGGGACATTTCAATGTTACAAACACAACTTTTGACTTTGACCTCTTCTCGCTCGATGAAACAACTGTCCGCAAACTACAGAGTTACCTGGAAGCCACGGCGACATGACAAGACCTGGTCCTGCAAACGCAAGCTGTAGTTTGTTGACGTGGAAAAAATAAAACCATGGACTTCAAATCCCTACACGGTGGAAGGTGCAGACATTTGACGGTTCACTAGTGTTATGAGACGAGAAACTGGAATATCACTTTGGGTGTTGAGCATGGTGTCACGCCTGTTGGGAATCGAGCTAAAAGGAATCGATGTGATGTTAAGACGTTAATCGGAAGCATAAGTTATGTCGCCTTTTTATCAGTTGCTGAAAGCATTGCCATTGTTACGGGGGGGGATTGTGGAGGGGAAGAGGGGGAGGGAGGGGAACGGGCGTTCAGAGTTCAGAACGAGTTGGGGGCGTTTAGGGGGTTGGTGGGGGTGGGGAGGGGAAAGCAAATTGAGACTGACCTTTTCCTCTGAGGAGAGGTTCACTGTTTTCACGGCGTGAAACGAGGTGCGTTTTAAACGTTTTTTTTAAGACTGCTTTTTAAAAAGAGGGAAAAAGTGAGAGCGAAACTTAAGGAGAAAAAACAATGTTTTTAAGAAATGTTTTCCAAGGATCGAGGGATGGGGCGAGCGGGGTTTGGGGGCGGGTTGGGGAGAGCGAGAGAGAGAGAGAGAGAGAGCGCGAGAGAGAGAGAGAGAGAGAGAGGTGTTGGGGTGAATGCTTTCCCTCCACACGCCCCCCCTCCCCTGCCCCCCGATTGTGTTTTAGTTTAGGAACGTATGTGAAATTTTAACTCGAGAGAGAATGTATATATTGTGAAAAGAACAAATGACATACAACCCTGATGTGAACAGAAGAATTTTTGTGACCTTTTTTTTTTGCTAATAAAACAGCCAACCAGACAATTTTACTGCGGCTACTGGAAATAAACACTCCCGTTTTGGAAGGAAAATTAAAACCGGGCAAGTGACTTGAGAGAAGCACCACCCTTTCCACGTGCAGTCTCAGAAACCCGTATCGACCGACTGCATTGTATATTATTCTAAAGAATATATATTTTTGAATACTTTGAACACCCGATTTTATCTTTTAAGCCACTTCTAAATGTGCACATCAGGTAGCCTCTGCAATAAGTAATTTTGTGTAAAAGTATTCTAAATATTCTATGACGAGGTGGGTGCTTTTGAGTACGTATGGTACGTACGTACACAGTCCCACCGCAGTGTGGATGCAGGCACTTTGGTGGCGGTTACAGACTTTTAATACTTCGCATCTCTCTGTTGTAAGTTTCTTCTCAAATCAAACCCTTTTCTTCAGAAACGGTTCTGTGAAATGTGACTTGCAATTATAAATGAACAAGATGTTGTGTCAAGTTCTGAGGTGTGTTCGTTCACTTGTCTGTGAGTCGGGGCAATTGTCTGACTTTATTGTGGGGTGTGGGGTGTTATTCCCCCGCCCCCCCCCTCCTTTGGGATCTGACGGCTCGTTGCTGTTCCTGATTTAGTTGAGCGCATGTTAATCGATTTATTGGGAGCAAGACAGGTAAAACATGTACGGGAGTGCCTGTGAGGGAGCAGGCCTACTACACTGGATGCAGATGGAAGAGAAAGGCATGAAGTGGAGTTGGTGGAACGGAAGGTGATGTCCTCAACACAGGTGAGTGAAGGTTCAGAGGAATGTCTTCATATTCTGGTCATTTTCCAGTTCGATGAGAATTGAAATGAAATTTGCAGGGGTATGGGGGAAAAGAGCGGTGGAGTGGGACTGATTGGGCAGCTCTTCCGCAGGCACGATGGGCCGAATGGCCTCCTCCTGTGCTGTAATATTCTACAATTCTACGTACTGTTAGGTAGGAGGAGGGAGTGAATTGTTAGCAGCCGTGACCTAGTTGACCTGAGGCTATTTCGGGCAGAATGACTGACAGCAACGCTCAGCAGAAATGTGCTCACGCCACGTTTTTCCATCCTGGGTCAAACCTGGAGGAATTCAGAGCCACGGTGTTCTAAAACTTGCCCGTTGACGCGCGTTTCGATTTGGCTATCAATAGGAACAGGAGTAGGCCATTCAGCCCCTCGAGCCTGTTCCGCCGTCGTATTAGACAGATGCGGTTACAACATCAGCGCTATTCATGTAAAAGTTGAGATGGCAGAATGTTTTGTTAACCCTTAAATTGGATGCTTTTTTTCCCCCCTCTTCACCTCCCCAACCTCCCTCCTCCCCCCCCCCACTCCTGCCCCCCAGTCATCCAGAGACTGAATTTGGACAGTGGAAAAGTAACATAATGATGACACAGTCAACCTTGAGCTGGATCCAGACTGACAGAAGATGCTCTGGTGGTACACAGTGTGCTTGGCAAGGAGCAGAGATCCAATTTTCCATGAAAATCAAGGAATTGAGGTAAATTACTGGCGGGTCTTTGCTGGACAATACCGTGCCGCCTGCATACTGGTGAGTTGTCACTGGATGCCATCCAGTGCTCTATCCTTCCTAGTCAAGTGGGTGGCTTGACGTCCATTGCCCACCTGGGTCTGAAATCCATCGCTGGGCTTAAGAGCATCCAAATTAAACAGAGTTCCATGAATCCCACCAATACACAGAAATTCCCGTGTATTGGAATTGAACATAGATGCTCACCCAACAGGTTTGGGTGACGAAGGTCACTTGATCTCATTCCTCCAGCCTCATCTACCTCCCTCCGAGGTCTGAAGGTAGAAAAGACTGTATGTATGCATCATAATGGATGTGCATTGAAACAGCATCTAGTTTTCCTCTTTGAGCGCCTCCTCGCCAAGAAAGTTACAAAAGAACATTTCTCGCAACTGCAATAAAATAAATGTTAGCTGAACAAAAACTGAGGGATATATTGCATCTTGTATTTATATAGTGATGGGGTTTTTAAAGACAAGAGATTTATCACATTGCGTTCAGACAAATTGATGGGAACAGCAGATTTTTTCAGACTCGTATGGCGAGTTTGTGAAGCATTTTTTTTTGCTGTATTGCACCGAGGGACAAAAATAAAACCACATTTGTTGCATGCAAGGATTCTGCTACAACTACTGCTATTAAGATGAAGTGTTTTTTTCTTCCACGTGAGTCTGTAAAAACAAAAAGAAAGTTGCCGGTACAAAAATTCATAATACATGCGCATTACTCAAACATGAATATAAACATAAATTACTCCTGAAATTTCAAACAATTTTCATTAATAAAAAATATGAGAAAATGCTGGAAATCCACAGCAGTTCAAGTCAAAGAATGCTGTCAACCGGAAGGCTACTTGACGCATCAGGACATTGATATTAAGACATTGAATGGCTTCCTCCTGTTCCTATATTCCACTCTGTCTGGTGGCGATAGCCCATCACAGGTGAAATGAAGGGAGTTTCGCCCAGGACTTCAAGCCCTCGATTCCCCCGACATAAAATTGGTCGTTCACTTAATGGCTGTTTGTGGGATTTTACTGTGTGCAAATTGGCTGCTGCATTTGTCTACAAACTGCAGTGGCTCCATTTTTACAGCAATTCTTGCAAAATGCATTGAGATGTTCTGATGATTTGCTTCAAGTGTTATATCAAATTGCAAGGGAGCATTTCCCTGCTCTTTCCCCGCCCACCCCCATTTAGTATTTTGCTCAAATCCCTTTTTTTCCCCCCTCTAAACGCCGATGAAGCATTCAGCATTCCAACAATTGTGCATAAGAAACACTTCCTCAAGATTTCTTCACCTGGTGCTAAGCTCTAGTGATGCTGTCTTGGTACTAACTGACCGTGTGAAAGAAACTGTAAGCCAACATTTTACAATCCCGCTGAAGGGGACCGAGGTTGACCGTCCCTGTCCGGTCCTGTTTGATCGAGCTGTTGTGAATTTTCAGCATTTCTGTTTAAATAATATATTTTGAGGGGTTGCGGATAAGAACCCCAAAGTCCTATGAGCACAGTGATTTCCTTTGTCGTCTTAAATTCTAATTGCACACGAGAACCAAAACACACAGTAAAGAAGTGGAGGTCCGATTCAGGTGTCGAATGGCTTTGAAGATGACGCTACCTGTCATTTATCGGACAGCCCTCCCCCCCCCCCACCCCCCATTAGAAAGTGTTTCGATTAGAGCAAGGGGTTGACTTGTAACCCGACTGAGTCTTCTGTGAATCGGTCGATCCCTTATGACACAGAGCAGCAAACAATGACCGACCGGCCAGCTTCTTGCTCACTCTGGCACGTGCGCAGGAAGACGACAATCTCCTGCAGAAAGTGTCGAGAGCAGCAGTTTTTTTGGGGACTTGGCAGTTAGATCATGGCTTAATTTTATGGATCAATGACCCATCTCACTTTTTGGTGGTGTGGGTGGGGAGGGGGGGGGGTGTGAAGAACTACTCCCATCATCCTTGACAGGGTAGATAGTGTGAGACTGTTTCCCCCGGTTGGAGAATCTAAAACCAGGGGTCATAGTCTCAGAATTAAAGGTCAGCCTTTTAGAACTGAGTTGAGAAAACATTTCTTCACTCAGAGGGTAATGAGTTTATGGAATTCTCTACCCCAAAAGACTGTGGATACTCAGTCCTTGAACATATTCAAGACTGAGATCAATAGATTTTTAAAAACTAAAGGGATTAAGGGATATGGGGATAGGGCAGGTAAATGGAATTAGGCTAGAAGATCATCCATGATCCTATTACAGGGTCAAGGGGCCAAATGGCCTTCTCATGCTTCTATTTCTTAGGTTCTTATCCTTTTCTGCATCGGTTCTCTCCCTGGCAGGTGTGAATTCCTAAGCTAAGGGTCGAATGGGAGAATCCCAGCCTTTTTTACCCAAGTACTAAGACAATATGCTTTTGTTTTCATTCAAGTTTAGAACTCCTTCATCAACAGAAAATGGTCCGAGCTGAAACGCTGTACACTTCCACAAAATATTACAATCAATCAATCACAATTCACATTTTACAAAGTAAAAATTAAATAAGGATTCGGAAATGGGGGTGTTTACAAATCCAGGTGGTTTGGTAAGTTTTGCACATCTCTACAGGGCTCTCTCTGGTGGTTGTAGCAGCTTATTTGGTGGCCAGAGGGTTGTCTGGTGTAGTCGGTGTAATCGCATCCTTGTAAAAGTCATCGATTTGATCAGGGTACATCTTCATTATGACTGGACGCTTCAGTTTCATTGTTGGTCCTGGAAGCAACAAAACCAGCACTTGGTTAAGGCAGTTGGTGGGCAACCTGTGGCCCACGGGGATGTCAAGAAAATCCCCCCCCGCCAGCCCCCACCCGCCCAAACGGGTCCGGGTAAGCCCATGCTCAATCGGTAGTAATTTTTCAGGTTTTTGTTTTCCTTGATTGTATATTTATGCCATGGATCAAGAAATATTCGGTCAGTTTACAGTGTATCCTCGGAAGCGCTTTGAGACGTCTCAACGACGTGATGAGGCGCTCTATCAAATGCGAGGATTATTGTTATTATTAACATTCAAGAAAGAACATACAACGATCGCTTCTATTGCAGATTAAAACCCACGCTATCGCTGGCGATAACCGTGGATAGCGGACCTGGTTATTATTAGCATTATTATTATTCACAATTACATTTGTATTAATAATCATTGCCTTACCGAGCTCCCCTCCTGGGATGGAAAAATCCTTCTCTAAGATGATCCACTTCTGAATCCGCTGCGCGTTCGAAGTTGCCTTTTCGTTCACGCGATTGATGCCTTCCTGGATGGCGTTGAAGACGTCGCGGTCTTTGCTGGCGAGAATCTCCGACACTTTGGTGGCTTTGCTGCCTATTCTCTTACAGAACTGGGTGACTTCAGGGGTCAGGTCATCCAAGGGGTCACCTGTGTCACTGTTCACATTGCACTGAAGTGAGAGAGGGGAACAGACCGTGAAGTAAAGACTTTAGGGGAACAAACAACACAAGCGATTCATTTGCTCTTTAAAATTACAAGGGGTTTTCGATCGAGCCGAGAGGGAGATATTATTCCCACTGCTCGGTGAGTCAGTGACTAGAGGGCACCAATTTAAGATGGTTCACAAACAGGGAGGGGAGTGGAAACGTTCTCATGGGTGCAGAAGAAAGGGCAGATAAATGGGACTTAAAGGATTACTCTTAAAAAGACCCAGCACAGACAATATGGGTCGAATGGCCTTCTATGCTGTAAATTTCTAGGGTTCGTTGGGCAGTTAATAAATGAGAAATAGATGTCCGCAGTACCTTTAGGGTCAGCAGAACGGACAGAAATTTTCGTTTGTCTCCTATCACCATGGCATTACTGATGACTGAGATTTGTTCCTTTATTGCATCCTCAATAGGAACAGGTGGTATATTTTCCCCTCCGGCAGTGATGATCAACTCTACAGGCAACAGAGAAATGAGACTCGTTTAAAAATATATATATACACACACACACAGTCTACATGAAATGTGGGGAGGAAAATATCAACTGGGTCTCAATTTGCAAAGCAACACTTTTAGAGTGTCTGAAATGTGGCAAATCACTGAATTCAGATTTAACTTTGAAGTTTGTTTTCTGACATTCTTTGCCCACAAATAGTCACTGCATTACAACGTGCGTCAAGTGAGCCAGTCTTCTCCTGAAGTGCTTTACAACAGGTTTAGGTTGCCCTAAAGAGAAGTATCCTTGCTGCGTGTGATGAGATGCAGTAAACCTCACGTAAGTCGTATCAGCTGGGACCATACATTAAATATGAGTTATGTCAAAGCTATAAATAACAGGAAATTCAATAGGACGTGGGCAGATGTACAACTTAGGTGATTACACGATTTATACAGATTGAGGTTTACTGTAGTTATCACCGAGTACAACATGAAATTCCTCTTTAATCTTCAGCAATCTGCTGGAATTTATGCACTGTCAGTCAAACGATGCAATTATTTTTTTTAAGATGGATGTATCCGAGGCTATGAATTGAAACACTGCTGCGTGAGACAATCTCGGATTTTAGGTGATAAACGCGGTTACCTTTGATTCTTCCTGTGATGTACAGGAATCCATCCTCATCGTGTTTCCCAAGATCTCCCGAGTGCAACCAACCCTCCTCATCAATGGACTCCTCCGTCTTGTCCTCCATGTTCAGATATCCCATGAAAACGTGTCGTCCCCAGAAGCAGATCTCCCCACAGCTGTCGCTATCAGGCTTGTAAATGAGAGTCTTGCAACCTGGCATCACTTTCCCACAACTGTTGAGATGATGATGATGATGATAATAATAATCCGTATTTGATCAAGCCCCTTATCACGTCTTCGAGACGTCTCAAAGCGCTTCACAGAATATACTCTAAAGTGAATTGACTGTATTTTGTGGGCGAAACGCGGCAGCCGATTGCACACAGCAGCGTCCCACAAACAGCCGTAACCAAATAATTTTTTAAAATTTATTTTGAAGGAATTATTAGCCCCGGAAAAGCAATCCGGCAATCAACTAACAACCGGGTTCCTACTTACTGCTAGGTAAACAGAGGCGTGTCGAGTAAGGAAACTTGCCCAACGTTTCGCCCTGCCTGGGAATCGAGCCCAGGTCCTCTCGTTTGCGAGGCGAGTGCTCTAACCACTGAGCTACAGGACACCATGAAGGCAGAAATCAAGAAGGACAAAGCTTTGCATCAAGAGAAAGTCACTCATCTCCTTGAAAATGAGCTCTGGGGCTGGGCCAAAAGTCTAAAAGGCACACAAGTCGTCAGCAAAAAACGATGAACCTTGTAGTATTAATTCTCGCAATGAAAGCCATCTATGTATCACATCACTGAGTTCTGACTAAACTCAACACAATGTGCAATAATCTTTGCATTTGATATAGCTCCTTTTGTTGTTGAGGAAATGCTTCACATGATTATTTATGTATTACTTACCGTCTTAAAATACACTGTCAACCACTTTCACAGCATATCCTGTGAAGCTCTTTTGAGACGTTTCAACCGCGAGGTAAGGCGCTATATCAAATGCAAAGGATTATTATCACCGTAGAGTGTAGTGATTGTATTCCTAGGCAAATGTGGCAGCATTTCCAGCAATCTATCGCTGGGATTTCCACGTGTAGCTGGGATGCGTGAGATTCACAGTTTGGTTAGGAGACTCTTAAGCACGGTGATGGGTTACTACATGTGTCTGGCACCTGGCTGACTAAAAATAAGTGGGGAAACTCAGAAGACGATCAATCACAAAGGCAATTGTATGAAACCGGAGAGGGGAAGTGATCTTTAGATTTCTCGCGCACTACAAATAGGACAGTCGAGCTGAGTATCGTTCTTAAACTCAAGAGACGAGCCTGTTTGGTTGCATTTCTCATCGAGGCCCAAGGCGTGGAATGTGGCTTGATCGTCCGGTCAGACTGGCAAAGCCAGTTTTGAGCTTACAAAGAGTGAGTATAATCACTCAAGTCTATGTTCAGCTAATAAGTTTCAAGGTGCAAACAGTTTTGGGAGTGGCAAAGCCTTCAACACGAGAAAATACCAGCCGTGTGGACACCTCGTGGCGTATTGGTTAGAGCAGCAACAACAAATTATATTTGTATAGCGCCTTTCACGTCAGGAGGACATCTCAAGGTGCTGCTTGGGAGGAACCAGGTTCAATTCCCGGGCAGGGCAAGACCTTATTCAAGTTTCCCAACTCCAAACGCCCTGTTTACCCAAAACTAAGAAGGAATTTGGGTGTCAATCGATTGTTAATAATCCCTCCAAAAAGAAAAAATAATAATTGGTGACTCAATCCACGACTGTTTGTGGGACATCCCTGTGTCCAATTGATAGCCGTGTTTTGCCCAGAAAATATACAGTCAATTCACTTTACAGTGTATTCTGTGATGTGTAGTGCGACGTCTCAACGACATGAAAAGGTTGGTATACCAGCACTTACAATAACACTTACCAGCAAGTTACAGTGCCATGACGAGGAGCAGGAAAACTGAACCCAACTGCTACTGCCCTCCATGGCTTCCCCAACTGAGATCATGAAATCAATAGCTCAGTACCACCCCATAAAGAGTAACTTCCCTTCTTAGCAAAGACTTAACGATGAATCCCCCCCCCTTCCCGCTCAGCTAATACCCATAAACTATCCCTTGCATTTGATGAGACGCCTTAACACGTCATTGAGACTTCTCAAAGCACTTCACAGGATTTACTTTACAATCACTGCATTTGTAGGTGATGGTGGCAGCCAATTTGTACACAGCAACATCTCACACCACAAACAGTCGTGAAGTGAAATGACAATTTCTCTTTATACCACGTGAGGGGGGGAATTATTGGCCAGGACCCTGGGAGAAACTCCTCTCTCTTTGAACCACCCCACATCATCTTTGACGTCCACTTGTACGAGTAGCCAGGACCTCGGTTTAACAGCTCACCCGAAGGACGGCACCTCTGACAACACAGCGCTCAATTTCCACTGGATTGTCAGCCTGGACTGTGACCTCAAAGTCCCTCCAAAGTGGGGATTGAACCCCACAATCACCGAGCCAGAGGCGAGAGTGCTACCAACTGAGCCAGGCTGTTACAGTCACATTAAAGGAACAAAGAAAATAGCTCCAGTAAACCTCATAAGCCGCGTCAGTCAGGACCACACATTTACTTATGCAAAGTATGGAGTGATGTCAAACTTACATAGAACATAAACTCGTGAACGGGACTCGGGCAGATGTACGACTTAGGCCATTATACGATTGATACAGATCAGACGTATTGTGAGTTTTACTGTATTGAGCACAGCTTGACCTGAACACTGAAAACACAGAAGTATACACACAACATTGATGTTACCTGGAAAGTCTGCAGGATTCAGGCACTGAAATAGTGTGTGGTCCCGAGCTCTCACTCATTCCATACAGCTCGTAGACGGGAATATTGAGGCTGAGGAAGAACTCTATGGTGTCCTTGGTGATGGGAGCAGCTCCAGTGTAACATTTTGTGCACCGGCTCAATCCCAGAGCCTTGCGAACCCTCTTAAACACCAATTTTTTGGCTACTCGGAAGTTCAACGGCTGAGACATATTCCTGAACAAGAGGAACGAGAGAAACAAAACACACCCGTCAGCAAAAAAAAAAAAAAGCACTCAACGATCATTTTATTTGTTTCGAGTCATTTCATTCACAGTTTTTTTTGCTGTGGCAGTTTGATTGTATTTTTGGTTGGCGGGGCAGGGCGAGAAAGAATAAAGTGTCTCATACTCGGATAAGGTGAAGCTTTCCGAGAGGAGATTTAAAGGAAGGATGGTTTGAGCTTAATTCAGATGGGGAACTAAGCTGATGGCACAAAATATAAAAGCAGCGATTGAAACTGGGTTTGGAGTCGAAATGTTCTGATACATAAGAATTAGCCTGGCATCGTCTGTCTGTGTGCCCAGGCCCTCAGTACAGTGTGGAGGAGAGCACAGAAGCCAAAAGCCCATTGCTGAGAGGGTGTGCATCATGGGCTAAATAAGTGGTCTAAAAATAGATTCAGACCTCCTCAGCCTTCTAAAGAAGTATACAAGATCCTGAATGGTTTTGATAAAAAAAAATTATGATAAAGAGCACCGGAACCATAGAATATTACTTAAATTGCAAGAAGCCCCCAAACAAAACCAAGCAGCGTTTAATGCCGGCCTGGTTAGTTAGCTTCATTTGTGGCGACGCGATCAAATGAAACTCTCGGCACACACAAAAAAAAAAGGGAAGGGAGGCAACAGAATACTGTAATTGTTAGACCAACACAATAGAACATCGCACGTTTGCTTATCCCCAGCTTTTGCGTTTGTACGGTACAGATGGAGAGAGAAAAAAAGATACAGAGAAAGGCATAGAGACAGACTCCGAGAGAAATACGGTGAATTGAAGTGCAGAGTGAGAAAGGGAGAGAGAAAGTGTCAGAGAGAGGCAGAAAGAGGAAAGGGCTAGTACACTGTGTTTATGATAGTGACCGTATAAATCCAGTTGAAACAACTCAATTTAAACTGGGGTTGGGGAGATTATTGGCCAGGACCCTGGGAGAAACTCTTCTCTCTGAACCAGGGCATGGGATCTTTGACGTCCATCTGACTTGTATTCTATGTGATGTCCAATTATCCTCAATAGTTGTTGATCTCCAAATGGGGCCACAGTGTTGGATAATCGTCTCTCTAATGTACCTGGGAAAACAGTTGTGTACCCACCCGTTCATCCGGTTCAGATTGGTCTGCAAACCGACGTCCTTGGCCCAGGAAGCCACCTTCCTCCTCACGGTTGACGATTTGGCACCCACGGTCTTCATCTTCTCCTGCATCTTCTCCCACACGCGAGGCACTCCCATGAACGCTGTGGGACGCACCTCTCTCATCGTATTCACCAGGGAACCCTGCGGCAAACCGGCATTTCAAGCCACAGGTCAACTTTTTGGCGTTACGCACAGTAAACCTCAAAATAAGTCGTATCAGTTGAGACCTTACATTTAACATGACTTGTGCAAAGTCTGACTTACGTGAAACTTATTTAATAATGGGAAATTCAACGGGACTTGGGCAGATGTACGACTGAGGCTATAATACGATTTATACAGGCCAGACTTGTGCGAGTTTTACTGTATAGAGGCCGGGCTAGGGGGCTTATAATGGCGGGTGGTGTTTGCGCATCTTCTCAGCTTGGCCACGAGGTGGAGCACTACACAGGCATGGAGACACTACCGCTTGAAGGATGGAAAAACTGGCTTCAGAGGATCACAAGACTGGTCAAAAGGCCTTTCGGCCCATCCAAACTCATCCTCACGCCACTTGAATTGCGCCACCCAACTGGAGATAAATGGTAGCTACCATCATCCTCCTCAGCCAGCCTGAGGAGAACGTGGAGCTCAAGGACTCTCTAACGGGAAAAGTACAAGCATCTTAAACCCAAAACAACTTAAAACACAACATTTACCTTCAGTGCATCCGGTTGTGCAAAATAAGTTGCTCCTCCACATTTTATGGAGAGCCAGATGTCGATCATCTGTGCCGCGATGTGACTGAGCGGCAAGTAGCTGATGACCGACTCCTGGCTATCAGTCGCTGCTCGGAGATTAACAGTGTTTCCTGCGACACCTGCTGTCCACGTTAACTGTGGTTAGAAAAGGAACAAGGCTTTCAATAGTATCAGATGGAAATGGGTCATAATCAGAGACACAAACGATATGACTGCTGTGTTTAAGGCAATGTTTATCTGAGGAATTGGGATTCGGATGGATGGTTTCTTGGGAGGAGCAACCGCCATCTTGAAGTAAAAGGGTCGAATGGTCTCCTACTACATCTTATGTTTCAATGGTTCTTTGGATTCCTTGGTATCAACCGAGTTGTAATTGGATGCAACTTCGGGAACTGAAAGGGCGTCAGCTCAACCCATTGAAAGTCTGCCTCATCGCAAACTACTATCAAAACCGTGTGTGATAGTTATGATTCCCAAAAGGTTTTTCTGGCAAGCTTTCCCCCTGCTTGTTCAGCTGGGACCACCTTACCCGTTAGGGCTTTGGTTTGGAGGGTCCACAGGAGCTGAGTGGGATGATTCGTTGCCCCCAGTGCCCACTCCCAAAAGGAACTGTAATCTGACTTGGGATGCTTATTAAGGAATCCGGTTAGAAATCGGCCCATTCTAGACTCCGCTATATAGTTCTCTATATAATGTTGCCTGATTAAAAGGATACATGTGTAGTTGTGTATATATCATGTAATATATAGTCTCCCTCCAAACCTCTGCCTTTCCCCATCCATCCCCATCTTCAGGTCGTGCCTGAAGACCTTCCTCTTCGACTGTGCTTACAGTTACCTCCCACCGTGCTCGGCCACTGTCTGTGGGACGCTACCCTGAGTGAGGGGCGCTGCTTAAATGCAAGTTGTTGTCGTCACTGTTAGGTCTGTTACGTGTAACAAAATGAAATCAAGCAATAAATAAGCACGGTGCGCTGGAATCACCGGGAGGGCTTACGTTGTCGTGGCTCAGCATGACTCCCTTCGGCTTTCCGGTGGTTCCTGACGTGTAGACGAGAGTGCAGCATTGGTTGGGTTTCTGAGAGGCAATGATCTCGTCCAGCTCGGAATCCGACACGCTTTTCCCCACCTGCATGAAATCTGCCCACTTTTTCCGACACAAAAAGGCGAGAAAGTACAGTTCAGGACGACTTTCGGAGAGAGGGAGAGAGAGAGAAAAAAACACACACACACACACACGCTGTTCGTTTCCACAGCAAAGGGTATACTCAGAGAAGGCAGTGCATAAAATAATGAGACGCCACAATTTTAAGCGAAGGGCTTAAGATGGCACATATTTAACAGAGCAACGAATTGATCGTTTGAGCCGTTCAGTAATACACGTTGCCCCAAAAAATCGTGAAAACTGCCCTTTTATCTAAAAAAATATATATTAATTTCTGTAAGACTTACTAGACATTGTAATGGTATCACGACTTTTTGGTCACACTGCACTTTATCACACGAAGAACATGCAACACCACAAACTGAGCCATTTATAAACTATCAAACCCCCCCCCACCCCAACACACACACACAATGATTTCTCCCAAGAATCCCCTCCGTGCAGCCGAAGCAATGATTCTAAGTTTGTACTTGGAGATTGTGGTTTAGCTCCGGGTTTAACTCACTCCAAACCACCCACATTTCTCAGTTTAACTCTCCGGTTCCCAGTTGTACCTACAGTGTATACATTTGGCCTCTTCTCCTTCACTTCATCCTTGTATTGCACAATTGCCTTTAGGTGCGGAAGTTGGTCTTGAATCTGAAATTAAAACAGGTTCATCAATGTGAGCTCCGAATAGTAAATAGTGTTCAGTAAACACCATAATTACCTGATCCTTGCCCCTATAAAACAATCACAATCCACGCAGGCCAGAACACCACCATGGCCCAGCTGGTATTGTACTGTCCAACACTTTGTGAGACGTCCTCCCGACGTGAAAGGCGCTGCGTAAATATATATTTGTATTGATTGCGAGTGCAAGCGGCTGTGGCTGAGAGATGTCGTTACAGGAGACGTTTAAATGCAACTTCACAAGTCTGNTTTTTTTTAAAAGAACACATTAAAAATGCAACAAAGGCCACAAATGTGATAAGCTCCAGAGAAAATGTGAAAAATCGGCTGGAATTACAATGCTTTAATTGTGGAGTCCTGCAGCTCAGTGGTTAGAGCACTCGCTTTGCAAGTGAGAGTCCTGAGTTCAATTCCAGGCAGAGGGCGAAACCTTGGGCAAGTTTCCTTACTCCACGCAGAGCCTAATAATAATCCCTCCAAAAAAAACAAAACAATAATAAATTGGTCATTTTCAATCTACGACTCTTTGTGGGACATTGCTGTGCACAATTGGCTGCCGCGTTCGCCCACAAATATACAGTCAATTCACTTTACAGTGTGTTCTGTGAAGCGCTTTGGGACGTCCTCCCGACGTGAAAAGCGCTATATCAAATGCAAAGGATTATTATTATTTAATAACATGAGCTTTGCGCTCAACAGGATAGCTGCAACCTCAAAACAGGCTTCCCGGGTGTTTGGTGTAAAGTGCAGCGACTGTGTATTTGCATAGTATTGCATAACTGTGCACTGACTGTGGGGTCAGTTTGCTCAGCAAAGTCCCACAAATAGTCATTAAGTGAATGATCGATTTATCTGGAGGACAGTTGACCATGACACTGGGAGAAAACTGCTTCTCCCTTTTGAAATAGTGCCGCAAGATCCTTAACGTCCACCTGAACTGCCAGACATTGACCTCAGTTTAATGTTTCACCCGAAGGACAGCTCCTCTGCCAACCCACTGCACCACAGGGTCAGCCTGGAGTACGGACTCAAGGTTCATGGATTACTATTTGACTATCCTGTGGGGTAATCTACAGTCGACTATAAAAATAAAGGATTGTATTTCTTTAGAGGTAGTTTAAATCCAAGTTCCATCCAGGGAGTTGGGAGGATAGGTAGTTAGGGAGCAATAATATTATAGTAATAGTTAATAATCCCTCCAAAAAACATTATTTGGTCACTCAATCCACAACTGTTTGTGGGACGCTGCTGTGCGTAATTGGCTGCCGCGTTTCGTCCACAAAATACACAGTCAATCCACTTTACAATATATTTTGTGAAGCGCTTTGAGACTTCTCTCAATGACGTGATAAAGCACTATATCAAAATGCAAGAATTATTATGATGATAACCAGGGGAATTTAAAAGACAGCTTGGTCGCATTTGTTTTCCATATTAATAATAATTAAAGTGGTCTTGTGGAATATCAAAGGAGTGTTATATTGCCTAATGTTTCACCTGCTTTTGAAAAGCACCGAGGCTAGATTCGTTTCTGTTGAGAGAAAGGATTTGGAGGATTACGATTGGGAAATCCAACTGAATTTGAGTTCAAGGACTTGTGTACCAACCTTCTTTACATAATAATATCGATCCACTCCCGTCTGAACACGAGCAGATATGAAATAATAATAATAAATAATTGTATTTGATTATATTGTCTTATGTCTGTGAGACGTCTCAAAGCACTTCACGGAATATAATGCAAAGTTAATTGACTGTATTTTGTAGGCGAAGGCTCAGAACGAGATAGAAATCAACGTATCCGATGTGGTTTCACTCTGGGTTAAGGCCCACAAACCTGCAGGATTTTCTGTAGCTGTTTGTTGTTTTCCACCACCAAGATGTTGGCTTCGCTGTTCTCTGCCACATAGTGACAGGCTTCAGGTGAGTTGGTGGTGTAGATGCCGACAGCCAATCCTCTGCGTGGGTCAGAAGAAATAAGACCATTAAATTTCAGTGCCTGGGAAGTCTTTCTGATGTGAAAGGGCGCTATACGAGTGTGATTTGTTGCAGTTGTAGTTGTTAAATGGGGTTTTAATAGAGTAAATATGGAGGAACTGTTTCCACTGGCGGGCATGTGGGTTTGTAACAGGAGACCAGAGATTAAAGATAACTGGCAAACAGAACCAGAGGGGAGACAAAGAGAATGAAAAAAAAATGACGCAACAAGTTATTCACTGCTTGAACGGACGGTGCCAGCAGATTGAATAATAACTTCCAAAAGGAAATTGGATATTTACTGGAAAAGGAAAAAAAATCTGCCAGGATATGGGGAAAGGGCCGGGGCGTGGGACGAGTTGGTAGCTCTTGCAAAGAGCCGTGGGAGGTATGATGGGCCGAACAGCCTCCTTCAGTGCTGTAGAAGTCCACGATTCTACATTTTTATGGATCTACGCTGACATTATTACTCGGCCCTTTAAGTAGTCAGAAAATCTGAATTCCCCAACAGTTCTGCCGGGGAAAGCTCAAAGACAGGCTAAGAAACCTATTTGCACAAGCATCGCAATCAGTCGGCCTTTCTGCACAGTCGGCTCAGTTTGCCCGCGTCAGCCTCACCCTGCGAGGATCGCTCCGATATCCGCAATGAACCACTCTGGGGAGTTGAATCCCAAGATCCCGACCCCATGGAAACGCTCCAGTCCGAGCTGCAAACGGAAAGGTCGTAATCAACCCCAGAGTCAAAGGCGAGCCTTAACCATCCCGAAAACATTTTACTGATTGGGATTCATTTCGCAGTACAAACTGTCTGGGAAAAAAAAACGCTCAATACGGGTCAGTCAGAAAAGAGGCCTGCACCGAATCCTCCCCAGGGTGAGGAGTCAACGGGGAAAGAATCCACGTGCGGTCTGAGATTTACCCCTCTTAACATAGTCATCTGTCTCCATAGTAACTATCTCCCCAAAACACCAGAGACCTCCGAGTTACCAATGACAATAGGTCAGGGATTGATACTCATCTGCAATTCCCCCCACCCCCACCTTTTGGGCAGGACGTCAGTCTCCAAATACGTCACTTATCAGAAAGATATGTGTAGTGGTTGATCCCAGTGCTGACCCACGGTCAGTCAAAGTCCCAATCATCGCTGACGACCACGATAATAATTCCTGCAGTTGATATAGCAAACCTATCACGTCTTCTAGACGTCTCAAAGCGCTTCATAGAATACACTGTCGAGTGGATTGACTGTACGTTTTGGGGGCCAAACGTGCAGTTTCTACTGCTTATTGCTGCCTACCATTTGCTAATCCACTTTAACACAATGCCATCTGTCCATTCACGACCTGAATCTTATAAAGTGTGCAGTAGCAGTTACATAACACAGCACGGAAACAGGTCATTCAGTCCAAGCCGCTGTTTATACTCCAACCCCCACACACCACCCTCATGCACCCCCACACACACGCACCCCTCCCCACACACACACATCAACACCCCCCCCACACACCCACGCACACACATCAACCCCCCCCTTAAACACGCTGATGGTTTCTGCTTCAACCACAGCTTCCAATGACTAGTTCTACATTCGCTTGGGTGGCTGGCCGGCTAAGCTGGGCTGCATGAAGCACTCTGTCGTGGGAAAGTTTTTGTAGGAACGCAAGTCCCATTGTATCGCCGCAGGAAGAAGAAGAAGAAGAAGAAAAAAAATCAACAGGTTCTGCCTCACCTTCACAAAGCTTTTGGCAGCGTTTCTACACTCGTCATAGTACTGCTTAAACGTCAGCTTTTTCCACTGATCTCCCTGCTTCGACGCGAGTGCCATGTAATCGCCGTACTTCGTTACGGTTTCCACGAACATCTGATGGACGGTAATGGGTGGATCGGCAGCCAGGCCAGAGCTCTCCATTCGCAGCTTAACTTCAAAATCGCGCTGGGTTCCGCACAGCCTTGAGCCGACGAGCGGCTGAGGTACATCTTGGGAGACACGATGGGAACAAACGTGCGTTAGGTACTCCCGACATTCCCCTCTCCGCAGTCGCAGTGTATGAATTTAATAATAATAATAACCCTTACATTTGATGTAGCGCCTTTCACGGCAGTCAAAATGACTTCATAGTGTAAAACATAGCGAGTAAAATAATACCTGCATTTCATATAACCCCTTATCACATCGCTGAGACGTCTCAAAGCGTTTCACAGGATATACCGTAAAGTGTGGTAGAGTTTTATGGGCCCCACAAACAGTCGTGCATTGAGTGATCAAATTTTTTTTTTTTTGGGGGGTCGGGGGCGTGGGGAGGGGATTATTGTTTGCCTGTGGTTTTTCTAGGTGAGCCCAGCAGCTGATTTGCATACAGCTACGACCCACGATTAGTCATGAATTGAATGAACAATTTTATCTGGGGGATTGTTGTCCAGGAGAGAGAGAAACTGCCTTCTCTTTACAGGCAATCTCTGGGGGTGCGGATCAATGTGCAGGAAGCCAATAAGTCCGGAGGTGTAGGGCGCTTCTTGTAACCTCGGTTCCATAGCAGACTTGCAGTCATAATTTGGCCGCCATGAACCATTCCTGTCGCCGTCGCTGTCTCACTCCCAACGTAGCCAGGCCCCTCATTCCAGATTCAACTTCGCTAAGGTCCCTTTTGCTGGCCTCCCTAATTCAATCCTGTACAAACTCCAGCTCATCCAGTGGCTGTCTCTTCTCTATCACTGAGCTCCACAGGGCCAGGCCCTCCACTAGCTCCCGGACCCCATTGGATCATCTTTAGATACTTGCTCTGACTCCAATATCAGTCCGCGCTCTTAGCTTCACCCTACTCTACCCTGGCTGTGGGTGATGTGGTGAGGCCTGCTCATTTGTTGGTAACTGGGGCGTGTTTTGGATCGCACAATCAATGATGGATTGATTCTCCTGTGATGATAACCACCAAATACCAACTGGATTTAATTAATATAAAAAGGAATGTCGGAATTGAGCCAGCCCTCTTGTTATGCTACGTGGAAGACTAATAATAACCCTGCGTCTATTAGATGGAGATTAAAACAAATAGCAGCGAAAAGACATCAGTAGGCCATAACAGGAAAAACAAGAATATCACCAAGCGATTAAAACAGGTGAGGTGAGGATATTTCACCAGTAAAATCAGCCACAATTTGCACAAATGGTTTATCATGAATAGAAATGACAGCGTCAGCTGCAAGAGAGGGTTTACCGTCTGCTTCGTCTCTGAGGCTTTTTTGCAGTAATCGAATAAACACTCCCGCGTCACAAGGTTCAACACCGCAATCCTGGGCGGCATCACTGAACCGCGATTCAACATCCGAGTTGGTGGAGCTTCTGTAATTCACGAGAAAATAAAGGTAACTTCACGTTTATCCCGAGAGCAAGAACATTAAAAGTACATGATAACGTGGATTAAAAACTATTGTGTGATAACACAAGCACTCCGAGACGCCGTGCGGCATTAAGGGCGCAATATAACTGCAATTCATTGTTGTTGTTGCCCCATTCGTCCACAAATACAGTCACTACGCCTTCTAGTGAGACTTATTTTGAGAATTTGGCAAAATCGTCCACAAAATATACAGTCAAATCACTCTACAGTATATTCTGGGAAAGCGCTTTGAGGCATCTCAACGGCGTGAAAAGATGTTATATCAAAATGAAATATCAAAGGATGATTATTATTATTATTAATAATTGTATAATTCTTGCATTTTGATACAGCACCTTTCACGTCAGAAAGGCATTTCAAAACACTTCATGAGATTTACTGGAGAGCGTTGTGACTGTACATTTGTACGTGCATTTAAGTTTATACTCTTACGGTCCAAAACATTACTGCAGTAGGCGAGCCATAGAGAGAAGGCACCATATCAAATGCAGGGTTTATTCCTATTACCATCTTCAGCTATGATTAATTATTTCTGCCTCATTCCCTTCACTTTAATATTCAACTCAAATAGCCCTTCAGCCTCTGGTCAGTTCCCATTCTCCCCAGCTCAGTGTCAACCTCCACCGTTGCTCCAAGACACTACCCCACGTGAAGGGTGCTTTACACATCAAGTTGTTGTTTTGTTTTCCAATAGCTCTGTGGGATCTTCAACATCGACCCGTGCTGAGCAATCCTCGAGTCAACGATCTCCAGTCCAGTTCATGAGCCGTGTGTGTCCGCAGTATTCCAGGACACTGCTCGCAATGGCACAGCTCATTGGCAGGACTTAGAAGGGCAGACCAGCCACTGTGGCCAGAGACTTTTCCCACTCAGCTTCTCAGTTCACATTGGAAGCCAAGGCTCTTAAACAAAAAACGTAATAAATGTTGATACAAACCCCCACCCCCCAACCACCGCCCGCCCCCGCCACCCAAAAAAAGAGTCATAAAACCAATGAGTAATACCTTTCTGATGATACAACGAGCACCTCAACGTCAGGCAGAATGGTATTTGACTGCTGTATCTCGGCGGCTTGACCCACTGGCTCCGTGATCAAGGACATAGTTGACTCACACACAACCGTTGCTGGAAAACATCAAGCGTCAAACGTGAACAACTCGGCTAATACCCAAAAAGACGGCAACTCTGAAGTCAATCGATCGCCACGGTTACAGCGATCCAGGCCAGTAGTTAATGATTTCGGAGACAGCTTCGCATAGCGTTGCGTCTACAAAATACACAGTCAATTCAATTTACAGTATGCCCTGCAAAGCGCTTTGAGACATCTCAAAGCCATGCTAAGGCACTATATCTAATGCAAGGATTAATATTATTATTATTATAGCATGGCGCGATCTGTAATGTCCGCCTGATCAGGCGACGGGAACCTTGATTGGATCTCCAATCTGAAAGACGTGAAGTGGAAAGGACTTTTTTTTTTCAAGGCGTTGAAGTCGCAATTTGACTTCCCAATATAACACAAGGTGTAGTCTTGAAGAATTTTGCAGATGAGATTATTTAGAAAGAAGGTGAATGAAGTGGATGAGTCTTAACTTTCCTCAACAGAACTGAAGCCTGGTCCTAGTTGGATCCAGCCTACACCTCCTCACCTCTGGCTTCCGAGCAAATCAACCTCCCAACTGCTCACTCCAGCTCACACTCCCGCCATTTTGTTTGACCCTCAGTTCTTGAATCCTTCAACCTGTCCTTGACCAAGTCCACTTTCCTCCACCTCTGGAACATTGTCCATTGCTGTCCCTATCTCACCCCCAACATAGCCAATCCCCTCATTCATGCCTTTATTGCCTCCAGATTCATTTTGACTGATGTCCTATTTGCTGGTCTCCCTAACTCAACCCTGTACAAACTCCAGCTCATCCAGAACTCCACTGTCCATCTCCTCTCTATCACTGAGTTCCACAGGCCTGCCTGCTCCAAAAGGTGGATCATCTTCAGCTAGTTGCTCTGACCTCCAAAGTCACTCCGTGACTCATTTTACTAGGGGAGATTGTTAGCCAGATAACCAGGAGAAAGTAGTTTCTCCTTTCAAATAATGGCACGTGACTTTTAATGTCCACCTGAACAGGCAGACGGGGGCCACAGTCTGACGTTTCATCCGAAGGACAGCAGCTCCGGCAATGCCGCGCTCTCCCAGCACTGCAGTGGAGTGTCAGCCTGGACTGTGAGCGCCAAGTCCCGACATGCGGCTTGAACCCAACGATCTCCTGACCCCGAGGGGAGGTTGCTGCTAACTGAGCTGGGCTGACGAGAGGTGGAGCGGGTGGGGTTGGTGAGGCATTCGTTGATAATTGAAGCATATTTTGGATCTCACCCTAAACAATGCGATAATTATCTCCTTTGACAACCATCAAATACCACATCCACCCTCACGTTACTGAAAGTGCAATCGCCAGTCACTGGTGCAATGCAAAGCACACCAGCACTCGAGACTTGTTCGGACAACATCGTGAGCTGCATCTCTGATTAACAGTAACGTGTTAAGTTATTGACCTACTGCGCAAGCAGAAAAACCCAACTGAAACACGTAGGCAAAGGCCTGTAGTCAAAAAAACAAGCAGGTAGTAAAGCCAAAGGGCAAACAATTGATGTGTAACAAAGGGTGTGGTGTTCGAGAGGAAGGAGTGGAACTGGAGACAGGAAAACAGGACCGAGTCTCACGTGGGAAACATCCTATATTTTAATTTATTCTAAAAAGTTCCAATCCAAAGGCCGCCCCCCCAGAAAAAAAACACATCTTCATTAGGGATGCAAACTCCTAAACATAGTCCAACTTTGACATTCTGCGCAGATCTGATCAAGTTAAGTGGATTCCTTGTGGATTTCGGTTTACAGCAATCCTCAAATGATAACAGTTCTGAGCTTAAAATTATTCGGGGTGGTTTCAGAAAAGGCCACTCAAGACAGACATGTAAAATAGTATTGTATTTCCACATCTCTTGTTTCTATCTGCCGCCCAAAAAAAAAAGTCCCGGGGGGGCGACGATTTGGTTAACAAAAAAAACCTTCAATTTCAAAAAAATTAAACCTTTTACGGTTCCTTATTTCTGATCTCGAACGTAAAGTAAAATATAAGCACTTGAACGCTTTAACCTCACACGGCGAAGGGGATTTTTTTCCCCCCCACCTCTTTTGCGATAGAAAATGGTCAATTCATGCAGTGGCTTATTTTTAAAATTAAAAACAGTAGTTTTTGTCCCAACTTTAGGCTGACGTTGACTGGTTAACTAACACACAGCAGAGAAATCGCAAACCTTATTATAAACAAGTGCATCGAGTCCCAAGACTCTTAAAAAATCTTATCGTTTTATTTTTTTAACCCTATATATATAACACCTAAAGTTTTTTTTTAAAAAAAATCTATTCTTTGTTAAATCTAACAATGTGGCTTTGACAACAAAACGAAAGCTGAAAAATTATCCGGTTGTAACAGTTGTTTGAATAATTATAATATAATAATAATACAATAATAATAATAACCGGACGTAGCTTTTGACCAAGCCATTTATTTGGTTATACAGTCAATTTACTTTACAGTATATTCTGTGAAGCGCTTCGGGACGTCCTCCCGACGTGAAAAGCGCTATATCAAATGCAAGGATTATTATTATTATTATTATTATTTGGACGAGTAGTCAATTTTACGAGAAGGGGTGAATGAACTCTACAATGCAGCAAGAGGCAAAACACATACTGTGTCATCAGACAAAACATTGACTGATGTTTGGTTAATATTTACCTTTCCCCTCCAAATAAACAGCTGGAAAACACTCGTGTCAAACCAATGGACACAAATTGAATGTTTCCAAAGCTTTTACTTCTGATAAGTAAACTTTTTAAAGCTTCCTCACGTTTAGAAAGAGGTTTACTAAATTGCCAGTCTCTTTTTTTTCCCTCCAAGCACCACCGCACTTCATTGGAACAGACGCCAGAGATGATTCAATTTACACCCTTTTTTTTAATATATGTATATATATATATATATATACCCTTCAAAACCATATGGAAGTCATTAAAACTTTGCTTGGGTTGGAACCTGACTTCCCCCAAACAATATATGCCTTGTACAATTGATTCACATCCACCAGAGCAAATTAAAAAAAAAGGTTCTGTGTTGCAAAAAAAAAGGTAAGAAGACTAGAAATGCTAATAAAACCAACACATCGTTTCACTCCATCCTTTTCTTTTAACATTGTTCCTGGTCCCCCCCTCACCTCTCCCTCCCCCCACCTACAGACTAAATACACAGTAATCCAGTACATTTGCCAAAATTTATAATATTTATATATATATATCTATAAAAAACTGAGACATTTCATCTCCCAACACAGGGTACAGTTACACAGTTGACTCACACTCAGGGGTTGGGGTTGTGGAAGCTGTACACCCACACACTCAGTCGAGTCAGTTTAACACAGCAACTGAGTTGGTTCTTTCTGTCTTGTTTTACACACACACACAACACACGAGAAGTATTGGTCTTACAGTATATCCTTGGCCAGAGGGTGTGGGGGTGGGTGGGGGTGTGGGTGGGGGGTTAGAGAACAAAAAAAGGGGAGTTTTCAGATCAGACACACACACACAAAAAAAAATCCCCCACCAATACACACACACACACATATAATATATATATATGTATAACACACACACATAACACAACTCACGTTTCCTTTACACAGTACCTGAGATGCCAAGTTGCACAGTGGCTGTTGCTTTTTGCAGTTGCAGTTTGCAGTCTTTCTCTCTCTCTCTCTATCTCTTGTCTCTCTCTCTCTCTCTCTAGCACCCTCTCTCTCTCTAGCACCCTCTCTCTCTCTCCAGCACCCTCTCTCTCTCTCTAGCACCCTCTCTCTCTCTCTAGCACCCTCTCTCTCTCTCTAGCACCCTCTCTCTCTCTCTCCAGCACCCTCTCTCTCTCTCTAGCACCCTCTCTCTCTCTCTAGCACCCTCTCTCTCTCTAGCACCCTCTCTCTCTCTAGCACCCTCTCTCTCTCTCCAGCACCCTCCCTCTCTCTCTCTCTAGCACCCTCCCTCTCTCTCTCTCCAGCACCCTCCCTCTCTCTCTAGCACCCTCCCTCTCTCTCTCCAGCACCCTCTCTCTCTCTATCTCTTCTCCCCAACCCTCTCTCTCTAACACCCTCTCTCTCTCTCTAGTCTCCCCAGCCCTCTCTCTCTCTCTCTCTAGTCTCCCCAGCCCTCTCTCCCTCTCTCTCTCTAGTCTCCCCAGCCCTCTCTCTCTCTCTCTTCTCTCTCTCTCTCCCTCTCCCCAGCTCAGCTCCCTGTGTGGCTCATGTTACAGGAGTGCAATGCTCTTGGGCTGTGTGTTTGAATCAGCAGAAGTCTCACTCAGAGCAAATAACCAGTGCCAAATGATGCAACGTTTCCCAGACCCTTGGATTGGTTGTCGGAGTCTGCAGGTACCTCATCACCCCATCTCCACAGCCCCATATATGGCTGAATCCTCAGCCCACACCACCAGGGAATGTCAAACCACTGCTTATTTCCTCTCTCTCTCTCACTTGGGGAGGGGGTGATGGTGGTGGTGGTGGTGGTGGTGGAGGGGGGGTTCAATGTCCTGTATCCTGACTCTATTCTGCGCCTTGTGCTGTGCGTAATTTCTCTCCACACTCCACACACACACACCCACTCACTCACACACCCACTCACACACACACACACCCACACCCCACCCTCCTCTCCAAAAGGGAGGGGAGATGTGCAAACCTATTTTGCATTCCTCTCCCCTCTCTCCCCTCTCTCCCCCCACTTCAGTGGTGAGTGACTGAGGCATCTGCATCTCAGGGGTTACTGCAGGTCATTTGGAAGACACAGCGTTTATCTCTGTGTGTGTGTGTTTTCAAAGGATCTCGTATTCGGCTACTGGTGCAAACTCACACTCACACACACACTCACACACACTCACACACACTCACACCAACACACACACACACTCACACCAACACACACACTGACACACACTCACACACACACTCTCACACTCACACACTCACACACACACACCGACACACACACTCACACCAACACACACACTCACACACACTGACACACACTCACACACACACACACACACACTCACACCAACCCACACACTCACACACACACACACACTCACACCAACACACACACTGACACACTCACACACACACACTGACACACACACACACTCACACACACTGACACACACTCACACACACACACTCTCACACTCACACACACTGACACACACTCTCACACTCACACACACTGACACACACACTCACACCAACACACACACTCACACCAACACACACACACTCACACACACACTCACACCAACCCACACACTCACACACACACACACACTCACACACACTCACACACACTCACACCAACACACACACTGACACACACTCACACACACACACTGACACACACACTGACACCAACACACACACTCACACACACTCACACCAACACACACACTGACACACACTCACACACACACACTCTCACACTCACACACACTCACACCAACACACACACACTCACACACACACACTCACACCAACATACACACTGACACACACTCACACACACTGACACACACACACACACACTCACCCTGACACACACTCACACTGACACACATTCACACACACTCACACACTCACACTGACACACACACTCACACTGACACATACTCACACACACTGACATACACTCACACACACACACTCACCCTGACACACACATACTGACACACACACACACACACACACACCAACACACACACACTGACACACTGACACACTCACAGCAGAGACATGTCTTGCATTGCTAACAGGATGTTCCAGTGCGGTGAGGCACTGCGCATTAATGTCTCGATTGCATCTACTTGTTAGATTTTTTTTCTTGGCCAAGATTCGAGCCTCAAGTATTTATTGTTGCACGTTGTGCAAAAACTGACTCAGAGACGTTCCCTTAAATCCGGTAGTTTCTCCCCGAAATCCAGCTCGTACGATATTTCCAGTTCCTCTATCATTTCGAACAGCAACACGCTTGCGTTTTCTTCCCTCCCCCCGGCCACTAATTCTTCTCTTTATACAGCAGTGCTATTTCGAAAGAAAAACCACACAATTGCACTGCAATCCTCTCGTTTAGGAAAGAAAGCGAATGCGTACGGCCTCGCGGTCGACCTTCCAGTGGAATTTCACTGTGACTAACAAATTAATGAATTCATTCATTCAAGTAATTGATTTGCACAAACAATATTTTTGCCAGCAGATGTTGTTGGAGATGTTCCCCACCCCCCACAGGAAATGTTCTGTTCCTGTCACCAGGCAGCTGTTTTTGGCCTGTCCCCACCCTCTGCTCAGCAGACTCTGGTCTGGTCTACCCCACCTCCCCTGCCTCGCCTGCCCATCCATCGCTGGTCGGGCCTTCAGCCTTTCTGCCCTCTCCCCAGGGCCTCCCTCGAGACCTGTCTCAAGACCTTCCTCTTCGACCATTTCTTCGGTCACCCTCCTACCCTCACCGTCCCTGCCCTCCACCTCTCCTGATCCCAAACCACAGCTCGGGTGCACATCCTGACTTTGGGACATCCTCCCGACGTGAAATGTAATTTGTTTTTGTTGTTGTCTCCTCCCACTGCAGAATATTTACCACTCAACCTCAGAAGGACGTGTGCCTTGCCAGTAGGCTGAATGTTGTGGGAGGATGAAATCAGATGTGCGGAAGAGCTTTCTTCATCCAAACCAACCTTGTGATCTTGTGATTGAAGCCTGGGGCAGAAATTCTATCCCGGAAGCCTTGTGACTCCTTGGATTCGATTCCCCACAGGCTGAAACACTGGGAAAGTTTCCTTACTCCACACGCCTCGCCCTGTTAGATGATTGGCGGATTGCTTTTCCGGGGATAATAATTCCTTCCAAAAAAAATTGTTATCACTCAACCCACGACCGCTTGTGGGGACACTGCTGTGCGCAAATCGGCTGCCGCGTTCGCCCACAAAATGTACGGTCAATTCACTTTGTAGTATGTTCCGTGAAGCGCTTTGAGATATTTTGAAGATGTGAAGAGGCTCCATATCAAATGCAAGGATTATTATTATTTGCAATGACTGGGATACCCACCCTTATAAGCAGACAACAACGACAACAAGATTACATTTGTATAGCGCCTTTCACGTCGGGAGGACATCCCAAGGCGCTGGACAGTGTACAGCATTTCAGACCCGAGCTGGGGTTGGGGGTTTAATGGAGGGGAGGGGAAGGGGGTGGCCGATGGCATAGTCGAAGAGGAGGGTCTTGAGGCAGGACTTGAAGGAGGCTAAGGAGGGGGTGAGGCGGAGTGATTGGGGGATGGAATTCCAGAGGTTGGGGGCAGAGTGGCTGAAGGCTCTCCCGCCAATGGTGGGGCGGGTGGTGCGGGGGAACGTGGAGCAGCCAGAGCCGGCTGAGCGGAGGGAGCGGGCGGGTTGGTAGGGGGTTAGGAGGTCGCAGAGGTAGGGTGGGGCAATGCTTTACAAAACTCTCCCAAATCCACAACGTAAGATTGTTTCAAACAGCTGCGGGCACTCAGATTTACTAAAATCTATGAAGCACGACCCAAAATACCCACAAGAACTCCTTTCACATTCCATGATGATGACTAATCTATGAGTCAAAGGGCAAAAGAGAAATCAGCTGCCGGTGAGGCATAGAGAAACTTATGAAAAAATACGGAAAATACTCACATGATGGCGTAATCTTTAGCACATTGATAGAATTAGCAGAGAAAGGTTCTTGGAAGCTCTCTGGTTTTAAGTATAACAGAAGTCTCAGTTCCTGTTTTAATAATAATATTCCCGGCAATTGATATAGTACCTCATCACATTTTTGAGACATCTCAAACGCTCCACACTGTAAAGTGAATTGACTGTGTATTTTATGGGCGAAAACTATTTTGTTTGTTGTTCAACCGGATCTCTGGCGCCTGCGAAAACCCAGCATCCAAAGTAAACAACGGCAACACCAGTAACAAATTGCACTTCCACACACCTTTCACGCTGGGAGGACGCCCCGAGATGCTGGACAGTCAAGGGGTTTGCACCCGAGCTGGGGGTTGAAATCAAGAGGGGGTTGGGGGGGGGTGGGGGGTGGGAGGATGACTGAAGGCGAGGTCAATGAGGAAGGTCGAGAGATGGGCTTTGAAGGAGGCAAGGGAGGGGGTGAGGAGAAGGGATTCCAGAGGGTGGGGGCAGAAAGGCTGAAGGTCCGACCGCTGATAGTGGGTCAGGCAGGGTGTGGGAACCTGGAACAGGAAGGGTGCTACGTAAATGCAAGCAATGTTTGTTGTGCCCAGACGTTCGAAATGTGTTTGACAAAGTAGGAGCGTGCCAAGGGGGAAGCTGAAAGAGATCATCACTCACCTCGCAACCATGCAAGGCAGCAATACACAAAGCGAACCGCCCCGGTCAGGACAACTAGAGTTGCCGCGTTTAGATTTTAAAATAAAATGGAGAACCTGAACCCAGAACAGTCATGATACAGTGACTGTAGAGGAAAAAATGAATCACCCCCCCCACCCCCATCGCATTGGTGAGTGCGTTGGCACAAATTGGTGGCCAAGGGCAGGGCGCCACCGAGTGTCGCAGATCGGAACAGCACGTACGTTGTGGCTGGGATTTATCTGTGGAAGTTCACTTACAATACATAATAATCCTTGCATTTGATCGGAGTGCCTCGTCCCCATCGTTGAGACTTCTCAAAGCGCTTCACAGCGATTCACTTTACTTCACTCCGGTGGATCTAACCTCCTCAACCAACCCTGGGCTCTCCCTCGGACTCACCGAGCCAGTGCGCAATCTAGGCGTCCCGATCGACCCCCCAGGTGTCCTTCCTCCCCCGCATCCGGTCCCTGACCGGGACCGCCTTCTTCCACCTCCTCCACATTGCCCGCCTCCGAACCGCACCTTGCCCCCAAATGCAGCCGAAGCCCTCGTGCGTGCGTTTGTTACCTCCCGCCCGGATTACTCAAACGCACTCCTCGCTGGTCTCCCCAACTCCACTATTCAAAAGATCAGCTCATTCAGACTCTGCCGCCCTAAGACTGACCCGGACGAAACTCCGTACCCACATCTCACCAGTTCTGGCCATACTCCAGGGGCTCCCCATCACCGAACTTCAAGATCCTCACACTCGTGTTCAAATGCCTTCACTCTCTGGCACCTCCCGACCTCCTCACTCCCCAATCCGACACACAGCGCCTCCGCTCGACTGGCACCGGCCTCCTGCTCGTCCCTCGCACCCTGTGCCCCACCATCGGAGGTCGTGCTTTCAGCCAACTACGCCCCGAAACTCTGGAACACTCTCCCCTTTTTCAAGTCCCGGCTTAAAACCATCCTCTTCGACCGCGCTTACGGTCACCTCTCTCCCCCACCCCCCCAGCTCAGAGTCAGGCTCCACCACTGCTAAGCGCTCTGAGACGCTGCCCTGCATTGGGGGGGGCGCTATAATAAATGCAAGTTGTTGTTGTTGACTGTATATTTGTGGGTGAAACTCAGCAGCCAATTGCGCACAGCAATGTCCCATAAACAGTTGGGGATTGAATTATTATCTTTCAAATAATAATTTGGTTATTCAATCCACAACTGTTTATGGGACACTATGGAGTCCTGTAGCTCAGTGGTTAGAGCACTCGCTTTGCAAGTGAGAGACTTGAGTTCAATTCCCGGCAGGTCAGGGCGAAACCTTGGGCAAGTTTCCTTACTCCACACAGAGCCTAATAATAATCCCTCCAAAAACAAAAAACAATAATAAATTGGTCATTTCAATCCACGACTGTTTGCGGGGACGCTGCTGTGCGCAATTGGCCGCCGCGTTTCGCCCACAAATATACGGTCAATTCGCTTTACAGTCTATTCTGTGAAGCGCTTCGAGAAGACGTGAAAAGGGGCGATATCAAATGCAAGGATTATTATTATTATTATTATATTATTAGCCCCCTTTCAAACAGTTGTGAAACAGTAACAAAATAAACATGCACAAACCTGGCCGCAGTCTGCCTGGAATCCAGCTGGCGCTTCTTTACAGTCAACCAGGAAGTAACAAAGCAAATTGTAAGCAAATTTCTTTCAACCTGTTCTCCAAAGAGTAACTGACACAGGATTCCCTTTCTAAAGAAGTTTTCATCGATTCGATGAATCGAACAAGCAGAGGTCAGACAAAGTCTCAATGCTCACTTCCCACTTTACGTTCAACAAAAGAATCGGAATTGTTGAATTTGCTTTAAAGTAAAATTCTACGATTTCCAGCTCTGCCCTGCGGATTTTTATTCTGAAACCGATTTGGATCAGTGCCACAGCACTGCCCACTCAGAACTTCTCAGCTTAACGCTGTCTTGGCTCAGTTGGTGGCTCTCCTCACCTCTGAGCCTAAAGGCTGTGGGTTCAAGCCTCCTCACCACGACTTTGAGCTCACAGCGCAGACTGACACTTCAGAGGTGCCGTCCTTCGGCTGAGGCCTTAAACTGAGGTCCCGTCTGCCTGGTCAGGTGGATGTTAAAGATCCCACGGCACGTTTCGAAAACAGTTTCTCCCGGCGTCCTGGCCAGCAATCCTCCAAACAAAATCGGTCGTTCACTTCACGGCTGTTTGTGGGGCATTGTATGCAAATGGGCCTACAAATACGCACAATGTCACAACACTTTGAAGGGTTTGGAGATATTTCAATCAGGTGAGAAGATGCCACATCAAATGCAAGTGTCGTCGTACTGTATTATTATAATACATCCCAATGAACCCATACACTGTGTCATGCAGACAGCCTTCGCATCTCAATCTGGACAGATAATACAATTGGTGCTTCTTCGCTCTGTCAATAGGGACGATGGGAATTATAATAATAATAATCTTTGTATTTGGTATAGCACCTTATCACCTCGGAAGGACTTCTCACAGAGCTTCACAGGATTTACTATGAAATGAAGTGGCTGCATTTGTGGCAAATGTGGCAGCAAAGTTACACACAGCAATGTCCCGCAAACAGCCATGGAGTCAGTGTCCAATTTTGTTTGGGTATTGTTGGCTGGGACACTGAACAGGCAGATGGGATCCTCAGTTTAAAGTCTCATCCAAAGGACGACACCTCTACCCCCTCCCCCAGCGCTGCATTGGAGCGTCATCTTAGACTATGTGAGTTCAAGTCCCGAATTGAGATTTAAACCACAACCTTCTGACTCAGAGGTAAGACCACTCCCACTGAACCAGACTGATAGTCATATCTGGAGTTAAACTGTGGAAGCCACAAATGCTGCAAAAATAAAAAAACACTTCACGTTTTTAAAAGAAACGTTTAATTCAGCAATTCTTTTTACACAATTTAACTTCCTCTGTCGGTGGGTTAACATATTCGAACACCCACCAAAGACTTTATCATCTGTGCAACAGAATCATTCAGTCTGGACACATCTCACTGCCAGGAACCTAGTAGCAGAGTCACTGATGGTCCACTCAGTCTTGGCCTGTGAAACTATTTGATTTACACCAGGAAAACATTATGAAATGCTTCAAATCTTTAGCGCTAAAAAAGTCTTACTTCCCCTCCAGCCTCGGACAGAAGTAAGATGGCTCTAACCGTTGGCCATGTTGGGAGCGAATGAATTGAGTACAACCGTGATTTTGCGATGATTTTCAATGGTTTGTTTTTCTTAAAAAAATCTCAAATCCCAAAGGACCTCACTCAGCCGGAACAACGTTTTATTCTAATGTCTCAATGGTTCACTGAACAGCCCCATTGGCTCTGCATCATAAGAGACTAGAAAGAGTGTAGGCCTCCTCTGCTCAGATAATGTATGGCCTCTCGTGAGGTTAGCCTCAAGAGAGACTGAGGTTCCGTCACAACACTCAATAACATCGAAAGTCCAGTTGTGCACATGTGGGAAGTTACGGCTATGTCAGCGCTGTGTCAGAGAACCCTTTTTGCCCCTTAACGGCCCCCCCCCTCCACCCTCCGCACACTCCCCCTGCTCGCTCACCCACCCACCGCCCAGCAAGGAATGGGAATGACTGTGATTTCACAGCTGAATCGCATCCTCAGTAACTTCACCAGAGTACACTTGACTTCACTACCCTTTACGCTGACAGACGCACGATACGGAACAGGGGCTGTCGAGCGTCTCTGCCCTTTTTAAATCGCCAGTCGGGGAGAACGTTCCAATGTTCGGTGGTTCGGACAGAGGCGTCCCCTCCCACTCCCAGTTCAGAGACTCAATCAGTAAAAGCCACAGAGTACTGCCGAGTGCTGAGGGAGGGGGGAAAGGTTGGGTGGTGGGGATGGTGGTGGGAGTGAGTGATGGGAGGGGGGAGGAGGGTGGGGGGAGGTTGCTACCTTGCTTTGGGAAGGCCGTTGTTCACGCGCCGGTTGTTCATCCGGCTCCGGATTGTATTCAACACTCTGCCAGCACCGGTGCCCCTGCCGGCCTTCGAGCTGACCAGCCCAGCCTCCCCCCCCTCCTCCGTCCCCTCGCTCTCCTCGTCATCATCACTTCGCTCGTCCTTCTCGATCTGCGCGGAGCGGAAAGAGACAAAAGCAAAGAAAGCGTCCGCTCCCGTCAGCTTAACAGTGACCCTTCTCTCCATTTGTTTCTCCCGCAAAATATACAGTGAATTCACTTTACAGCGTATCCTGTGAAGCGTTTTGAGACGTCTCAACGACGTGATAAGGTGTGATTTTTGAATACTAGGATTATTATCGTTATTTTACATCCACAGCCACTCCTTTTACTCTGCCAACTTTTGAGTCCCACCCCCCCACCACCACCACACAACCCCCCAACCCCGCTTCACACCATCAAACAGACAACAACAACTTGCATTTGTATAGCGCCCTGCACACTGGGTAGCGTCCCAGAGACAAGCTTTCAACCGCTTCACCCACACGCTATGGGTGAGTGGGTGGGTGGGACAACAGAGAGGTGGGTGGGATGGGGGTGTGGGAGATGTATGGAGGGCAGGGATATAGGGATATGGTGGTGGGCTGGTGATGGGGAGGGCAAAAGTGGTCTCTGACACAAGCGTGGAACATTGTCATTCCACAGCATTACCTGCCCGACAAACACAAACTTGAAGGCCATGCGCAGGATGAGGTAGGCCCAGAACAGGTGGAGCAGCTGCAGCAACAGCAGGAGGGCGTTGAAGAAATAGTAGCCAAAGAAAGGCTGGAAGCGTTGCATGGAGCGGCACCAAGTGGTGTACAGGACCCTGCGGAGAGACCTGGAGTTAGAGAGATCGCTGTGTGTGTGTGTGTGTGTGTGTGTAAGTGGTTGAGGGAAGGGCAGAAAATTGGACGATCCCTCAACTTAGGTAGATATTTGTTAGGTCAGAGTCAGGCCAGCGCCTTGGGACGTCCTTCCGACGTGAAAGGTGCTGTACAAACATAATTGTGTATGGTATTAAGGGATATGGGGCAAAGGCAAGTAACTGGACTTGGGTTACAGATCAAGGTCTTATAAAATGGCAGGACAGGCTCGAGGGCCTGAATAACCTGCTCTTGTTTCTATTTTTCTAACTTAGTTGCCATGACCATCACCCAGGGCCAGTTATGTCACATATTCTTCCCCCCACTCCCCCAGGGGCAGGCCAGACCCAAATTGCCCATCGGGTCGCTGTTGCTGCTGCAGTTTTTGCTCCACGCAGGAAGTTATTTGTGCCTGTGCCAGCTTTTTGAAAGACCCATCCGATCATTCCCAGTCCCCCGCGCTCTCCCCATATCCAATTCCCATTTGAAAGTCATCATCGAATCTGCTTCCGCCACCCTTTGGAGGCGGTGCGTTCCGAACCCGTGCGGAGGGAGAGAGCGATCAAGCAGGAGATCTACACAGAGCTGAATAGTTTGCCCCCTAGACGTTTATCCTTCTCCCCCTCCGACACCCCCCCCCACCCCCACCACCCCCCAACCCCTCTCTCGGAGCAGTTTACTCACACATTGGGAAAGATAAACAATCGGCTAATCAGGAAAACCAACGCGAAGATCACAAACAGCCAATCACACACCCGACGCCAACCGGCATAGTTGAACATTTTTGCGACCTGCAATATGAAAAATCAGCTTTTTTTTATATAAAACGAGCCCCGGTGTCCTGGCCTCAACCCCACCCCTTCCAGGCAACCCTGTTCCCAGTCATTAAATGTCCCCCGGTGTCTGTCCTAACATTGCACCCTTCGGAGCTGTAAACCTGTGCCCTCTTGTTCTGCTGTCTTGGGGCATCCGAAAGCACGACCTCAAATTACCAAGTACAAATACTAGTGGTGGATTGAGCGACCGAGTTATGAATCCGTTATTTATTTTTTTGAAGGAGTTATTACCCCCGGAAAAGCGATCCGCCAATCGAGTAACAACCGGGTTCCTACTCACCGCTGAGGAAAACCGAGGCGTGCAGGAAGTAAGGAGACCTGCCTAAGATTTTTGCCCTGCCCGGGAATCAAGCCCAGGTCCTCCCGCTTGCGAGTCGAGTGCTCTAACCACGACGCTACAGTTTGTGGAGTTACGATTCCACAAACTTCCAGGACCTGGTGTTGAGCAGTTCCCGGAGTGAGCGTTGTTGCTGCGACACACTCTGGGCTGGAGCACCAGCCTCTCACCTCCATGATGTAGTCCGAAGCGTCATGTACCAGCAGAACCAAGGTCCCGACCCGGATGTAGTTTGCGCAATAGGAGAAGCTCATCAGGAAGATGGTGGCGATGTGGTGAACCACCTGCTCCTTGAAATCCTGCGCGCAACAAAACAATCCCGGAGAAACGGATGAGAATCCGCCCCAAACTGGCTTTCGCGGAGCTGCGGCGGGAACCTGGAATCCGGGAGCACCGGCCCGCGCCCACGGCAGACTCCACCCCTCGCAGTGTTGTGGCCAAAGACTTATGATAGTTCCCCACATTCGACCCAGGGCTTTACCACGTCACGGAGATGTCTCAAAGCGCTTCACAGGATTTACTACTGAATGCAGTGACTGCGTATTTTCAGCCAAGGTGACGGCCAATTCGTCGGCATAATTGGACGTTTTTGCTGAAATGTCCTAAAACAGCTATTACGTGAAATGACCAATTTTACCCACGGGATCCCGGGATAACAGACAAACTCCCTTCTCGATTTGGTGCCACGGGATAGTTAACATTCGCCTGCACAGGGGAAGTAGACGAGGACCTGGGTTTAGTGTCTCATCTGAAGGACGGCATCTCCGACAACATGACACTAGCTCAGCACTGTACTGGAGCGTCAGCCCAGACCGTGGAAGCTCAAAGTCCTAATGCAGGGCTTGAACCCGCAACCTCTGACTCGGGAGGCGAGGGTGCTATCGACGAGACAGACTGACACCTGATGTCAGAAATCAGGAGAATTAAAAACCGAGGTCCCAATTGCCTGTACTTCGGGTACATGGTAAAGTCCCTATGGTGCTGTTGGAAAAGAGAAGGGAGTTTCTCCCGGTGTTTGAGCACACTGAGGGAGTAACTTTGCTGCAGCTCAAAGCCCAAGTACCTCAGTCCCAGGACACAGCACGTACCTTCCTCTTCACGTCGATAGAAATCCTGAAGAGAAGAGACCAATAGAATCCCAGTTCGATCATGTAGTACCAATACTGGGAGGGCAACAAGACCTGCAACACACGTATAATAAAGTTTAGTGTCTGAGAGATCCACCATCCCTCCAACTACGCAATATCTAGTCTCCTCACGCGGAGGAGATTAGACTCATGAGAAATAGAAACTCCAGGACGGTCAAGTGGTCTGAATGGCCTGTTTCCGTGCTGTCAAATATGTGATCACCAGTGATGATTATCACATCAGATACCATGGATTCACGAGCGGGATGTGAGATAATTGAAAGTGTCAGCAGTTTACAGTTGGATTGAAGTGAGGGCTGCGTTTCATAACACCATTGGCGGGCGGACCTTCTGCCACTCTGGCCCCACCCTCTGGAACTCCATCCCCCAGTCCCTCTGCCTCCTTCAAGACCCATCTCAAGACTCTCCTCTTCGTCCGTGCTTTCAATCTCTCTGCTTCCCCCCTGCCCTCCACCCTCCCCGATCCCAACACCCAGCTCAGGTCTGAAACATTGCCTGTCCAGCGCCTTGGGATGTCCTGCCAATGTGAAAGGCGCTGTGCAAATGTAATTTTGTTGTTTTAACGGCAGAAACAGTTCTCCTGGCTCTAGTATTGAACCCAAAAGCTCCTACCTGCTGGGGGTAGCCTTCCCAACATTCTTGCTGGTCCCAAAACCATGGCTTCTGTAAAGAGAAGAGAGGTCAGTTGGGCCCAGGTCAAACTCCATCAATTCTACATGTCTCCTAATGGGACAATCTTTGAGAAGGGAGTTTCTCTCTCTCCCCGTGTCCTGGTTAACAATCCCCCAAATTAAATTGGTAATAAAATTGGTCCCTCGTTTCATGGCTGATCGTGGAACATTGTCTATGAATACAGAGTCACTCCACTCCACAGTAAATCCTGTGAAGCGCTTTGAGACGTCCTCCCAACATGAAAACCCCTACACCAAACGCAAGGATTAATATTATTATTATTGATAATAATTCTGTCCATTCTCCGAAGACTGATCAGCCATTGGGAAGGGCTTCGGACATCCTGCCACCCCCACCCCTCTTGACTCCAACCCGCAGCTTGGGTGCAAACCCTCCACTGTCCAGCGCCTTGGGACATTCTCCTGACAGGCAACTCGTGATTGTTGCTTAGTGCAGATACTCTGAAGAAGTGTTTCCCAGTCCCACTCCTGCCACCGGCAAAGCAACCGATAACTTACATCGAAAAGCACGGCTAACCCAGCGAAGAAAGCCAGCGTGTAAAAGGTGAACCTCCAACTGGAACGTGGCAAAGAGCGAGAGAGAGAGAGAGAGGGAGAGAGAGTGTTAGTGAGAGGAAGGAGTGCTCCTTTCTTGCTTCACAACTTGTGGTCAAGCTCTCTTAAAGGGGCCTGGATGTTGCAGCGCTCTACTTGTGATCCAAGTAAAAAAGATGGAACAGGCTGAATGGCCTCCGTCTCCTAAACAGATACAAATCCAAGGCTCCCAAGCTGAACCTCTAGTCGATACCTGACCGCACCCCACCCATCCCTCTCCCCCCCACCTCGGAGTTCCCTTCAGCTGACACTGGAGCGACAGAGGTGATGGCAGGGGTTGGCTGATAGAACTGCTTGAATCAATCCCCCTTCTTACAGTCCCATCTAAAGACCTACCTCTTCGACCATGACCACGTCTACGGTCACCTCCCCCCCCCCTTCCTCGGTGTCCGACCCCACCACTCCGCAGCGCTCCGAGACGCTATCACACCTACGGTCACCTCCCCCTGACTCGGCACTGTGCTCCGCTAATGTCAAGCGCTCTGGAACACTACCCTGTGTGAGGGGATAAATATAAATACACGTTGTTGCTGTTGTGAAGGATGCTGTGTGAATGTAAGTGGTTGTTCTAGTGTTGATGATGATGTTGTTGTTGAGGCTGATGTTGTTGAGGCTGATGTTGTTGTTGATGTTGTTGAGGCTGATGTTGTTGTTGATGTTGAGGCTGATGTTGTTGTTGATGTTGTTGAGGCTGATGTTGTTGATACTGATGTTGCTGATGATGTTGTTGTAGTGATGTTGTTGGTGTAGTGATGTTGTTGGTGTAGTGATGTTGTTGACGTAGTGATGATGTTGATGTTGTTGTTGCTGATGTTGTCGTTGACGTTGTGATGTTGTTGATGTAGTGATGCTGTTGATGATGTGGTGGTGGTGATGTTGTTGTTGTGGTGGAGATCTCTGGTGCTCACCCGGCATCACAGAACCTCTGGCTCACACTCGGTCGGTCCTGGTTTCTCCGGCGTTGGAACCACGTCTGGACCTGCCACGGGGAGAGGCCACAGCTCTCGGACAGTCTGTACATTTCCTTCTGCAACACACAGAACACACAATGAGCAACACTGCGATTCTCCCCCAATGATGCTACCCCAGGGAGGGAGGGAGGGATCAATCAATCGTCGGCTGTGGAGGCGGGTCCCCGGTCAGGGAAGACCCCAACCCTTCCACAGTTCTGCCCATTGCAGGGACACAGCACACGGTACAGGTTAAGCCTATCGGGGGGCGGGGGAGATTTCAGCCACCGCGGGCTCCATAGCAATGTGCTGTCGCCAGCGGCTACCCAGGGGAGTATTTGTGGTGGGACAGAGTGGGGCGGGGTGTGGCTGGGAGGGCGAGGGCGGGTTACCTCTCTGGGCCGCTTGCTGTGTTGTGTGTAGAAACGCTCCAGGGCCGGGTTGGGAGTCGCCCTCTTTCGTCTCCTCTCCTTCACCCCCATCCACTTGCTCAGCGGCAACGCCACCAGCCTGGAAGAGGGGAGCGGAGCTTTCTGTCAGCGCCGTCACCGCGATCCCCGGCAAACCTGGCACCCGCCCACCAAACCAAACCAAACCCACAGTGACTGCCAGGCAATGATTCCAGCAAAGTCTCCCCACCCCCCCCTCTCGCCAGCCATTAGCTAATTCCATCATCGTTAACCAACTACACAACCTATGGTAGCCGCCCACCCCCAGCTCTCGCACCACCGTCGCCTCCAGAAACACAGTCACTACACTTCGCAGGAAAGCCTGGGAAGCACTTCCAGAACTTTTTCTGCCATGAAAGGCTCTGGCCCTAATTGCAAGGATTATTCCCCGGCTTCACAGTGGGATAAATTTTGAGGGGGTGGGGGGCCGGGGTCGATGGGTGGGGGCGGTGAGTGGCAGCTGGGAGGAGGGGGGGGATTAAGGGGTGCGGAGCCGGGTCCAGAACCCACCGTTCAAAGAGCTGCCGGACGGCCAGGAAGGCGAAGCCGCAGACGATGGAAGCGTAAAGGTCGCGTGGTCGGGGGTAGCGAGCGACGTCTGAGTCCTTCATGTCCTCCCACGTGACCCCCGGGGGCAGCCAGTGCTCCTCCCGCCACAGCCACTCATCCAGGAGAGAAGGCATCGTCTAGAGAGAGAGAGAGAGAGAAAGAGAGAGAGCGAGGGAGGGAGGAAGAGAGCTAGTGAGAGAAAGACGGCGTGATGCCGTCTGCACAAATCTGGCGTCTTGCTCCTGAAGGCAGAGTGAGTGCCTTTTCACACCGACTCAACAACAACAACAACAACAACATTTCATTGGGAAAGCACCTTTCACGTCGGGAGGATGTCTCAACACCACAATGTTATTTTGTTTTATCTCCCGGGTGTCTGACATCCCATCACCATTGCTCAAGAGGAGAATCCAAACGCAACTGAGACTTCCGTGCGTCTCACCTACACATGGAAATCCCAGAGACAGATTGTTGGAATGGAATACTCACTCTCTCTCTCCCCGGAGAGAAGCATCCTGCTTACCTAATTCCGGAAAGTATTAGGCGCAGGTTGGCAAGACCCAAGCTGTGAGAGCTTACAGGAAGAGATCAGGTTATCAATGCTCTGCTGTAACCACAACTTGACTTGTGACAACCTCGTATATCAAAGGCAGAGCCCGCTGACAACAGAGATCTGGTCTACTTGTTGTATCAACGGGGGATGTGAGCCGGTTCTTGTTGTCCAACGGTTTCCCAGTGAGCTCAGTACGCAAAGGGGAGGGAGGAGGCCGGAGCCAACGCCTCGACTCTAGTCAACACAATGAAAGTCACCTCCACACACCCACATATACACACCCACATATACACACCCAAACATACTGATCTCGATTTTCATCCAAGGTGGTGGAGGGGGGGGTTAAATAATCTCCCCCACACCCCCTCACGGTAGACCTTGAAAAGGGGTCAGACGCAACAACGACAACTTGCATTGATACAGGGGGCAGCGTATTGTGTGCGTGTGGGGGGGGGCTTAACAGTGGCGGAGCCTGATGCCGAGCCAGAGGGAGGGAGGAGGGAGAAGGGGGTGAGAGAGGAGGAACGGGGAGGAGGAACTTGGGGGAGACGGGGCAATGCAGGTAAAGAGGAGAGTTTGTATCTTCACTCGGCTTTGCCTCAGGCTTTGCCTCAGGCTCACCACCACCCACCCCCTTCTCTCCCATCCTCCTCACCGCTGTACAAAGCTCGATTATTAATAATAATAATAATAATAATAATCCTTGCATTTGATACAGCGCCTTATCACGACTGCGAGACATCTCAAAGTGCTTCACAGGATACACTGCAAAGTGAATTGACTGTATATTTTCTGGGCAAAATTAATGTTTGATGGAGAGGTGAATTATTAAACCTTTCATTATGAAGTTTGTTTTAAAACCATTGGCGCACGTACAAAGAGTCACGGAAACACTTTACTATGGTGGGGCTGGGGTGGGGGCGGGGGGTGGGTAACATGTCTCAAGGGGGCTGGATCGAAACAAGAGATGACAGGGGCAATGATCAAGACACGCACACAGATGTCACCCTGGCACCACCTATCACTATCACTATCACCGCACGATAGACTATGTATGTTTTTGCAGGTGAACGCAGCAGCCAATTTGCCGTCAGGAAAGTCCCACAAACAGACACGAGGTGAGGTGACCGATTTTGTTCGGGGGATTGTTGGTGGGTGGGAAGAAACTCCCTCGACTTTTTGAATCGCGCCGCAGGATCCTGAACGTCCACCTGAGCAGGCAGGCGGGACCTCGGTTTAACATCTCACCTGAAGGACGGCACCTCCGACAACACATCGTAGACCCAGCAATAACAACAACAGCTTGGATTTATATAGCGCCCTCCACGCCGGACGGCGTCTCAGAGCGCTTCACAGTAACGGATCCCGGGACCGAGCCGGGGGGAGGGGGGGGGAGAGGTGACCAAAGGCGCAGTCGAAAAGAAAGGTCTTCAGCAGAGACCCGAAAATGGGAAGGGGGGAACGAAACGAAGGGAGTGAGGAAGGCAGTTCCAGAGCCTCGGGGCATAGTGGCTGAAGGCACGGCCCCCGAGGGTGGAGCGGAGGACTCGGGGGACGAGGAGGAGGCCAGACCCGGAGGAACGAAGGCAACGGGTACTGTTTTGAGGAGAGAGGAGGTCAGAGGGGTCGGGGGATGATGAGGAGTGGAGGGATTGGAGTACAAGGGTGAGGATCTTGAAGTCGATCCTCTCTGGGATAGGCAGCCAGTGCAGTCTGGCCAGGACTGGGGTGATCGGGGAGCGGAGTTTCGTACGGGTGAGAATGCGGGCGGCAGAGTCTTGAATGATTTGGATTTTATGGATGGTGGTGGAGGGGAGGAGGGCATTAAGAGTAGTCCAGCCGAGAGGTGACAAAGTCATGGACCAGGGGTTTCAATGGCGTTTGGGGCGAAGTATTGGCGCACTGGAGAGTCAGCCTAGATTATACAAGATGACGTCCGATCGAGGGGTGACATGAGAGTAGCTAAGCCGGGCTTAACACACCTGTACCTGGGGCTAGGGATACCCGTCTCTCTCTCTCTCTCACACACACAAAATTGTCCAACTGTCCAGCAACAGACTCGCACATCGGATCTCCTCTGTTCCTCAGCACTCGATGTTCTTTCTGACCTGGTTTAACCCTTTGCCAAGAACATCCATTATCCCCTTCTGTCTTCCTCTATCGTAGAATGAGTGGGTGTGTCACTTACTTTGTTAATAAAGCTGCGGGTGACCTTCAGTAAATGGCTCCTCTCTCTCTATCTATCTATCTCCCTGATCCCCTAACCCTTCTTGTGTCCATTTCTCTATCTCTCTCTTGTTCCTCCTCCACCACCTCTCTCTCTCTCTCTCTCTCTCTCTATCTATCCATCCCTTCCTGACTTTAAGGAATGTGTCTCAAAAGAAACATGAAATCAATCCCAAATGCCTGCAAACCAGACCCAGAACTTAGTCCCAACATCTTGAACAGAAGGAACTTTCTCTTTTGAAACTGACCTGCAGATTCAGCCCCGAACCGCAGCCCCCGGATCAGCAGCTCAAAGTCTAACCGTAAAACCAACCGTTCCCAGGAGCTGGGATAACGGAAGAACATTTGTTTATTTGGGGGGGGGAGGGAGTTTGTGTGTGTTGGGCGGAAACTACAACAGAGCGAATCACAGGAAGGAATAAAAAGCTGCCACTCAACACACCTGTACCTTGGACTAGACACACCTGTGCCTGGGAATAGACACACACCTGTACCTGGGAATAGACACACACCTGTACCTGTACCTGGGAATAGACACATACCTGTGCCTGGGAATAGACACACACCTGTACCTGTGCCTGGGAAGAGACACACACCTGTACCTGTGCCTGGGAAGAGACACACACCTGTACCTGGGAATGGGGTCACACCTGAACATAATTGTATGTCGTTTATAATAACTTTAACAGACTATGTTCTAAAGACGTTTTGTAACTAAAGGCAATTTTTTGAACCAAGGTGTTTAACAACTGGTTAACGGTGGTTGGGGTATCGACATCAAGATGTGTAACGTTTACAGTGTCGCACACTGACACATGGTAATGGGACAGGTTATACCGAAAGTGCAGATGCATTCTTTGTGGGGTGGAAAGTTTAATTCCCTGCCCAAATAGACTCTGGAGATTTGATGCTTTGCATTAACCGTTCGCTTTAATCTTTAAACCCCAACTGGGCTATTGTGAGAAATGTCTCTTGCAAATGGTGAATGGTTGCAGTGGCAGGTATTAGCTACGAGGTGGCACCGCACGCCACAAATAATTCCCATGGTGTTCTTTCTGTCTGATATTGTGATGCAATGAATCTTTGTAAGCAATGAATGTGTTATAATCAGGGCTTGTGTTGATTCAGGTGTGACATTAATTCTTTCAATGAACGCCAACTGTTGGAATAAAGTGTTAACGTAAAGGAGAAGGCGGAAATAAGCTTTATATCATCTCTGAGGCATTGTGCGGTTTTATATCTCGGTAACAATCGGCTATTACTTTCTTCAGTCGAACGGCAACTGGCGTTTATATAGTGCCCTTCGACCCGGGTCAGCGTCTCGGAGCGCTGGACAATGATGGAGTTTGACGGGGAGCCAGGGAGAAAGGGGAGTCAAACGTGGTATGGTTGAAGAGGGGAAGCCTTCCGGTGCAGCTTGAAGACGGGCGAAGAGGGTTTGAACCCTCCGAGGTGCAGCCCTGCTGTATAAATGCAAGTAGTTGCTGTTGTTGGGGGGGTAACAAGTGCAGCAGAGAGCGACCTGGAGTTAGTTCTGGCCCTCGCGCTGGGCTGCGCACATCCAGAAAACTGAGCGAGGTGCGATACCAATGTCATTTATTGTTGTTGTTGTTGTTGTTGTTGAGATGGATGGATAAGACTGAAGTGGATAGATATCCGTTGGGTAAGTGCCTCAACAAGGGATGTGGAGCGAGGGCGGGAAATTGGAGTTGAGGTGCAGATCAGCCATGACCTTAGAGAATGGCGGAACAGGCTCGAGGGGCTGAATGGCCTCCCTCCGGTTCCTATGTTCCTTTGTAAAAGTCACGGGAACCGCTGGGTGGCGCGACACCTGAGGTTCCATTTTTACGGCCACCAGGCAGCGCTGTGGTTGCTGTTGGCGGCTGAGCCACCTGGAACAGGTGGGAAAAACACACTTTCTTTTTATCCTCCTGGTAAAGCCTTGAGTTTGCGATCGGTACAGCGCCCTATCACCTCGTTGCAACGTCCCAAACCGCTGCACGGCATGTACTGCAAAAGTGGACTGACTGCGCATCTTGCCTGTCCAGTTGTTCCCACTAACAGCCGTGGATTGAGTGACCGAATTACGTCCTGTAGTTCTTGACAGCAGTTAATGGCAGCCCCGGGTTGCGGGGTTATTCTGAGCGCGAGATACCTAATTAGTGCTCAGCAGGAGTAATTATAATTTGCTGTCTGCCGCATCCGCCTACAAATACGCAGTCGCTGCACCGGAAGCCCTTTGAGACGTCGCAGCGACTTGGCAAAGCACAATTATCAAATGGATCATTAGGCACTTCACAGACTGTTCTTGCAGAGTGTAGTGACTGTGGGCGTGCATGCACTATCACTCGTGGCTGGAGTCTGGATGGGATATTGGTGGCAGCCAAATTGCCCCCCGCGGCTTCCCACAAACAGCCATGAAGCGAATGACCGGTGTTATCTGAGGGTCGCCAACAAACTACACAGTCACTCCACTTTACAGTATAGCCTGTGAAGCGCTTTGAGACGTCTGGAAGCCGTGAAAAAGCGCTGTATCAAATGCAATTATTATTATTATTATTTCTTCTCATCAGCGTGTCGCCGTTCGATTTAAGGGGAGTGGGAGTGCAGCGGCTTTCACTTCAGGAGGACGTTTCCAAGAGCTTCGCAGGATTCACTCGAAAATTCAGCGAGTGTGTATTTTGTAGGCAAATGCAGCGGCCAATTTGCACACAGAGACGTCCCACAAAGAGCCGCAAAGCGAATGGCGGATTCGGTTTGTGTCCTACCCGCCTGCGCGGAGCAGGGAGTGCGGCTTAGCTCAGCGAGGTACAAAGTCTATATTTCCCACCGGGACAGCACTGGGAAACTCTGATACGCGAGGACGTTGCAGTCCACGTTCTGTAGACCAAGCTGCATGTTGTACGGTACATTTTCAATTGGGTGGCTCATTTAGTAGCGCTCTCGCCTCCGAGTGAGAAGGTTGTGGGTTCAAGCCCCCACGTTGGGACTCTGAACTCGCACAGTCTAGGCTGGGGAAGCTCCGTGTTGTCGGAAGCTCGAGCAGTTTGCTGCCTCTCTGCCCGGTAGGAGGTGGGTGAAGATTGTTCCCATTGACACCGTTGAAAAGAGAAGTTAAGTTTCTCCTGGGTTTCTTGGCCAACCGTCCTCCGGGTAAGAACTGGTCACTCACCGCGTGGGCCATCGCTGCTGTGCGGGAAACGAGTTGAGTGCTCTCCGCCAAAACACTTCCGCTGCAATTTATATCAGGAACTGTTCCAAATGAAAGTATTGGCATTTTGATACAATGAGCTACAAAAGCACAAGGTCTCTTCCTTCGGTGGTAATTTCTGGGCATCCACACTTCAAAATTGGTCATTTTTCCACGTGATATAACAAGAGATGCTTCGGCCCATCTGATCTCATCCCTCCATCAAAACACCAAGCTGTTTATAAAATGAGCCCTGGACTCGACCGCAACCGCACACGTCCGTCCTGTTGACCTGTCCCGGTTGTTAATCCCCCTCTGCGTAAAGAAAAGCTTCCCCGTAAAATGTGTCGGTGCCGAAATTTCCCTCGGCCAACTCTGAGCTCTCCGTGTCCTCGGCACGTCCAGCAGAAGACCTTCCTGTTTGACCGCGCTTACCACAACAACAACAACTTGCACTTATATCGCGCCCTCCACGCGGGATAGCGTCTCAGAGCGCTTACGGTCACATCCCCTCTCTCTTCCCCGCCCCCCCCCCCACCATCACCCCACCCACCAGCTCAGCGTCAGACTCCCGCTATTAAGCGCCCCCCGAGATGCTGCCCCACGTGAAGGGCGCTATAAATGCAAGTTGTTGTTGTAGATTGACTCCCCCCACACACCAGGTGGCTCTGACACACTCTGGCCTTGCCGATTCCCCCTGTCATCTCTTTATCAGGAAGATTTTAGAGCCACCGACCGACCCAAATCCACTCGTATTTCACGGTTAGTTGTCCTAACGTGGCTCCTTTGTCTGGTCCGACTCTCGTCTCCTGCGAATAGTGTGGGAGCTTTGCCTAGTTCTGCATTGTCTAAGTTGGCCCTCGGTTTCATTGTGTTTTATTCAAATAAAATACCTTTCTGCAATCCCCCCCCCCCCACCCACCACACCCTTCCTCTCCTGTCACTCCCACAGGACTGTGACTGGAGGAAACTGTATGGGGGGAAAACTGTGTTTAACCCCTCGTGAACTCCAAATCCTTGACTGTCCACTGTCTTGGGATGTCCTGCCGACGTGAAAGGCGCTACACAAATGTAATTTGCTGCTGCGTCCTGATTTATACACCGTATAATATTCAGCAACCGGGTCCGACCGCAGGGTGTGATTCCTAAACGTCTCGGTGCATACAGCTGGGCGTTTACATTACAGTCATTACCGTCAAGTGAAGCGAACAGAACAACTGTATTCGTTACGACCGATAATATTCCTGGCATTTGACACAACACCCTTTCTCCTTGACTTCAAGGCACTTGACAGGACAACTCCCTTCACTTTTCAAATAGTCCACCCGAACGCTGTTCAGCGTGAAGAAGAGCGCGAGATAAACACAAGTTGTTGTTGTTGTTGCTGTTGCTGTTGGACAGGCAGGCAGGACCTCGGTTTAAACGTCCCAACCCGAAGGACAGTGCCTCCGACAGTGCAGCGCTCTGGAGTTTCTTCGGACGGTCTGGTGGTGAAACAGTTAATCCGGTTTACCCGCGATTTATTTGTTTGCTGGTTTCACTTCCTCGTAACAGCGTCGCTTTCCCCACCTGTTCGGAGTCACACCCAGTGATGGGTCGACAAATAAAGCGAGCGAGCAGGAGTATTAAAGGTCATTGACTCCCGGTTTCATTTTACACGCTCCGGAAGGAAGAGCCGGTCTCTTTCCACAGGTACGTCCGATCTTAGACCGCAGTAACCCACAGAACTGCGCGCAGGAGAACTCCACACTCGCACTCTGGGTCCCAAGGTATGTCGTCTCTTTGGCAGACACCAAATAATAATAATAATAATAATAATAATCCTTACGATTTGGTGCAGAGAGTCTATCACGTCGGGAGGACGTCCCAAAGCGCTTCACGGGATTTGCTGCCAAAGTGCAAGTGACTGTGTGTTTTATGGGCAGGAGAGAGAGAGAGAGAGTGCGATCAGATTCAATGGGAAAATAAATCACCTGCCCAGCTCGGACCTGATGGCTTGTTTCTGGGCTGGAGAATTCAAGCGTTATGTAATTCTATGCGCTGTGGATTACTATTATGTATGATGTGCACAGTGTACACACCGCATCGAAACCCATGTGTACACATCGCTCGCTCTACTAATGTTTTTTCAGGAGGCCGGGTGTCTGACACATGTCGGGGGATGGGATGGGGCCGGTTGTATGGGAAATGGGGAAATTTCCCTTTGTCCCCCTTCGTGAATGGCTCCCGCTATTTAATACCCCAGAGCCTGACACCCAGGTGAGTGGCAGCCAATTGCCGCCCAGATCCCGGCCTCCCTGATGAGTGACAGCTACGATAGTCAACCACCACCCACACCCTCCCCTTTTGCGTGACAAGGTTTTCAATGCAAGGATTATTATTATTATTAGTTCAGGTCCAAGGAGACTCTGCTTACCTCCCCTTCCCAAGGAGATAGCCAACTCCACTAAACCCAGGCTGTGTGCACTGTTGTGATCCCACTTCATAACCGAAACTGTGAATGATTGGATAAGTGAGTTTTATTCCGTTCGTTGCACCCCTGAATCCAACAACTAAAACATACCCATCACCCACGGGTTGAATGTCAGGTTTACCTGACTCTCCTGTTGTGTATCTGGGAAAGGTAAACAGGTCTGGCTTGTTTGGTAATGAGTTGCGATGGGCTGGAATGACGCGGAATGAGCTGTGACAGAGGTCGATTCCTTTCTCTCCTTTCTAGGATCAGTGGCTGAGTGAGGATGGTTTGATGGCTCGCTCGGAGATGAGACTGAGTGGCAATCCTGCTGGCGATGGCTTTGCTGAGGGCCAGGCTATACAGGGTATGAGTACCCATCACCTCCCAGAGTGGCTTCACGGGAACATCTCCAGGAGGTGAGCCTCGTACAGTATTTACTTGGGTCTGACACACGCGGAAACCGATCACCGTGCTCGAGAGTATCCAAGCGAAGCTGAGGTTTCCATGCATCCCACGCACACATGGAAATCCCAGAGATAGATTGTTGGAATGGTATGCACACTCTCTCTCTCCCTCTCTTTCTCGCTCTCTCCCTTGGAGGGATGCATCCTGCTTACACAATTCCGGAAAGTATTAGGGGCAGGTTGGCAAGAGCCGAGGCTTGGGAGTTGTGTTAACCAGCAAAAAATGCATGGAGTACAATACGATTTAAACTGATATCGCTACTTGCACACTGGTGTTTCGACATGACCCTGAGCCGATCGAATCTGCCTTGAGAGTGTGTGGCGGGCGGGTGGGGTGGGGGGGCGGGGGGGACGGACACGTGAGCAACTGAGCCAGTGGTCGAGATGTCAGAAGCAGGTCCGAGTCCAGTTTGCGGATATTTTTGTTAGTGAAGAACCACTTCAGGACTCCACAGTGACCTGCTCTGGAAATGAACTGTGTGTAAATCGGGCTTCCCGTGGGTTTGTCTGACCCACGTCTCGTCATCAGGCCAGGAGGAATCCGCGTCTAATAGAATTAGGGAATTATAGAACGCTTGATTTTTTTTTCCAGCCCAGAATCAGGCCATTCGGCTCAGCGAGTCTGCGTTGGTGTTTTCTCAACACGCGATCTGAACACCAGCATTTGTCTTGTGACCCCGTCACTGAAAGGCAACTCCCAACCTCTCTAAAGCTTGCTCCTCACTGTAATATCCTTTAGCTTAGCCTCACTGGTACCCTCTGTCTACAGCCCCACTAGTTAGTGCACGCTCTGATGATCTCTCTCTGACTCGCCCTCACTCACTCTGCGTTCTGTTCTCCCTCTGACAGACATGCTGAAGAGTTACTGCAGGATAAGCCTCTGGGATGCTTTCTCGTGCGATTCAGTGAGAGTCGGAATGGCTATACCTTGTCCTTCAGGTGAGCAACAGCTGGGACTTAAAGTAAAGGGGCAGTTTGTCTCTCCATCAGCGACGCCTCAAACCACTTCAGTGGGAAAAGATGTTTCAAAATACATCTCTGAATGTTGCTTAGTCATAAGTATATCGTCACGGGCTTTACCTTTACGTTCTCAAGTGTTGTGGGTGAAAGTCACTGTCAGACTATACACGGAGACCCGTAGTGCAGTGGTTAGTGTGTGCTCGCCTCGATACCCAGGTTTGATGCCCGGGCAGGACCGAAGCATTGGGCAAGTTTCCTTACTCCACGTAGTCCTCTGTTTACCTAGCAGTAAGTAGGAACCTGGTTGTTTAGTCGATTGGTGGATCGTTTTACCGGTCTAACAATCACTTAACACCCCCCCCAAAAAAAAAATTGTTCACTCAATCTATGACTGTTCGTGGGACGCTGCTGTGCACAATAGGCTGCCGCGTTTCGCCCAGAAAATATACCGTCAATTCACTTCATAATATATTCTGTGAATCTCAGTGACACGTCTTAACGACGTGATTATTATTAGTATAATTATCATTGCTATTATTACTTTTTCACTGATTGTTAAGGACCCTCAGTACAGTTGCCCGTTAAACCTCGGGGTGGTTTTGTTCTTGCTCAGGGGCCCCGTTCAGTTCCGACATTTCATGATCGACGTGATGCCAGACGCTCGCTGTATTATCTCCGGAGAGACGCGGGTTCACAGGTCACTGCAGGAGCTGGTGTCGTTTCACACTCACGTTCCTATCAGGCCCTACGACGAGTATCTTACAGTCCCCTGCGGGCAGGTGAGTCAACACAAACCAGTGGCGTTGGGAGGTTCGTTGCTTTTACCAACTCCGGATCTGGTAAGTCGAACACTCCGAGTCGGCTGTGGCCTAAGAATGAGTTGGAACATGGTTGTAAGACCCTGTGTAACAAACCCAGATCTGGCGATGCTCGCAGTTTTACCTGAGCCCCAGTTCAGCTCTGAGCCCTACGCAGATGGTCAGTGCTCTCAATGGCAAGCTACGTGGCTTTAGCTGGTTAGATGACAGCGGTTATCCCAATGCACACATTAACTGCACAGGATTGAGCGATAACTTCTCCAAGCGTTTATTACAGCCTATTCGAAAGCAGATGTTTACTGGGAAGCACAGAGAGCCCAGGTTTACCAGGCAAAAGAGTTTATTTAAAAAAAGATACAGATTCAATGCTTTTTCAGTACTAAAGCAGTGCCTTTTAATGCCTCAGTTCGAATATATGCAGAATATCCGGGAATATGCAGCACTTAGCCACACGCTAATTCGCTAGACCGTGATTCTGTGTTTGCGAGAAGCAAACACGATCTGTCAACTTCAAGGCACAGAATGCAAAACACCCACAGAGTAAAGCATCGCCTTTGATGTAAAATCGTTCCAAGACTGTGGCTGTGGCTTATTCAAACATTCCACTGTAACTAGAATCTCTGAGGCTTTGCTCTTGTGCGCTATTTAACGTCGAGCTCTCTCTCTCAGGTGAAGACTAGGAGCGGAGAACCGTGCTCGCTCAGCCCTGCGTTGGGAAAAGAACGACTGACGTCGCCTTCGGGCTGTTTCTCTGCCGCCAACATCGCCCCACTGTCACCGAGCTCTGCTTCTCCAGCGGCTGCTAAACCTCTGCTGCTGCCAAAACCACTCAAGTTCCAGGCGGGCACATTGGTTCCTCCCCCACTGCCTTCCCGGAAAGGGCTGGTCGTCAGCCCAGGCGCCCAGCTCGACCCAACGATCCCCAGCCGGGTCCCAGTGGCAGCCAGTGATGACAGCAGAGGGCCTGTGAAAAAACTGTACCCATCGCTCCAAAGTGAACTCAGGGCATTGCTACAGGGGAACCAGATTCCCACACCCAAGGCGGTGAGTGTCACAGTCTCATTCGCTAATTTCTCCCTCCTCCCCCACAGGGTTCCTACATTTCTTCTTCCCCCATCGCCCAAAGCTTGATTTAATGAAATGTGGTCACTCAATCCACGACTGTTTGCGAGACACTGCTGTGCGCAATTGGCTGCCTCGTTTCACCCACAAGTTTACATAGTCAATCCACTTTACAGTATATTCTCTGAAGCGCTTTGAGACGTCCTAACGACATGATAAGGCGCACTATCAAATGCATGGATTATTATTAATCCTGCCCACCCTTAGGTAGGGTGTCCACACCACCCTGATTTCCGAGGACAAGATGGGCTATTGTGTCCCGGGGTTAAATTTGCCCCGTCTTGAGTTCAGCAACAAACTGAGCAAGAACGATAAAATCCTAAAAACAGATACGCTCGTCAGAGAAACACTGACATTAACCCAGCAAGCTTCTCTAGTAATTGCTGGCCTCTGGAATTATGGTGAGTTCAATTTTGTATTGTTCAAAATATAGTATTTGTTCGCAAATTTGGTTCACAAAATATGGTCGCCCTAATTCAGGTCAATTGTAGTGATTACTATTAGCTGTTGAGCGCAAAATGTCAGGTGTGAATATCATAATGATAATTAATAATAATAATCCTTGCATTTGATATAGCCCAGAACAATATGGCATGGGTTCAGGGTGCGTAAAGGGCAAGTTCAGAACAGTCACCTGGAAACAATGTACTGTTCAAATAAATTACTAGGAGGGGTGGCTGTCTATTGTTCTGCTATCTTGTTCTTACAGTATTCTTCTGGGTTGAGTAACAAGTAAGGAATCCTCCCTTGCCTCCTTCAAGACGGTCTCAAGACCCTCCTCTTTGATCGTGCCTTCGGTCACCCTCCTTCCAACCCCCTGCTCTCCACCCTCACCGATCCCGACCCCCAGCTCGGGTCCGAAACACTGATTGTCCAGCTCCTTGGGACGTTCCCCCCGATGTGAAAGGCGCTATATAGATATAATGTTGTTGTTGTTGTGTATAAGACATTGGTTGGGCCACACCTGGAATATTTCATGCAATTTTGGATGATACTAATAGTTGCATTTGATAAAGTGTCTTTCACGTCGGGAGGTATCAAAGTGCTTCACGGGCTTCACTGTAAAGTGTAGTGATGGTGTTTTTGCAGCGAACACAACAGCCCATTTGCGCACAGGGTATTTGCTGTCCAGCACACTGGGAGAAACGCCCTATTCTTTTCAAATAGTGTCATAGCATAGGAACATAGGAGTAGACCATTAAGCCCCTCGAGCCTGTTCTGCCATTCTATTAGATCATGGCTGGCCTGCACCTCAACTCCATTGACCCGCCTTTGCTCCATATCCCTCGATAACCTTCCCTAAAACAAAACTCTGTCCAACACAGTCTTGAAAATTTCAATCGATCCAGCATCAGCAGTCTTTTTCGGGGAGAGAGTTTGAGATTTCCACTACTCTTTGCATGGAAAAAAAAAAAGGGGGTATGTTTAATGAAGAGGCAGAAGGGGGTTGCGGTTTAACATCTCACCCGAAGGACGGCATCCCCGATAGTGTAGTGCGCCGTTCCCCTGGTCTGATCAATGTCGGAGCCGGTCAATGTGTTGCATTGTCATTGCAGACGACAGCTTCTCATCTTCCAGCCACAACGCTTCCGAGACACAATTCCGAGGAGGGGGCTGGCTTTGACGGAGCCCAGAGAAACTCAAGCTCCGAAGGACAGAAGCAGAAGATGGTCGCGTCCCAGGATGACGTTTACAGTGAGATTGACGTTGCCCAGCACGCTCGCAGGTTGCAGAGTCAACCTCCCATTTGGTGCCCTCAGCAGCCAAGTCTAGGGATGACGTCTCAAGGTAACACGGCAAGTGCCCCAGAGGCAGCATCAGGAGGAGGAGGAGAAGGAGGCAGCCTTTCGGCCAGACTGAAGGGCCAAACCGCTCTCCTTAATATCAAAGAAATTATTTCCAAATTTTCCGAAATCAAGCATCGTGCAATCAGGGTCAGAGACCCAGAACCCCAAAGGTACCAACCCAGCGCCCCTCAGGGCTGCTGCAATTCGGCTCAAAACGTCTGCTCTGCCTCGAGAAACACAAACGTGTACTCCACGCTGGACCAGAGGAACCGGGAGCCCCAACAAGTGAGCACGCTTCACCCTCCAAGGCACACAAGAGCTGATACAATGGCCACCCAGCCACCTGGCCACACTCCGCTGCCCTCCACTCCTTGGGCTTTGCCCAGTGCTGAGACTGACTTTGCTGCAGGAGGTCTCTGCCATGGGAGAGACGAGGAGTGCTTGGGAGAGAGTGGCCATCTGCCCGAAGAATATTTGATCCCTCCGCCATACGCTCCTGGATACAGGCCCAGCTAGGAGACGGAATTTCCGAACGGGACGACTAAAATGATAGCTTCGGAAACGGTTCAACTGGAACCAGTCAACACAAGACTTGTAATGAATCAGCCTCACTGTCCTGGGGGTCGAAGTCTTATTTCATTCAGCGTTTTAAGCAAAACAAATACAAAAGTTCACACTCAGAACTCGAGCAAGGCTTTTAGGGTTTGTTTGGGTGGATCCTTTTGGGATGAATTATTAGAGTAAAGTGCAAAGAGGGGTTGAGATAAGGAGGTCACTTGCCACTTGCCAGTAATTTGTCGCAAATGTAACATGACACTTTATATTTATTCAGCGCCTTTCGTATCAGGAGGACGTCTCAAAGCGCTTCACACCGCTGGCTGGGCACCCAAAGTTGAGGGTGGGAGCAGAAGGGGGTGCGGAGGGGAAAAGATGACTGAACGCGTGGTCAAAGAGTACATCTTGATACAGAGCTCGAACGAGGTCAGGGAAGTGAACGAGCGAGCGTAAGTGCAATAATAACATTTCTTTGCTCACTGTGTGCCCCTTCTAAGAGGCTTTTTGGCACATATTCAGTTGTCCTAGAAAATAACCATCAGAGCTGGGCCCTCTTTAACCTCATATTTGTACATGAAAAAAATGAAGGCTAAGTTTGACAATAAGTGGGTGCCCTGCTATCCCAAATGTTGGTGGGGAGGGGATGGGAGGGAGTAACATTCATACACAGGATAGATGTTGGATGAGAGAGCTGACAGAGAGAGATCGAGAAGAGTTTAAATCCCAGTCCTGGAGGAGATCACCTTCCCATTCCTACCCTAGTTAGGAATCGTTAGGATAATAATAATGATAATCGTTGCATTTGATGCAGTGCCTTATCATATCTTCGGGACGTCTCAAAGTGCATCACAGAATATTCTGTAAAGTGAATTGACTATTTCGTGAAACCAAATGCGCCCTCGCCCCCAAAGCTTAACCACCCTTAACTCTTCACCCCTCACCACCGCAGCTCCAGAGTGTTAAGCAGCCGTCGATGCTGTTATTGTATACATCATTGATTTCTTTTTATTTGCATGTTCAACGTCAGCGATAAGAAAGATTTTCTGTAATTTTCTGGATTGTGAAATAGGCCGGCAACTCGCACAGAGGCTGGCTTTGTAAGTCTCTTGTCTGCTTTGGTTACTGCTCCAGGAAACACATCGTACCAAAGAAACCTCCATATCAGACCGCGAAACCATGTGTCAACTTGGCTCAGTTGGTAGCGCTCTCACCTCTGAGTCAGGCGATTGTGGGTTCAAACCGCACGACTGGGACTTTCAACTCATTTAGTCCGGGCTGACACTGCAGTGCAGCGCTGGGGGTACTTTGCATTATCAGAGGTGTCGTCCTTCAGATGAGATCTCGGACATCTGCCAATTCAGGTGGGCATTAAAGATCCCCTGGCACAGCTTGAAAAAGAAAGGAGTTAATCTCCAGCAGTTACCCCAACACACATTCTGGGGTCCCCAAGCCTTGGCTCTCGTCCCCAAACTGTTGCCTAAAACTCTCCGGAATTAGGTGAGCAGGTTGAGTCCCTCCGGGGAGAGAGAGAGAGAGAATGAGTGCACATTTCATTCCAGACACAGGAATTTCTATATGTAGGTTGGGATGCATGTGACTCTCGGTCTGGTTTGGATTACTCTTAAGCAAAGTGATGGATTTCTACACGTGTCAGACATCTGGCTGACAGAAAAAATATAATAAGGATTCCATTAGCCTTTCTGTTGGCTTCTGTCTTCTGTGCTGCCACTCTTGTGACCTGTGTACCTGCAAACCAGCTGCGAGAGACACTGAATTGTAAAATAAAATCAGTCCCTTGTATTGTCACACATGTCTGAATTGCAAATTACTTACAAGAGTATCTGTTCCGCCTCTGGGTTGTCTGTGGGGCTTAGTCAGATCTGGTGCTGAGATTGCTATCAATGTGCCACTGTGATCACTGTCCGTCAAACCCCAGTCTCCCACCAGGTTTGGACCTGGTTCCTTGCCCTCTGTAGGCGATTGTCTTCTAGTGAACAATAGGGAGGAGTGGTGTGTGTAACCAGTAGTGTGGGGATGACTGTACGTTTCTGGGTTGGGAGCGTCCAGTGAAACTCACACCACTGACATTGGGCTGAATGTGAATCATTCCTCACGAATTCCTCATAACATTTCGGACTCCTTATCACACAGAGGGTTGCATCCTTGCGTTACGTCGGAGATTGAACCGTGAGCGTGAGAGGTGACGGGGCGAGCAGTGCGTGTGTGTGTAAAAAAAATCGCTGTCGGAGTTTGAACTTTTTCTTTTTCAAATTTCATTAAAAACGACAATAACGTTAATGATGAATAAGACGGAAATCGAGGCTGACATCCCATCCCCCGCCCCTCGCCAGTCTGAATCAACGTTACAAGAGAAGCACAGTTAACGCTTTAGAAAGACTTGGACGCTGGAGTGGGGAAGTGTCTTGTCCTAAAGAGGGTGGTGGGCGATTCTGCTCTGGATGGGAGGTGGGTTCCGATGGTGAGAGGCAGGTGTCATGTGGCTGGGTCTCTGGATCTCTGTGGTAGCTTTGCTCCGCTCACTGGCTTAGATTCGGATGTGGAAGGTGCTGAGGGAAGAAACAGAAACACGTTTGAGTTGTTAATTGATCTGGCTGTGACGAGACGTCTCACAGCGCTTCACAGGGTATACTGTTAAGTATAGTGGCTGTGTATTGTGTTGGCAAAACGGATTGTCAGCCTAGGATGTGAGCTCAACTGGTGACATGCAATCGTTTCAGTCTCGCGGGAATCGGAGGGTGTAGCCAAGTTGTTCAGCCCCATGGAGGCTCGAAGGGCATATGGGCATAACAGTAATAATCCTTGCACTAGATATAGAGCCTTATCACATCATTGAGACGCCTCAAAGCGCTTCTGAATTGATTATATATTTTTGGGGCAAAACCCGGCAGCCAATGGCACACAGCATGGATTGAGCGACCAAATTATTATTTTTTCTAAGGCCCCAGAAAGCGATTTGTGAATCGAATAACAACCAGGTTCCTACTTACTGCTGGGCAAACAGAGGAGCGTGGAGTAGGGAAACCTGCCTAAAGTTTCTCCCCGCCCGGGAAACAAACCTGGGTCCTCTGGCTTGCGAGGCGAAATTCTAACCAATAAGCTACAGGACTCCATATGGCAGGGCAGTGGGATTGATCGAACATGAGCACCTTGCTCTGAGAGCCAGTGGGGACCCGACGGGGCCGAGAGAGAATAAGGTTGAGAGAGCGCGCACACACACGTACACACGCACACACACATTGTGAAGGGCGTTGGTTACCTGAGGAAATCAGGTGCTCGTGCAATCATGTGCTGGAAATCCTCCAGTGACAATTTGCCGTCATTGTCCAGGTCAGCTTCATCCAGGACCTTCTCACCCACCAGGCGCACCTCTTCCTCGGTCAGCTCGTAGCGGGTCAGCCTGTTCAGGGTCTTCTCCAGGTCCGACTTGCAGATGAAGTCGTCATTGTTGAAATCTAAGAGTTTGAGACGAGAGTCATTTTGGAGTCCTGTAGCTCAGTGGTTAGAGCACTCGCCTCGCAAGCGAGAGACCTGGGTTCGATTTCCGGCAGGGTGAAACTTTAGGCAAGTTTTGTTACTCCACACGTCTCTGTTTACCTAGCAGTAAGTAGGAACCCGGATGTCAATTGATTGGCGGATCGCTTCTCTCGGGGTAATAATCCCTTCAAAGAAAAATAATAATAATAATTTTGGTTACTCAATCCACCACATGTTTAGGGGACGCTGCTGTGCGCAATTAGCTGCCGTGTTTCACCCACAAAATATACAGTCAATTCACTTCATGATATATTCTGTGAATCACTTTGAGAAGTCTCAAAGACCCAATAAGATGCTAATAACAAATGCAAGGATTATTATTGTAATTATTTCATTGCTCGTCTCAACTTGGTGAAGTAAAGAGAACCTTGAGCGATGGGCCAAGGGTTCAGGCAGGTCCCACCTCATTGCCTGGACTTGTAGATGAAACTTCACTCCTGATTTTAATGAGGATCAATCTGGCTCAGTTGACCAGCGTTCTTGGCTGGACGGAATTCAGTCGCATTCATAATGTCAGCTCAATGTTCTTGGAATTGAAATGGACCTGCTGTAATTTCAGAAGCTGTGTGGCTGTTTTGATAATACCCTGCGCTCAAATTAATACTCATCTGCCGTCCATTCAAATCATTCATTTCCGACACTGTCCATGCATGATTCATGGAAACTTTCCCTGACCCTATCACACACGCTGGCAGCTTCAAAAGGGGCAGAAAATATTCATTGTTACCTTCTGGTACAATAACAGACAATCAAACAAAGCCACCAGCAAATGGCGTGGATAAGGTGCGTGTCTCCTGCCGCTTGTCTCAGCCTGGCTCGTTTGGTGGCAACTCTGAGTTAGAAGGTTTGGGGTTCAACCCCCCCACGTCGGGACTTTGAACTAACATAGTTCTAGGAACCCATCATACACATAACCGTCGCTAAGAAATAATGTCATCCCCATTTACCGTATATTTTAAAGGCGTAGCAAGCCTTCAGATCTCGCGGGGCCATTTCACTCAACACCGAGAACATATCCAGAAAGTTGTCCAGTGTCATGTTCCCTTCGCCATCCTCAGAGAACACCTCGGCAATCCTCTGGCGAAAGGGGTTATCCTGCAGGCAGAGAGCAGTTACTGATAATAATAATAATCCTTGCATTTGATGTAGCGCCTTATCGCGTCTTCGAGACGTCTCAAAGTGCTTCACGGAATATACTGCAAAGTGAATTAACTTTGTGTATTCTGTGGGCGAAACACATCATGATTGGTGTCTGGAAGTTACATCATTCTCTATACTGTACGCCGAGACTTCAGACATGGGACGTAGCACCCAAGCTTATTTCCCTAGGCAAATACATGGAGCAGTGCTTGAACGACAGGCCAACGCTCCTGTGAATCAACATCATAAGAACAACAACTTGCATTTATATAGCACCCCCCTCAAAGCAGGGTAGCGTTCCAGAGCGCTTGACAGTGGTGGATCACGACGCCGAGCCAGGGGGAGGGGTGAGGTGAGGTGTCCGTAGGAGCGGTCAAAGAGGAAGGTCTTCAGGCGCTTCTGAAATAAACTGCTAGAATATATATGGTATGTTTATATATAATATATTGTCTAATATAAACCTCACACTTGGTACATAGGAGAAGGCGGCGTCTCTGGTAGATGTTACCTGAGCTCATTCTGATGTTGGGATATGGTTAGAGATTTGCGCACAGCAATGTCCCGTAAAGAGCAGGAAGGGGTAAGCGACTAATTATATCTGGGGGATTGTTGGCCAGGACACCGGGAGAAACTCCCTTCTCTTTGCGAATAGTGCCACGGGATCTTTAACGTCCACCTGCACGGTGTTCGTTCCACGTGCGATTGAGGACATGGTTTTTTCCGGCCTACACACACAGAAAAACAATCCACAACATCACACGCACTGATTGCCTTCACCTACCGTAAACTTAATGACCCTGAAGCTGTTTTAGTTGAGGTAAGTTGCGGGAGGTGAGGTGCTGTCACCCAGCTAGCTCATCATCTGCACAACATCTGTCCAATGTGTGGGCCGGAAAAAACAACCAGATCTGTCCAATCTGGTCAGGACATCTCATTAGATGAAGGAATGGAGTATAAATGCAAGTTGTTGATGTTGTTGACGCTGGCTGAAATCAGAATGTTTCTTTCCTACGCGGAATAGCTTTACGGGTCAGCCCACCGCGACCACAACAACAACAACTACAACACAAATGACATTTTACATTGTGTAAAATATATGCCGTGACTAGCGAATAAATTGTTAACGACAGCCCTTTCACTTTCCATCTCTGGAGAGGCCGAGAGAGAGTGAGTGAGTGAGTGAGTGATTAGGCTGTTTGAGCAGGTCCACTGGTAGTTTAATGGTGTCCAATTGCTGGTAAATGCTCAGAGATTCCTGTCAATTAGTAGTGGGTGAATTATTCATTATTCATTCTCTGACAGTGAGAATGCACTTGGCACAGGACACAGGGAAAGGCGTTCAGGGTACCACTCTCACGCTCTCTAAAGGGACTAGATAATGTAGACTATGATAAGCTGCTTTTATCTTGTACTGAACAGTAGAACCAGAGGACAAGGCCTGCGATTGAAAGGAGGTGGGGGTAAATTCAGAACTAATCTGCAGAAACACTACTTCAGTCAGCGAGTAGTAAACGTACGGGAGACGGTGGAAGCAGAGAGGGTAGATTCTTTCAAGAACAAATTAGATGGATCGCTGTTAGAAAATAATATGGTCACTCAATCCACGACTGCTTGTGGGACACCGCTGAGCGCAATTGGCTGCCGCGCTTTGCCCGCAAAATATACAGCCAATTCACTTTACGGTATATTCTGTGAAGCGCTTTGAGACGTCTTGAAGACGTGATAAGGCGCTATATCAAACGCAAGGATTATTATTATAATATCTCAGGATACAGTATATAGTTTGGGACAAGACACCAGGATGGTGGAAAGCGAACTGGATACACCTTGGTCTTCTTTCGCCTAGTTAATCCTTATTTTGTTATGTACCTTGAGCTCAGGCATGCTGCTAATCAGCTCGTATGGCAATTTCACCTCTGGGTTGGATTTGTAGTCCAAAGGGACGAGTTGCGGAGCCAAATCTCGGTAACGGTGGAACAATCTGGAAGGAGAATAAAATAATTATTTCACAGCTATTTAAACAACCGGGTCCCACAGACAAGAGTTTGTTTGGGAAAAAAACCTTTGGAGAAACAGGAGGAGATATTGAATAAGTAATTTCACCTACAAAATACACAGAGACTACACTCTACAGTATATTCTGTGAAGCGCTTTGAGACACCTCGAAGATGCGATGAGGCACTATATCAAATGCAAGTATTATTATTATTTCCATTGGTGAGAGAGTCAGTAAAATGAGGAAGTAAATTTAAGGTTAATACCAAAAACATTAAGGGAGAGATTAAGTTTATTTTCATGCATACAATACAATTTATATTGTATTTAGAACAACAAAGTTCCCTTATATAATCCCCTTCACGCAGGGCAGTGTCACAGAGTGCTTGGATAACGTCTTTCACATTGGCAGAACATCTCAAAGCGCTTAAGAGAATTATTGGGACATTGAATGCGTCCTATAAAAAAAATGGTAGTTCCATTCTTCAACCCAAATCCTTAAGTTTGTCTATAACTCTTTAAATACTAACCACTTTTCTTGCATTTGTTACCTGTTTGCATGGTGTGATGCCACCTGCAAATGAGTCCATCTACTTAACGCCAGCAAGCTCCAACAAGCTCTCCAATTCCTGAAGGGAGTCCAGGGGGGAAGGCGGAGAGGAGAATCATAGAATCATAGAATTATACAGCACAGAAGGAGTCGATTCTGCCCATCGTGTCCGTGCCGGGTCTTTGAAAGAACTGTCCAAATTAATCCCACTCCCCCGCTTTCTCCCCATAGCCCTGCAAATTTGTCCTCCCCAAATACCTATCTACTTCTCTCTTGAAAGTTGTTATCAATTTGGCTTCCACCACACTTTCAGGCAACGCATTCCAGATCCGAACAACTCGCTGTGCGAGGAGGGCGAAGGAAGACCAAAGGAAGAGGAACAGAGCGTGTGATGTGAAAGTAGCCGTGGCCAGCAGATTGAGCTCAATGTTTCTAGACTCACCTCAGAATTTCCTTTCGTGTGAAAAAGGTACAGTCCTTGGGAGGGGGAGAAAAACAAAATGAGCCAGGTTAAAGTAAAACAGTCGCATTTGCTGGAAAAATTTGCCATAGATTTCGAAAACCTTTACGAATTGAAATTCCGACCACATCTTGTAATTATATAAGCGTCCTTCACACACAGGGCAGCATCTCGGAATGCTTGACGGTGGCGGAGCCTGATACCGAGCCGGGGGGAAGAGAGGAGGTGACCGTAAGCACAAAGAGAAAGGCATTCGGTTGTGATCTGAAAGAGGGGAAGGAGGGGGTAAGGCAGAAAGACTGGAGGAGGGAGTTCCAAAGCTTCGGGGCATAGTGGCTGAACATAAGGCCACCTGGATGCAGAGAAGCTATTTCCTCAGGTGGGGGAATCCAAAACAAGGGGGGGGGGCATAGTCTTAAAATTAGAACCAGGCCATTTAAGAGTGAAATCGGGAAGCATTTTTTCACTCAAAGGGTGGTAGAAATCCAGAATTCTCTCCCACGAAAGGCTGCGGATGCTGGATCCATCCACACATTCAAGAGTGAGGTTGACGGATTTTTGGTAGGTCAGGGTATCAAGGGATATGGGGAGGAAGTGGAAAATTTTAATTGACAAGATTAATTGAGGTACAGATCAGCCGTGATCCAACTGAATGGTGAAACAGGTTCGAAGGGCTGAATGGCCGACTCCTGTTCCTATGTTCCAATGGTGGAGCGGAGGGGACGAAGTTACAAGTGAAGTTACAAATGTAAATGGATTATTTAATAATAATTTTGGTATTAAAATAATAAAGCCCTCGCATTTGATGCAGCCCCTCATCGTCATTGTCCAGACGTCTCAAAATTGGCACAGTTTTACTGTACTGCTTATTTGTTGGTTTATTTAGAATGGATTTACGTTCAAAATGCACTGCAGAAAACGGACTGTGTATCTTTCACATGCGCTCACTTTCTTTCAGTATCTCCCCCTCTTTCCCTCTGTGACCTACACACATTCTCTCATTATTCTTGCCTACACAGAGTAACATCCCATAGAGCACATTTTATCTTGTGTTGTGTAATATATACTTATTAACCTTTTCCAGCTTTGCATAACCATATATAGCATTACCACTCGTGCATACTCCTGTCTATAGCACTGCCCCTAGCGTATAATCCTGTCTATAACATTACCAGTTAGCTATTTATAACACCGCCAGCAGCAGGAGAAATATGTAGGGGTACATGAGGAGGTGGGAGTGAACTTGATGGATCCCATCAACATGCAAACTAAACCTTTATTCGTTCCTTCCCTTCAGGTATCCCCCAGCTGTGAATTATCTACCCATGATAAACTGACCTTTATAATATATATATGTGTGTGTCTATATATATATATATATATAGACACACACATATAAGTCGCTATACAAAATGCAAGGATTATTATTATTATATGGATATTATAATACTGTATTCACCATCTCATTTGTATTTAGATGAACCAAACCGTCTCCTGATCACGTAAATCACCCTGGTACACCAGCCACCGCCGCTCCCTTAAAGCCCAGGTGCATTCCGCTGAGCCACCTGACTCAAATCAAACCTAACTGTCCACCGGCAGATTTGGCTGAACCATGTCAGATCCTACCGCTCCGCCTCCGCTAACTCGTTGTTCTACTCCAAGACAGTCTTGGAGGCTCCTCTTCTCCATCACGAACCGACTCCTCCGCCCACCCTCTCACGCCTCACCCATCCTCATCTCAAATGCCAACTGCGAGGCGATGTTGGACTTCCTCGAATCCAAAATCGAGGGAATCCGCTCAGCTGCCTCTGCCACTGCAACTACTACCCCCTCTCCATCTCAGCTTTGAACCCGTCTCGCCCTCCTTTCTCATCACCACCATAACCCGTATGAACCCCACCACCTGCTCCCTGGATCCCATCTCTAGCCCCCTCCTTACCTCCCAGCTCCACCTCCTTGCCCCTCTACTCACTGACAATCGTTAACCTCTCCCTGTCCTCTGGTACTGCTCCCACCACTTTAAAAAAGCTGTCATCACTCCTATCCTTAAAAAAACCCTCCCTGGACCCTTCTCTACTCTCTAACTGACGCCCCATCTCCAATCTTTCCTTCCGCTCCAAGGTCCTGGAACGAATTGTTGCTTCTCAGCTTCGCTCCTTCCTCTCCCGCCACTCCCTTCTCGAACCCCTCCACTCGGGCTTCCCTGCCACCCACAGCACAGAAACCGCGCTGGTCAACATAACAAATGACATTCGGTCCATCTGCGACCAGGGCTCCCTCTGCCTCCTCGTCCTCCTTGACCTCTCTGCTGTTTTCGACACCGTCGACCACTCTATCCTCATCCACCGCCTCCCCTCTCACCTCAACCTCCACAGCCCTGTCCTTGATTGGTTCAGATTGTACTTCTCACACCGTCTCCACTTCATCTCCTCAAATGGCTTCCCCTCCAGCCCCCGAACCATCTCGTGCGGTGTTCCTCAGGGCTCTGTTCTTGGTCCCCTCCTCTTCAATATCTATATGCTCCCCCTTGGTGATATTATCCGCAGAGATGGGGTCAACTTCAACATGTATTCGGATGACACCCAACTCTACCTCTCTGCCTCCACCCTTAACTCTAGGACCACAGGTCCTGACAGAATGTCTGTCAGACATCAAGTCCTGGATGAGAGCTAACTTGCTTCAGTCAAAAGTCAACAAGACCGAGGCTCTCCTGATTGGCTCCTATCAGTGCCTCCTCACCTCAGGCGCTGACAGTATCACCATCCATAGTTGAACACTCCACCTTACTAAGCCAGTCCGGAAACTTGGAGGTCTTGTTCGACCATCGTTTCGACCCCACATTCGCGCCATGACCCGCTCTGCCTTCCCCCACTTCTGCAATGTTGCCCGGCTCCGACACTGTCTCACACCCCAGGCCGCCGAAACCCTCATACACTCTTTCATTACTTTGAGGCTCAACTGCGCAAACTCACTGCTTGTCGGCCTCCGCAACTCCTCCCTCCACAGGCTGCAGATCATCCAGAACTCTGCAGCCTGTACCCTCTCCCACACCAGGCTCCGTGACCCTATCATCCCCATCCTTGCCCAACTCCACTGGCTTCCCATCACACAGAGGATACAGTTCAAGATCCTGGTCCTCACCTTCAAAGCCCCCCCATGGTCTTCCTCCGCCATACCTCTCCGACCTCCTAACCCTCTACCATCTTGTTCGCTCCCTCTGCTCAGCGGGCTTTGGCCTGCTTCACGTCCCCCGCCCTGCTCGCCCCACTATCGATGGGCAGGCCTTCCGCCACTCTGCATCCACCTTCTGGAACTCCATCCCGCAGTCCCTCCGTCTCGCCCCCCCCCCCCTCCCTCGCCACCTTCAAGACCCACCTCAAGACCCTCCTCTTCGACCGTGCTTTCTATCTCCCTGCTTTCGCCCCCCCCCCCCAGCCCTCCCCCTCCCCACCCCGACCCTCGCTCGGGTCCCAAACTCTGTTTGTCCAGCGCCTTGGGACGTCCTCCTGACATGAAAGGTGCTGTATAAATGGTGTTGTTGTCGTAGATGAGCGTTACAATAACTAACCATAGTTTAAGCGCTCTGAGACGCTACCCTGCACGGAGGGCACTATATAAGTGCAAGTTGTTGTTGGAGTTTGGAACCAGGTGTCCTACCTGATAGGCATCCAGCTGATGCGCAGTGAAGATGTTTTGCTTGTTCCCCATGCTGCTGTGCAGTGTGAACCTGTCTGGCTCCTTCACCCTTCTGCTCCTCTACACATTCTCAAGATTCAGGTATGAACGGGGCTAACAATGGGCGCGGGGTTAGGTTTCTGCTCTAATTAGCCCACTTATTTTCAGAATGATAATGGAAACATTTAATTAATTCTCTCTTATGAATATAAAAGGATCGGTCCTGGCTGGCTCTGCACGCCCTACGGTGCTGCCAACATGTTAGCTCAGTGGACTCATGTTTCACAGTCTTTAAGGGAACAGGGCCAAACAGCAATACCCCCAGCAACATGCAAACAAGTGGCTGACATCGTATCCAAATATCCGCACGCTTTTAAATTTTGCATGTGACTCGCTTCTTTTTTTCAATACATTTTAATGCGTCCGATTATTTTTCACAGAGAGCCTGACCGCTCCTCACCCGGCTGCCACACCAGGAGGGGATATATAGGAACATAGGAACAGGGGTAGGCCAACCAGCCCCTCGAGTCTGTTCCGCCGTTCTACTTGATCATGGCAGATCTGTACCTCAACTCCAATTACCTGCCTTTGCCCCGTATCCCTTGATACCTCGACTTAACAAAAACCTATCCACCTCAGTCTTGAAAATTTGAATGGATTTGTATTTTATAACATGTCATAAAATTTGAAGGGATCCTGTTGAGCAGCAGTAGTCAATCTTTTTGGTCGACCAACCAAATACAATTTATTAATTTAATTTTAACCCCCCCAACACCCACACCCACCCCGCGACTTCTAGAGAATAGTTTCACCCACAGGCTCTGCATATTTAGAATCAATGCCAAGATTGTTTTTAGAAAGTGAGGAGATACTGTCTTACAGAGGCTGTATATGATGAAGCTGAGTTGAATGGCTGATTCATTGCCCAGGATTAATTTTTAATTCCAGGCTCCGATTGTTGCTCACTAAAAGCACACTTGGCATTGATTTTTGATCTGCAGAAACCCGAGGGTGAAACCATTCTCCGCACATGATGGGTGAGTTGTCTGGACAATCATGGCAGGAGCAAGACCAGCCATATAAATGGCACTGAAACCAAACCTCTCACACTTATCCCAGCGTAACTTAACATACAATACAATTTACAGTTATACAGCGCCTTTCACATCGGGAGGATATCTCTAAGCGCTTGACCCTACTGGCTGGGCATTTGAACTGGGTGGGGGTTGGAGCCAAAGATGGTTGGGAGTGGAAAGATAACCAAAACAGCAGTCAAAGAGGTACATCTATTGGCCAAACCAGTCTACATAAAACACCAATGACGAAGCCTCACAGACCAACTACTGAGGCCATGATATCTGATATAGCATTTGCTCACACAGAGGGTTGGGAGAAATTGGAACACACCACACGGGTAGATCAATAGACACTTGGCTATGAAGGGCACGGGGAAAGATCTGCCATGAACAAGTAGTGGAACATTGGTCAATGAGCTGAACGGTCTCCTCTTGTTCCTAAGCTTTATGTCGGGACAGACATTATCCTGTGGTCGGGAGCAGCAAGAGGGCTTCAACTGACGCACACGGTCAGATTCAACAACAAATTACGTTCGTGCAGCAAAACCCCCCAAAATACTGCAGACGCTGGAAACACCAATGACAAAGCCTGGGAACACTCAGCAGGTCAGGTCAGGCAGCGTCTAGGGAGATAGGAAAGTGAGTCAACGTTTCGGGTCCATCGTCAGAAGAGGAAACAACAACAACAGCGACGACAACAACAAAATTAAATCTATAGAGCGCCTTTCACGCCGGGGAGGACGTCCCAAGGCGAAAGTGAGTCGACGTTGCGTGGACCCGAAACGTCGACTCACTTTCCTCGCTGCGAGCGTAACGACGACAACATCATCAACAACAACAACAACAACAACTTGGATTCGTAGGGGCGCCCTCCACCCCGGACGGGGTCTCAGAGCGCTTCAGAGTAACGGATCCCGGGATCCGTGTACAGCGCCTTTCATGTCGGGAGGACGTCAGGGATGGACAGTCAGGGATTCGGACCCGAGCCGGGGGTTTGGGGTCAGCGGAGGGGAAGGGGGAGGGGGGGGGAAGAGGGTGGACAAGCACTTCAAGCCTTGTCCCTTAGGCACAGACCCCGCCCCCGATTCATGTCAGTCAGTCACAGGACCCGCCCCCTATTCGTGTCACTCAAGCATTCGCCCCGCCCCGCCCAAGAGTCATACCAGCCGATTATAAGCCCCGCCCCCGGTCCGTGTCACTCAACGTAGGCCCCGCCCCCGGTCCTGTCACTGGCACACAGACCCCGCCCCTGTGGGTGATGTCACAGGAATCACATGACTGCCTCGCACGCCGCTGGAAGATTCCCGAACCGGAGATGCAGCTCGAGCTCCGGTGAGAGACCCGGAGCGACACCCCCCCCCCCCCCCGGGGAGAGAGAGAGGGACCGGGAGAGGGGGGAGAGAGAGAGGGACCGGGAGAGACCGGGAGAAGGGGGGGGAGAGAGGAGAAATTTAGGGGGGTTGCGGTCTCGGGGGTGGGGCTGGAGTGGGGGGTTAGGGGTTGGGAGTGGGGCTGGAGTTGGGTGGGGGAGGGTGTGGGGTTGGGGTTAGGTGTTGGGGTGGAGCTGGAGTTGGGGGGGGGAGGGTGTGGAGTTGGGGTGGGGGGGGTGTTGGGGTGGGGCTGGAGTTGCGGGGGGGGGGGGTTGTTGGGGTTAGGTGTTGGGCTGGAGTTGGGGGGGGGTTTAGGGGGTGGGGCTGGAGTTGGGGGGGGTTAGGGGTTGGGGTGGGGCTGGAGTTGGGGGGGTTAGGGGGTGGGGCTGGAGTTGGTGGGGGATTAGGGGTTGGGGTGGGGCTGGAGTTGGGGGGGGGGTTTAGGGGGTGGGGTTGGAGTTGGGGGGGGTTTAGGGGGTGGGGCTGGAGTTGGGGGGGTTGGGGTGGGGCTGGAGTTGGGGGGGGGTTAGGGGTTGGGGTTAGGTGTTGGGCTGGAGTTGGGGGGGGTTGGGGTGGGGCTGGAGTTGGGGGGGGGTTAGGGGTTGGGGTTAGGTGTTGGGCTGGAGTTGGGGGGGGGTTATGGTGTCAGTGAGTTTGGGGGTTTGTGCCACTTGCCGTGCCCTGTATCCTGGACTCGCTGCAGGTTTGGCCGCCGGTCGGTCGGTTCGGATGGTTTATTTGCAGTGAGTGATTCGCAAGTGAAATAGGGCTTTGTAATTCAAGAGCCGGAGACCTGAATTCGACTCCCGGCAGGTCAGGGGGAAACCTTTGGCAAGTTTCCTTACTCCACAGACTCCACCTCATAATAATCCCTCAGGGGGAAAGAAAAATAAAATAAATCGGTCACTTCGGTCCACGACTGTTTGTGGGGACGCTGCTGTCTGTGCGCAATTGGCTGCCGCGTTTCGCCCACAGAATACACAGTCAGTTCGCTTTACAGTTGTGTCCCGCGAAGCGCTTTGAGACGTCTCGATGACGTGATAAGGCGCTATGTCAGATGCCAGGATTATTATTATTATTATTTGAATTCAAATTGTATTCAGTTAGGTTTGTATTGAAAATGCGGGTTCCTTTTTTTGGTGGGGGAAGTAGGAAGGGAGGTAAGCGGGGTCTCCTTGGAGCTGAGATGGCTGGCTACCGAGCGACGTGCCTGAGCGCGGCATGGCGGAATCGAGCCCACCCTCCGTGGGGGTCTCTCAAGCCCAGTTCCTGAGCCAGGCTGCTCTGTGTATTCCAGGCCATTGCTGATGACAGCACAGCTCAGCCTGGCCCGTGAACAGGACCTGGAAGGGCAGACCGGTCACTGGGTGCAGGGAGTCATCCCACTCCTGTTAACCCTGCAGGCTAAAGCCCTAATGGGTAGGGTGGTCCTAGCTGGAAAAGCAGCGTGAATGCTTGGTGCCAGCATTCTCAACAACAAATAGAGCGCCTTTCACATCGGGAGGACGTCCCAAGGCGCTGTACAGTTGGGTCAGGACCCGAGCATTGGGGGGAAATGGTCAGGGTGAGGGGAGGGAGCAAGGAGGGTGTAGACAGTCGAGAGGGGAGCTGAAGGCACAGTCAAAGAGAACAGCAAGTTATGTTATGCGGTTTTAGCTGGTTAGCACCGCAGAAGTTCTTAAATGCAGAAGTCTTTCTCACTTCCTTCCAAGTGTTCTCACCACTAAATTGAAGTGAGTGGGTTTGTGTGGGTGGGAGGGAGTGAGTCGGTGGGTGGGGGACAGGAAGAAAGGTCGGTGGGGGGCGGGAAGGAAGGAGGACAGCGAGCAGGGAATTGGGATTAGAGTACTCCAGTGGAGGAGCTAGCACCCGTTTAATGGTCTGAATCACCACCTTCTGTTTTGCAATTTTTAAAAAATGTTTTGTAATGTATCCACCGTGTCTGCATGTGTCTGATGCTGTGATTTTATAATTATAGTGCTGGCAGGCATTTGTTTGCTATCTTTTAATTTGTGTAGTTAATTAGCCCATGACTGCCTGTTGAGGGATTGCTGCACACGGGCATTGTGAGCAGTGAGTGATCCAGGTGTATGGCCAAACTGCAGTACTCGTGAGTCACTACTATAGTCAGGGTTATCAATGATTGATTTTTGTTGAGCGTCCGAACTGAATCTGTCCCACCATTATCTGATGGATGTGTCAGCATCGTTCAGAGAAATGGTAAAACTACCTCGTAAACTGTTGTGAAATGTAATCTCTTAACTTCTGGTCTCATTATCCCTCCAGGTTTACAGCTGAATCATGAAGCTACCAATATTTCTGCTGTTTTCCATCTACTGTCTGTCCAGCAACTCACTGCTGCAATGTGGTAAATATTGACCTTGTGATGGATGAATGCAAATGGGTAGAGGAATCATTATAATTCAGACCAATCTTATTCCTCACTGATGTCCACACCTACTACTAGGGGCCTTTGGATGGTGGTGATGAACAGGGATGGCTTTGCTATTTTTTTCCCATAACTCAGGCATGGTGAGATTGCTGGTTTGCTTCAGTGCAACCTTTTGATTGATATGGCTCAGAGAAATATAATGTATCTTTAACCTTAAACATTGGGAGATACTATAACATCAGTGGTTTAAGATTTTATTGGAGGAAAATGTATCGGTCATATTTATATTATTGTTTGCAAATACTTGTTGGAATGGCAAAAGTTCATCTGTTCTTTGTTTTTTTCAGATGCTGTTTTAACACTGTCAGCACCAGAATTTGTTTCCCTGCAAATTGGTAATGTTCAAAACATCAGCATTGCACCAAGGTAAGTCTGTTTTTGAGGTATTATTTGGCTAAGAGAAGGCTTAAAATTAAACATTTTAGATTCCCTAGTAGGAAACTTGCAAGACATTAGTTGGCTGAACTCCAGCAGTGTCCTAACATACACTTTGAGGTCTGTAAGATTTGGCTGTTGCCAATCTGGATCTGATACTTCTGGAATTAGGTAATCAGGGAGTGAGTGTGCTCTCTATTCTAGAACAAAGAGAAATCTCCATGCATAGGTGCCATATGCCATGCATATGTGGAACTCCGTTTTGATCCATTCTTGACTGAGTATTTAGTGTAGTTACTCATGGTTATATAGAAATATTCTATTTTTTCTCTTTTGCAGAGTACCACTACAGAAGAACTTAGTTGTCACATTCAATGTGACATTCGCGTCCAAACACGGTTCCATTGTTCAACTCCCTGAGCACGTAAGTGATGTACTTTCTGGATTTATATATAACCACAGTATCCTCCTGAGCGTGGCAATAGAATGTTAGAATCGAGTTGCCCTCTGTGGCATTAGTCCTGTTCCTGAACCAGACTACCCAGCCTTGGAGGAACAGAACTCTAGCAGTACCCCAAACACACAGTCTGGAGACCCCAAGTCTTGGCTCTTGCCAACCTGCACCTCATAATCTCTAGAATTGTGTAAGCATCTCTCCAGTGAGAGTGTGCACATTCCATTCTAGAAGCACAGAAATATTTGCATGTGTAGGTGGCATACACGTGTCTGTACTGGATATTCTTACACATGACAATGGGCTTCTGCATATGTCGGACACCTGGTTGAACAAAACAAAACACACCATGAAAATTTCATTTTACCAGAGGAGAGACGTTGTTAGCTTGTTCTACTAGTGATGTAAAACCATGTCTCCCTGTGACCTGATTCGGTCAGTTTTCACCATATTTACATAACACAGAATCACAATTCTGAACTTGATCCAATTCTCTTGTTGTAGCATTTTCAGCGCCTGTTCCTTTTAACGTTATCGAATGTTTTATTCCAACAGGTAGTTTTGCCCTCTAACTCTGTGAGCTCAACATTTTTTCCAGTCAAAGGACTTCAAGTTGGACAAGCCATCGTGTACCTGCAGAACACAGATAACAATCTGACCAGGTGATTTATTGTCTAGGAAGCTGATTAATCAATTTGTGGGTGGAACTGAGAAAAGAGAACATTATTCATCAGTATAAATGGTCCACTTGGGATCGGTTTTATTGTAATTACTCCGGTCAAGGTCGCAGATAAAAGGCTTTGAAGTGATTTTAGCTGAAATCCAAGGGTTGAAATTCCACCAGGTTAATACAACTGTGACGTGTAGTTCGAGACAACTTGAGTGATCAGTTCCGTGCCCAGAGATGGAGGTCTTACGCTGTTATACTGTTGATGGCCATGTCTTGCTTTTCTACCGTATAGCTCGGAGTGACCATTCTTATAGTAGGTGCAGCTTGGGTGCCCTTTGTCCCATACACATTGACTTCACAGCGATGTCTGGGACGTGGGATTGAGTCAGAAAAACTAATCGCTTCATCATTATCAGTTCTGGTGATTAGTTCTGTCTTTTTCAGCAACTTTCCTGGACAAACAATCCCATCATATAACATGATGATTTAGGGTTAGTCAATGTCTGGATCGAGGGGGATCCTGGATTTTACACACACCAAGAGTTGTTAAGTGTTGTTTCTAAGTAACATCTGGACACTATCCACTTTAATATTCAGTCTTGACAGCTGTTGTTGAGTGCCGAGAATGGAGACTTCTGTAACTTACAACTGGTTGTCATCAAGTATTGTTTAATGGTAATTTTTTTAATATAGTTCTCTGGGAAGAATTCGCTTTCTCGTGGTGAAAAGTGATGTCTTGACGATCATAAACCAAGTGATTGGTTGGATTTATTTCTTGGCTTGGTCCATCTCCTTCTATCCGCAGATCTTTGAAAACTGGAAACGGAAAAGGTAAGGACCAACGTGCTTTAAGGATTGGAAGCATTGGGGGAGCTTTATAGAAAAATTAGGAACTTTAAACTCAAAAAATTTGATTCAAAAATATTTAGCTCCTTAGTTGTTAGATTTAAAATGTTGCGTTGTTCAGGTTGAGGGTAAAGATCTCATGACATTGTTTGAAAAGAGAAGGTTGTTTCTTTCTGTGTTCTGAAATTAAAACTTCCAGATTAATGTTAGAGTTCCAGAGGTGATCTTACCTCGACAAGCAATAGAAGATTGCCAGACAATGCCCTCAATGGCAAATGTTGGGGTTTTACTTGGTTAAACTCCATCAGTAACACACACTGGGGTCCCTAAGCCTTGACTCTTGCAGGTTAAGTCCCTCAAATTTGCAGGTTAAGTCCCTCCATGGGGAGAGTGCTCATGCTATTCCAGACACAGAGAAATTTCCATGTGCATGTGTGAACATCCATATGTGGAACTCTGACTGCTTTGGAGACTCTTAAACATTGTGATGGGTTTCCACAAGCATCAGACAGTCTGACCATAAAATTAAGCTTTTAGCTTTTCATCATGTGATATTTACTACAGCACAATCTTTAAAGCACACTGATCAGCCCTTTTGTAAGTGGATGACTTATTTCTATTTTTTCAGTGTGGTTGGATTGAATTTTGACTACCTGGCACTTAATCTGATGGGTCATACAGCCTATGGCGTTTTTAACATTGGCCTTTTCTGGATTCCATATATTAAGGTAACTATTATGAAGATCACTTCAGCTTGTTTAGTAAGTGGGAGTGAATCTTGATCTTCCTTCTTCACCATTTCGTAAAGGACAGGTAGTCAAACCACTGAAATGGGATTGTTACAATAATCACCAGAAATTAGGTTCTCACAGATTAGTTGGGAGGAGCTCCATGTCATGTTTTCATTGAACTTTTGTTGTTTTTTTTATTAAGTGTTTGTTAGCGGTAACCGGACATGAAGATAATTTGGTTTTCCTATTGCCAAAATTGCTTGGACCCACCCTGTTTCAGTAGTGTATTTCCCATTGCCTTCACCCAATGACCAAAAAGGTTTCAACTGGAATGAAAATGACGCTATGTCTTTGAATAATTAGCACAATGACATTGTGGGCTTTATACATAAATGGAACCTTTGAGCCAGTTTTGCTCATAAATAACAGAACAAGGAAAAATGGTCAAGAGAAAAATTGTTATTTTAATTAAGTTGATGGGAGAGGGAAATTTACATTTACTAAAGGTCTTGTACCTAAAGGTGTCAATCAAGTGAAAGTATAAAGTCGACAGAAAGAAGGAGTGGCAGGCCACGAAAGGCAGCATAGAACAGTCACTTCTTAGTCACAGTCTAGGCAGCGGGATTGGTAACGTCAAATTGATGTTAGCCTCGGTGATGTGGTTAATGATGCTGTCAATTTGTAGTTGATCTTCACTAGTTGCTGCTTTAGGTGTGTTAGAACTCTGCTTGGTTGTATTTGCTGGTAATTTTCAGGTGAAGTTGTTATCTTGCATGTTACACACACTTGGTTTCAACAATTAGCTGTATATACCCTGCTCATTCCGCATCAACCACATACCAGTAAATCAAATCTGCTATTTTGAAAAAAAAGTGGCCTTTTCCTTTAAGGGGCAAAAACCTTTTCCACTTCCCTATTTTTCCTGGAACAATGTAATCAGGATGGGAAAAGTCCTGACTGTTCATTACATTTTCCAGGTCAAATAGGGAAATGGAAAGGTAATATTGGGACAGTATGCCTCAAAGAGTGGAGACTATCCTTTGGTTTTTCCCTTTAATTCTTTGTGTATGGATAGACGTGTTGATCTGACTATTTTAAGCAGTGGTTCCTCTTTCCGATGTAAGGTTTCTTTCTTGGGGGAATCTGGTTGCGGCTTCAATTTTTTTTTGGAATTTAATTGCAGTCAGCAAGCACCTTATAACCTTGTGTTCATGTGATCTAACTTTTTTTTTACCCGGTATTGCAGCTGCATTTCACTTCTGCTTTCAGGCTCTGAAGTGGAAGTGAAATTGGGACTTTAAGCCCACCGTCTAGGCTGATCCTCCAGTTGGGAGCAGCGCTGCATTGTCAGAGGTGCCGTCTTTCAAATGAGACGTCAAACCAAGGTTCCAACTGTCTGTTCAGGTGGATATTAATGATCCATTGACACAATTCAAAAAGAAGAGTTTGTCCTGGCCGGCCTACAACCCTCCAGATAATTTGGCAGTTTGTGGGGCTTGGCTGTGCACAAATTGGCTGCGGTGTCTGCCTACAAGTACAGTCCTTACACTATACAGTGATTACTAGTGAAGCGTTTTGAGTTATATTAAATTAATAGTAAACTGACCCATCCCAGGACGGTCACTCAATTCAGTCCGATTATAGTATCCATAAAGCACAAAGTTCATAGTAAACCCTAAGACTGTGATTTCAAAAGACAGAATTATCTGCCAAACGAGAAGCAGAGTGTTTCTGTAAACCTGTTTATTTAATCGATTCAATCTGAATCAAAGTTATCATGTTTTGCATTGTTGTCATTTTCTGAAAGTCATGTCCAATGAATGTCCAAATGAATGTAGAGTTCATTGTGTAACAGCCATCTATCTAACTGATTACAGTGAATGAGTTAGATCTACAATTCCAAAAAGACAACTTTCAGGGATTTAAATGATTTGCTGTGTTGAGCTCAGGCTTCCTCGAGGACACCGCAGGTGAATTTGTGCAGAGCCGAATATATATATATAATATATTAAACCTTATATCCGGTGTGATTATAATTGAAGTGACTGAGTTCTGGTTTAAGACTTCGATATAATTCCAAATGGCTTAGATTTTAGTTAATGTGTTAAATCTGTTGCTCCCTTTTTCCTTAGAAACAGTTTTTAGAAAATAACCTGAATGGGGTGGACCCAGTATATGCGAATGATGTTTTCTTCAGCCTCCACGCCATCTTGCTTACAGCAATTACAGCTTGTCAGTGTTGTATCTATGAGGTTAGTCTGCCTTTTGGTATTTCTCCTGTACTGGCTTCCATTTTCCTTTTGAAATCTGAGAATTGTTGATATCCTTTAATCTTGGTTGTTAATAACAATAACAATAATAATCCTTGCATTTGATATTGCACCTTATCATGTCATTGAGTCATCTCCAAAACTATATTGTGAAGTGGATTGACGATGTATTTTGTGGTTGATAGATTCTCAGAATCTCTCCTGTTCTTCTGGCACACAGAAAGGGGTACAAGAAGTGTCGAAGGCCGCTATTGGAATGCTGGTGGCCTGTGTGTTGTTCGCTCTTGTCACCTTGTTTGTGACGATAGCTGGCGAACTCACATGGCTCCAATACTTTTACTATTTCTCTTACATCAAACTAGGTGTCACACTCATCAAATACATCCCCCAGGTAAGGATCGGAGAGAGATGTAGTTTATATAAAGCTCTGGGATGAACATCGGGGAGATATAATGTTAGATGTAAGCAGATATTTGGATTTGATAGCAAAGTGGTTTCAACCTTTCTGGTAGCCTGTTAAGAGTTGCTTATAACCCTAAGTGTAAAGAAATAATTCTGATATATGTTCTAAAATTGCCCTGAACTTTTGCCCTCTTGTCCTGCCTTGCAGTCCTATATCCAATCATAGTTTGCAATGAGCAATGGCAACACCACCTGCAAACTTGTGGCTTATGTCAAAATGTCACCACTACTATCAAATGTAGTGATTTTTTTTTTAGCCAAATGTGGCAGCAGTTTTGTGTGCTGCAAGTTCCACAAACTCCAATCCCTGGTTAACCTGGAGGATTGTTGGCTAAAACACTGGGAGAAGCTTCTTATTTTGTCATATTGGAATTCAGGATAGGATAGATGGCTTCTTTGAAGGAACAAGCACTTAACAGGTTGTTTGATTTCTATTTTTCCAATACTTTCTGTTTGTAATGCTCATCAGCATCTGTAAAATTCAAACAACTCACTCAAACATGAAGATAGTAAAAATCACTATTTTTTGGAAAGCTTTAATAGACTTTTCTTGAAAAGGTTAGATTTTAGCTGTGTGTATCTTGTGGGTGTCTCACTAATTCTTTTCTTCCAGGCATACATGAATTATCAAAGGAAGAGCACAGTTGGTTGGAGTATTGGCAATGTGCTCTTGGATTTTACTGGGGGCAGTTTTAGCCTTTTGCAGATGGTTCTGCAATCGTACAACAATGGTTGGTATTGATGGTCAATATACCTTGAAAATAAAATGTTCAGTTCACGATTGTTTTATCAGACCAGTGTGGCGAGTTAAATAGTTTCTCAAGTGCGCGTTGGGGACTCTGGCTGATCCCACAATCCACTCATTTCAGAACACCAAATCTTTAGTCCCACACACTGTTGTCAGTGGTACACCATGTGTCTGCCTCCATTTGAAATTTTTGCTTTGTTCTCTCTTCCCCAAATGTCAGCTAAGCTGTACTGCATTTGTTGGCTTTTCCTAGTGCCTTCTTGTGAGAGCTACAAGAGGATTACATCCCATTACATGAGATGCATCAGCAAGGAACTTTAAATACCTGAAATTACTGGAGGTCATAAACCAGCCAGTAGATGAACCCATAATCTCTGTTCTTCACAATCGGGACTGTATTCTAAACCTCAACTTGCACAGCAGTTCCCATTATTTACAATCTGCCGGCATTAAGATGCCATGGATTTCTTGTCATAATTCTAATGCCTCCAAATGATGGGCAGAATCTCTATTTACTGGGATCTGCTGGGGCAGTGTTATTTGTCCATCTAGAGAATACACAAGATAGAATCTGTATGATTCTATGTCCAGGGAATGAAATGCAAACCAACAAAGCATAATTGCTTTTGTGCTGATAATTCACACTAAAATACAGGGCAAACTGCAACATCTTGCATTTATATTGTGCCCCTCATGCAGGATAGTGTCTCAGAGTGCTTGGAAAGACCAGGACTGTTTAGACTGTACCAATGCTTTTAACTTCCTACCTGAATGAATCTGTGTTTTATTGCAGGAGAGTGGAAACTGATTTTTGGGGACCCAACAAAGTTTGGTCTTGGATTGTTCTCGATGATGTTTGATGTTCTCTTCATGGTGCAGCATTATTGTCTGTACAGAAACAATCTTGGGGGCTATGAAGAACTAACTTAATAATGAGGCTTATTCAAGGCTACATTGGAATTGCTCGCTGATCTAGATCATGTGTTTGGGCAACATTTTATTGGCTTCAATTACTTCACTGACTGGAGCAAGTTGGTTGCAGTGAAATAACTAACACCTCAGCAGCCATTCAGGATGGACTGTCTGAACAGAAGAGGGTGTATTTCACACAAATATTCAACACTCCATAATGCTGACTGGTGTGTTTTTTACAGAACAGATTTTTTTTATTCCAAGAGACTCAAGGGAACAAAATGTTTTTTTAAAAAATGAAGTGGATCAATGTACTGTAATGTTAATTCTACTCTATGCAAGGCTGCCTTCATTTCTACAAATAGCCAATAAAAAGATCTGACCTGGATATGCAATTGAATTTTTTTCATATAAACCACTCCAAGAATGTGAGAGACATGAGACATGGCTAATCTATTTTAATCCTGTATTGGAATGGAAATCTATTAATTGAGGTGATGTCAAGAATGTTGTAACAAATGATAAGCCATTATAAGGGTAGGTGTCTTGTCTAAAGGTTTTCCTAACTCTTTACAAAACATCTGGTTTTGAATTGCTGTTTCTTTACTTGGCCATTTATCATCGGTAACCTGAAAGCGTAAGTGCTTTGAATAAGGGTTGCCCGGCAGGGGAGCTTCTTTGTCGGGCAGGGAACCAGCGAGATGTCCCCGTACTGCAAGCGGTCCAAGGCTCCTGGCTCTGAGCAACAGGGTTAAATATGCCGGAGATTTAAAGCCTCTCCCAGCCCTCAGACAGGCAGCTTCAGTGTCCGTTTCCTTAAAATGTTTGTGACCCATTAGTGTCTGAGCCAGCCTGGTCACTCAGTCTATAATAATAATAATAATCCTTGCATCTGATATAGTGCCTTATCATGTCTTCGACACGTCTCAAAGCATTTTGCAGAATATACTGTAAATTTGCATATGTTGTGGGTGAAACGCGGCAGCCAATTGTGCACAGCAGTGTCCCACAAACAGTCCTCCCAATTAAAAGAAATCTTATCGGCTACTTGGAATCCAAAGTTTGAGCTCGAGGTGTCACGTAGCCAAAGATAGATGACCCACCAAATAAAAATAAGAGCTCAGGTAATGAACAAAACAGCGTGGGGATGGAATTGGAGCTACGTTTTGCTTCCCTTGACCAAAGAGAGCATTACCTGATTCATTCACATGAGGTTTATCAATCAAGTCTTTGGCTCAAAAATAAATGCAGAAACAGAGGGAGAAAAGAGAGTCAGTTTAAGACAGGCACTGACTTGTCACAGAAGAAAAATCCACGGCTTGGCTTTTCTCAAAAATAATAATCCCTTCATATCAGGAGGATGTCTCAAAAGTATTTCACAGGATAATAATAATAATAATAATCCTTACATTTGATATAGCGCTTTTCACGTTGGGAGGACGTCCCAAAGCGCTTCGTAGAACACACTGTAAAGTGAATTGACTGTATATTTGTGGGCGAACGCGGCAGCCAATTGCTCACAACAATGTCTCACAAACAGTCGTAGATTGAAAATGACCAATTTAATTATTGTTTTGTTTTGGAGGGATTATTATTAGGCTCTGTGTGGAGTAAGGAAACTTGCCCAAGGTTTCGCCCTGACCTGCCTGGAAATGAACTCAGGTTTCTCACTTGCAAAGCGAGTGCTCTAACCACTGAGCTACAGGACTCCATGGATTCACTGTAAAGGTGTAAAGTGGGTGCGCATTTTTTGCAGTGCTATAAAGGAAGAAAGAGCAGGGGAGAGCTGATCAGCGATAAACAAGATTGTTGGCCGGTGTCCAGAAAGGTAATTAACGAATTCTGTTTGCACAAGCTAATTTATTAACTGACTGATAAATCTGAATCAAAGTTATATGTAAGATGGTACAGAGCCTGTTTGACACCACCAAGTTAATATCCAACTCCTAGATATTTAAAGAATCACTCAAAGCCTTTGACAACATTCTGTGATTTTTCTGCAACCAAAAAGGATGGGTATATCAGAAATACTCCTTATCCTCTACCTATTTTCTTACAGAACATTGAAACCTCTGGTATCGCTGGTGAATCACAAAGACATTTCTCCTCCCCTGTTTACTCATATTCCACAGCAGAGAAACAGTGTCACGCCTTTAGCAGAGAACAAGCAAACAAATAATATGAGGTCAGAAGCTAAATTACAAAACTATTTCCAAGCATTTCAGACAGACACATAGGCACGTGTCATTATTAACGTGTCATTCAGCCTCCACTGGGCATAATTAGTATAGCTACAGATTAGGAAATTATCATATTTAATGACTTTATAATGTTTAATTTCCATCATAGGCCCATCTGGTGCATATCTTTAGCGAATACAGGAGTTGTGGTGCCAGCAGATTGGGGATAAAGTCAAATAACATGCCCTTTTTTAAATAGGTTAAGAAATCTCAGTTCGGCCAACAGAAGCAGGAGGAGTGGATAGAATGTTGTTTCAGAGAAGATTCCTCTCGCACATTATGTGCTTTCTGTGCCTCGTCTCTGTTGATGCTATTTAATTGGCTGCCAACAGGAACGTTTGCTAGAGAGGCTGAATGTTTGGTTAAGATGGTTTCAGAGCTTTCTATTCACAGCAGACCCATACTGTGCCACTATAATACAGGAGGGCAAAGGATGTCCACCTGACGTGAAAAGCGCTATACAAGTCTAACTTGTTGTTGTTGTGAACAATCACTGGGTTGGGAACCTGGGTACCTGGGTGGCTGCTGAATTAAAACACCGAAGATACGTCAGTGACTGCAGATAGTGACTCCACCCCGATGAGAGATCTCTATTCATGTCCTTGTTTCCTTGTGTTTTCACTGTTCTTGCCCTGACTCTGAACTCTTTCTTTCAGGAACGCATTGAAATTCAGAAACTGCGTCAAGGCCCGAGCCTGATCCTGGGATTTAGTATTGGAGGTGGGATTGACCAGGACCCAGCTCAAAACCCCTTTTCAGCTGATAAAACTGACAAGGTGAGTGGGAACAAGCTTTCTCTGCACAGAGCAATCGTTGAAGTCTGCAAAGTGTGTGAAATGGTAGCTCTTCCAATAGCCTCGTCGTACATAAACACACAAGATTGAAAACTTGTTCTTGGTCAGAATTGGCTCATGAATGACAAGAGTTAGTGGCCATTGGAGGGGGTGGGTGAGTGGTTAATCACAGCCTTTTGTCTCACCAGCAATGCAACATCATCTGGTCTTTATCAACCAGTCACTGGATCTGGATTGTCTGTGGCTGTATATAGTGATTGCATTTTGTGTGTACTATATAAAGCCACCTGGGTGTATTATATAAAGCCATCTGCTTGTACCTAGTTCCCTTCCGCTGTCCATGCAGTCTTGCAGTTGCCCTACGAAAGCATAGTTTTCTGGTAGCCCCAAAGAAATGGAAATGTAAGGTATAAAGGAATTGCAAAGTTGGGGAAAGCTTTTTGATCGTTTTATGGTTTTCTTAACGTAGTGCATCCTGATTTGTATATCTGTGTGTTTGGTTCACTAACCCGTGCTTAGAATAACTTTTCTCTTTACACGATAATCACCAGTGAGACGTGCAAACAAAGCGGTGTCCGAAAGAGTTTGTGGAGTATTTGGTTATATGTGCGGTGTAAAACTCAATCTCATCGTTGATTTATCTTGTTGTGCATTAACTGAACTTCCAAATCAGTTGCTTCTGGTTTACAGAGTTTATCTCTACTCCACTTTATATTCCGCAAACTGGACTCTCTTTCGGGTATCTTATCCATGTAATATGGTCATTTGCTCTGCTTGGATTTAATAGTTGTTGGTAATGCTTTTAATTTGATCTGTCGCTACTGCCACACGGTGCACAGTCACCAGACTTTACAGTAAACCCCGTGAAGTGCTTTGAGACGACCTCCTGTGATGGAAAATGCTCTTGAAAGCAAATGCAAATATTATTATCGACGAGCACTGGGGCTGAAGCCTTGTTTGGCCTTTTGACTTTTAGTGCACCCCCTTGTAAACTGAAATGTTTCCATTAACCTCTGCAGTGGAATTGGCACTATGACAGCCTGTGGCGCTTTCTTTTTAACAGGGTGTGTACGTAACCAGAGTGAGCGAGGGTGGACCAGCCGAAGTAGCGGGTCTCCAGATTGGAGACAAGATAATGCAGGTTAGTTTAATTTACCATCAACACCCCTGTGTGTGTGTGTGTGCGTATGTACATATATAGTAGAATGCTGTGTATTTGTACGAGGACTATCTCTGTCCGTGTACGCTTATCTGCATCAGGCTCCCATGAGGATGTCTAATGCTGGCAAAAAAAAATCTTAATTGTGCCCTGGGTTAATTTTCCTCCAGTCCAACAACCTGTTGTTCATGCTCTTACGCTAAGCCACTTTCTTTGCTCTCTTACCTGATCTTCACATTATCTTTGCCTCTCTTTAAACTTTGTTGGTCTCTTTCCCCATAGTCACTGCTTCCTTTGCCTGTTTCCACTTACACCCACACACTGTCCCAATATAATCCAAGTCTTCTCAGCCACTCCTAGTTAAGAGCCAGATGTTAATCTACTGAATCATCACTGGATGCTCTCCAAGGCTTCTTCCTAGGATTGGGTGCCAAACACTGAGTGCAATACTTCAAATTTTAAAGTTTGACCAGTGCGCTGAAACTGGAGCAGCATCCTTTTATATTCCATTCCTCTTGTTATAAAGCCCATCATCCCGTATGGCTTAAATGATTGCTTTCCGCACCTAGAACTAGATTTTACCAATTGTCTGCTTAGACTTGTGTCCTAAGGGGAAAGTCTAGGGTCTTGGATTCTTACAAAATAATGACTTAGTCAGCAGGGTATCTGAATGTGAAACGTCAGACATCAGTGTTGTAGTTGGCTCAAACAGACAGCAGTTATGGCTTTTAAATAAATAGGCTCTTGATATTGATGCAGTATCTCTCATTTCTGTCAGTATCTTTTGGTGACCTGTGTCTCAATTGACTCGTGTTGTGGACAAATCCTTGGGAAACTGGAATTTTTTCACATGTGGAACGGCTCAGCCTGGTTTCAAACTGTATCGTTTGATTTCGGGTCCAAATAATAATAATAATAATCCTTGCATTTGATATAGCGTCTTATCACGTCTTTGAGGCATCTCAAGGCGCTTCACAGAAAATACTGTAAAGTGAATTGACTGTATATTTTAAGGGCAAATGCCTGGTTTTGTGCTTTCTTCAGGTGAACGGTTGGGACATGACTATGGTAACGCACGACGAGGCTAGAAAGTGTCTGACTAAGAAGACCGAAGAGGTGGTTCGTCTTCTGGTAACGCGTAAATCCCTGCAGGACGCCGTGAGGAACGCAATGAAGTGACGAAGCTCTGGGACTGAGCTACTACTTGGCCTCTACAAATTAAAGAGCAGCTATTCTCTTTTATTTCTAAAGCAGTGCTGAACTCCCTGTTATTCAGCGGCATTTGAAAAAGGTTCTTACTACTTGGTTACCAGGGCACGGGTCACTGAGAATTGTTATGAAATTTTTAATATATATAAATATATAATGTGGCAATTCTGTGGCGTTCTGCTGCCCTGGAACTGACACGAACGGTAATGCTATCGGAACCACGAGGACAAAGGTTAATGTAGGAGTTGTCTCCTGTATTTAAGATAACACATATCAATTATGCATTGCACCCTCTTTTCAATAGCCTACTGTTTATTTCATAGGTTATGGGGATGAGTCACTGCTCAATGATCATGTTAATGGAGGGGGAGAGAGGGAAGAGGAGAAATTGCTCTTTAAATTGTGAGTTCAACGGAGTTAGCCCTGTGCCAAAAATGAGCAAAGATGCAATAGTTTATTTCTGCGGACTAAAGAACGTGACAGCGTAATGAAACCTAATGAAGCTGGAAAATAGCCGAGGAACCGACTCGGGCAAAAAGTGACGATGTTTTGTAAAATGGTTGATTTGTTTGAAAAGCTAGCTTGAACCAAAGCAATCTATATCAGTACGTCTCTAAATTCTCAACCTATGCACGTATCTTGAAGTGTTTTTGGTGATTTTTTTCTCTCTTCCGGAATGTACTTTTATACTTGAGACTAACTATTTTTTGTAGATCTATTTAATCGAACTCTGTGCCTTTTGCACATGGTATGGGCATTTCATTCACATTTATTCACTTCTGTCATTACAGTTTAAAAAAAGCTTTTGGACGCATTTATTCCTCACTAAAGATAATCCTGTTATATTGTGTACATTATGTTAATTTTATTCTGTATTACAGAGGTACTTTGCAGTTATAAACCTTGAATGCTGGGTGTAGCACTCACTCCACGGTCTATAAAAGTGCCTTTATTCCTTTCCCTCAAGTGGACCAGCTTGAATTTAACTAGCCAAAAAAAAACAACTGACCACGTGCCTTTGTGTGGAGGGAATGGCCTCACTGAAGTGCGCATGAAGCAGCAACAAGCCCTTATCAAACCCACTATTTTGAAGAGAATTGGTCAGTCATGCGTTGACCTAGTTTGGTGAATGTTTGGGAAATAGAGATTGATCCAGTGTTAAAATCCAGTGTTCCAAACAGCCAGCCGCTCCCTTCTGTGACCCCCCCCCCACCCCCCTCTCTTAACAGTGGGGTGAGTGTCAAACCTACCCTTGATTGGGAGTGACAAGTAGGAAAGCGCTGTTAGTTTCCCCCATGGAATCTCAGCACGGTAACAAGTTGTTGGATTGTAACCCTCTGACTCTTGCTCCCACGTACGTGATGAATCGCTGGCTGTTGCACCTCCAGCCTTTACAAGGTGGGTCCTGGTGAGCTCTGCACTCTTGAGACTGGCTTCCCTTCAGCAATGATTTCTTCGGTAACTTACTGTGAACCAGTACCAATGCTTTCCTTTTTTAATACTGAACTTTTTTATGGGCGGATGATTGCAAGTGCACGTGATGTAACCAGTTGTTTCACAGAGGTTTTTACTGATGGTTTTGTTTATCCTGTGTATCAATGATGCTTTTGCATTTTTTTTTAAAATCTAAGACTAATATTAATTTGACTTGAGATGCGAAGCGCCTGTTGATTATGTGGAAAGTAATGATGAAGTTTGTCATTGTAAAGAAACACTACACCAACTACTCTCAATAAAAAGCTCTCTTTTCCTTTGGGTCACCAAGGATAGAGGAGGAAAGGCTTTACACTAAGGTGTGTGTGTGTCCTCTCATATTTTGGATTCACAAGTATTCAATTAGTTCACCCCCTTCATCTTTAAACATTTCCTGCAACTCTCCAGGTTTTAAGTGCTGAATCCTGTGCATTAGTCGGTTGTGTCTTCTCCAAAGCCAGGATGTCTGATTGAGTACAGACCCTAGAAATGTATCAGTGATCAAGTACTTAAAGAACTTAAGCCTTTAGTCATTCAGTCATTGTTTCTACAAATTGGTCAGAGAGATTTATGTTCTGCATTAAAACTTCAAACACCTCAACAAACCTGCTCACAGCAAGCCTAGTGTCAGCTCCCCCACACTCTCTCTCTCTCAGCTGCAGGTATAGGTCACATACACACTGCGCACACACCCAACTCCTCCACCTCCACTGTGAACTTTATATGATTTATTCACAAGTGTTTGTCCCTGAGTTGTCATGCAACACAACAAAACAACCATTTGTAGTGCTGATGTAGCACTTTTCATGTAGGATAATGCCTCAAAGTGCTTTAAGAGATAATGGAAACACAAGCAGGGGAGTAGGTAGACAGGAGGGAGTTGATTAAAGGCATGTATGAAGAGGTATGTCTTGTTCACATTTAGCTGAACAAAGTTCAGGCTGATCCAGGTCTCTTGTCTAACTGTTGCTGTTGGTCAGAACGAAACCTGGAGTGAAGGGTGGAGATAGGTAGAAAGTTCACGCAGGGTCTTTGAACTCATGTCTGTATAAGGAATAATAATCTTTGCACTTGATATAGCGCCTTAACATATCTTCAAGGCATGTCGAAGTGCTTTACAGAATATACTGTAAAGTGAATTGACTGTATATTGTGTGAGCAGCCATTACAGTCCTGGGAGGTGTGTCACATTGTTGGAGGTGCCTCCTTCAGATGAGACATCAGTTTTACCTGTTCAGGTGGACATTAAAGATCCCAGGGCACTATTCGAAAAAGAGAGTTTCTTCTGGTGTCCGGGAAAATAATCTCCCTGGAAAAGTTGATTATTCGCTCCATGGCTACTTGCGGGACATGCTCTGACCAAATTGGCTGTGATGGTTGCGTACAAAGTACACAGTTACTACACTTTAAATCGTGTGAAGTGCTCTGAGATGTCCTCCTGATGGGAAAGGTGATGTAGGAAATGCGAGGATTGTAGTGCAGTGTATAGATTTGGGTGTCAACAACATACATATGAAAGTCAACCTTCAGATAACACTGTCCGCCCCACCACTCTTGTCTGCTGTTAAGAGGGAGGTCTTCGCTGCCGGCAGTTTGGCAACAGAGGTGGTTTTGCAACAGGTTAATAGTTTCTTTGCATTGAGCATCACTGCAATCATGTGGTGAATGATGACATCGTTGACAGTATAATACATTGCGCTGCAGCATTGAACCACAAGAAAGTACCTAATTCTTTATTGTGAAATCACCTCAATCTGTTTCACAAGCAATTGCTGTCAATGCAGCTTTTTTGCACACGGTAAAACCCCACAGAAAGCCTCGAGGTCTTTATCCAGATTGATTTACTTGGGAGCATTGTTGCTAATGCCACTGGGAGACATCAGTTTTACCTGTTCGGGTAGACATTAAAGATCCCAGGGCACTATTTGAAAAAGAGAGTTTCTTCAACAGCGCGAGGTGACATATGACTATTCACCACATGGTGGTAATCATACTCCATACAAACAATACAGTGGATTATTATAACATTTATAGGATCATAGAAATGACCACACAGGTAACAGACTGACACATTGATTAAGCTACCAATGCATTATAGAATCCATGTGTTTCCCGAGAAATGATCTTGCCTGTTTAACGCAGCTTAAACTATGGATAGAAACGTCTCCGTTGGTTGATCCACTACCGTGGAGTCCTGTAGCTCAGTGGTTAGAGCACTCGCTTTGCAAGTGAGAGACCTGAGTCCAATTCCAGGCAGAGGGCGAAACCTTGGACAAGTTTCCTTACTCCACACAGAGCCTAATAATAATCCCTCCAAACCCAAAAACAATAATAAAAATTGGTCATTCTCAATCTACGACTGTTTGTGGGTCATTGCTGTGCGCGATTGGCTGCTGCGTTCGCCCACAAATATACAATCAATTCACTTTACAGTGTGTTCTGTGAAGCGCTTTGGGACGTCCTCCCGAGGTGAAAAGCGCTATATCAAATGCAAGGATTATTATTATTATTGGTGGTGGGAGATCTCAGCCCTCAGCCCATGGCCTCTCCCCCCCTCTCCCCTCGGCCTCCTCCCCCTCAGCCCTCAGCCCTCGGCCTCCCCCCCCTCAGCCCTCAGCCCTCGGCCTCTCCTCAGCCTCTCTCCCCCTCAACCCTCGGCCTCTCCCCCCTCAGCCCTCGGCCTCTCCCCCCCCCTCTCCCTCGGCCTCTCCC